AAAATCGGTCGGCGCGCGTTGAGCGGAAACTTCAATCGATCATAACTCCGGAACCGTTCAGTTCCCCAGCTTATACGACCACTCGTTGGATTCGGAAAAAGACAAGCAATTTAAAAAACTGGTTTTGGTTCAAATCAAAAAATGTGAAATTTCAGTTTAATCTGTTTAAAAGAAATTTTTTTTCCTCAAAAACTGAAAAAAAGCACATAAGTTAACTTAAAAATGTAATTTTGGGATTTTGACCTTTAGAATCTTAAAGTATGCAATTTAAGACGATTTTTCGTCCAAATCGGGCCTCAATATCTTTTTTCGTTCGAAAGATATCGAGGTTCACAGGTTTTGACTTCCACCCCCCCTAGCGCCCCCCCAAAATTTTTTGGGGGTCTGAAAATTTGGGGAAAGAAGCGCTCCAGTATTAGTAACTGATAGACGAAGTTTGAATAAGTTTTAGTGGGGGGGCGAAAAATGTCGTTTTTGCATACGGCTCTTTGATAACTACTGTGCTGTTAAGATACACCATTTAGTAAAGCCCTAAATTATTTCACGACAGTTTATCAAGACAAAAGAGAGACACTTTTAAACTAAGATAAAAATTAAATTTTTGGAAGAAGAACCCTTTGAAAACAATTTCTAGCCAGAGAGTGATAAAAATAAATTTTACTCTCCATTAGAGGATTCAGACATTCTCTGCTTTTCGAAGCACCACCTATGACCCTTTAGAGACGGCTAAATTCTTTCTACTAATTTCTTGAAAATGGTCTACCTGAGTGCTTCTCCTGCAAGGGTTCTGAAAAACATTTTAACTACCGGTAAAGTCAAGTTGCGTATCTTGTAAACTTTTATTCAGTTCTGGGAAAAACAAAAGCAGCATTGATTTAGGTAGACGCAATGAGGAATTAGTTTGATTCCTTTTTGCTCTGAGAACCTTGGCATAAATTGTGATGTGTGTGACTAGTGACTGGGCGTTTATATTATGTTTATGTGGTGATATGAGTAAAATACATGGAGAAAAAAAATAAATGGAGGGAATTAAAAATAAAGCAAAGGTATTGTATGTATACTTTCAATATATTCTCTTATACCTCTCCACGGTAAAAAAAAAAAAAAAAAAAAAAAAAAAAAAAAAAAAAAAAAAAAAAAAAAAAAAAANAAAAAAAAAAAAAAAAAAAAAAAACAAGATTATATCAAAGAGCTGATAATGAAAAGAGTTACCTAAAGCCTCGAATTGTTCAGAAATTTGAAAAGCGAGTTCTCGAGTAGGAGTCAAAATCAATGCAAAATACCGTTGAGGGGTATCTAACAATGCTTGCAAGATGGGTAGTGCAAATGCAGCAGTTTTACCGGATCCTGTCTCGGCTAAACCAATTATGTCATTTCCTGTTGATTACAAAACAAATTCAATTAGAAATGCTTCATCTCAATGCCATTATGATTGGTAGATCAGAGGTCTGAGTGCTCTAGGCACCGTCTCATGCAAAACGAATCTTGGGCAGCGGTGGTGGCTTGTCGTTTTTTGCAAGAGGACAATAGTACACAATGTAGCAAAAGTTTTATACAAGTTTTTTTTTTTTTTTTTTTTTTTACTACTTCAAATAGCCCTCAAGGGCTAATCCCACGCTTTAAGTCCCATCCCCCCTCCGTCCCTACTGAACCAGGTGAGTATTATGCATAGCTAGAAAAATTAAAACATAAAACGAGTTTACCAAATTTTATCTTAGAGAAGTGGAAAGAAATGTAATTTCATCTGTTGATTGAAAATTTAATTTTTGCAAAAAATCAAATGCAATACATCATTTGAAAGTCTGTTGAATTTCATGACTAAAAATATCTGTATTACATTAAAAAAATAGTGAAGACATACAGATATACTTAAATTCTGAAGTTCTTGGTGATAGATGGGAGGATAAAACAATTGTGGTAGGAATCGGATCTAGTTTTTTGAAAGTTACATTTCAATAAACACCTTATTTACAGTTGAGGAAAAAAACCTTCAACCTTATATCAATGATTAGCGTGAAGATTTCTTGAAAATTTCTAATTTCATTTTATCATACCTTTCAAGGCGATTGGAATGGCCTCTTTCTGAATTTTTGTAGGAGCTTTCCACTTCAATGACTTGCACGCTTGACACAAAGAGTCAATCACACCCTGAAAAAAGACAATTATTTCAATTATTTATGTGAATTTTAAAATCAGAAGTTGATTTAACTTAAAATATGTAAACGAATAAGAGTGATAAAATTGTATTTTTTCATGAGGGCACTTCTTAAATAAACTTGCAAGCTTTTGTTATGATATTATTCCACAATAATTGGATGAGGAAAAACAAGATTTCAATAATAGAGTTACTGGTCCCACTGCGTTTTCCATTGGATACAGGTATTTTAGAATATTAATAATTTCTGGAGCATTCCTCTTGAAAGGATTTTATGAAATTCATTTCTAGTTTTTTTATAGTAGGTAAAACAGTGGATATCTTCCAGCTCAACCTTATGGATAGTTCTAAATCCAGAAAAAATTAATGAACTTTCAATAGTCAGATATTCACAGCAAATGTCTCTACAACCTGGGTAAATAGTGTGGATTTGGGGTATGGTCAAAGTAAACTATTAGGGACTGTTTGGAAACGTGATTACCCGATGCCATACAGACAGTATTGTCAACTCCATTTGAGTTACCGGATGACTTTTGAGTTTACAAATGGGTGCAGAATGTTTCAACAAAACGTCCAACATTAAATGGAGGTTATCAGGACAATAGGAGTCCGTTCAGTATACAGAGGAACCAAACTTTATTGGATAAGCTAACTTAGAAACCCAATCCATGCAGATCTTAAGTGAAGCAAAATGCACAGAGTTTCCTGATACTTAGAGTCACTTCAGTTCGATGGCATAAGTCCACTATCACATATCTCGTTTGCGGTGTCTGAAAATTTCCGCCTCAAGGTTAATTTTTTGAAAGAGAACAAGTTGATATCATTCCTTGAAGTTTATGCAGAATTTTCTTCGCACAGAGGAGAAAAATCACGGCAGTTTTGAAGAATTGCCATTGAGTAGTGTTCCGTTTCGGGACATCGCAAACCGAGTTATGTGATTGCCAACTTTCACCGTCTTCACACCTCTTACTCCTAAGTTTTCAAGGAGGTGGTCTTGAGTCGGTGGGCCTGACAAAAGGTAGAGTACCTGTATAGCGAGAGTATAGACAGATGTGAAACTCCGAAAATCCATCAGGCCTTCACCGATGCCTCCGCGAATAAGGTTAGGGCCCAGAAATGCAGCCAACCTATGAATTTCAATTATCCAGAGCGATTTATTAATACAACTGTTACGAACCATTGTTTATCAAGCACGTATTTGACTTAGTTTTTGCATAAATTTACTCATTTTTGTGGAAGAACGCTCATTTATGTACTTTCTTAGCCATCTTCGTTAGAATTGGAATCTACAGACTGGCAGTGAAATTTTGTGCGTTAGAAGTTGGTTAGAAGGGTGGCTGCACTTTTGGGCCCTAAGCCCTACATGAAGCGATCTGTCCATACTCTCGCTATATAAGTACTCTAACAAAAGGGGGGCTGAACTTTATTGGTATTTTGGCACTGAAATTCAGCATTCGGCAATGAGCCTGAACTGCTCTGCCCGCCAATCACTAGCAGAAGAACAGACCGAGATGCCTAAGCAACTCGTTTTGGGTATATTTAGAAGGGCTTGTTCTTCCCGACTAAATCCACCTGTAGATAAAAGAGACAATTTTCCTTACCAAATCTTTGAATGTGACGGGAGGCTCAGGGTCCATGATGATGGTCTATTTTACGTATAACAATTGTAGAATAAAAAAAGAATTTAATAACTTTTCCGGAGCTGGGATTCACTGGGGCATAGTCAGAGAAGAGGAAATTGCGAGATAAGGCAATATCGCGTGTAGAGTTGACAAATTCATGGCTAGTTCACAGCTCAACATGCGAGGCAACTTCAACTTGCACTTGCAGCGAGGTTAGGAAATTCATGCTGTTTTTGTTTGGTCTTCTAACATTGTTGTCAATTTAGGGTCTCCCATAGCCCGAATTGGGTCGGTGGAAACATTTCTGCGGAATATCTGCCGGTGAATTCCTCATCAAAATTTCACGGAGAAGCCAAACAGGATTGTAAACAGTTTTTGCAATCAGAGAGAGTAATCCAAAATCCTTACAGATAGGAAATGTGAGGAAAAGAAAACTAATTACCACTAATTACCTAATCACTAAAATCGCTAAAATCTGACCAATCAGAGGCTTGTCCGACAGTCGTGGTGATGACGTACCAAACCATCAGCTGGGTTTCAGCCAATCAGCGAATGTGAACTCTCTCGCGCCTCGCCTGACCGCCAAAAAATGTCGGTTCAAATGGATCCAAATTTGGCAACTTAAAAATCTATTTTTCCGTCATTTCTAGTCAGAAAAAAAATCCGTAAAAATTGTCGGCGCTCAACTCTCTCTATGGAATCACTTCATTAAATTATTTTGGATTTTTTTTTCTTTTTTTTTTCAGTAGGAGGCTATGTAAACTGAAGAAGTTTTAAGACACCGTACATTGCAAGCTGATCCCCCTCCTGCCCACAAGTAGCTCAAGAAATACTCTGCCTCCATTAGTCTTCCCGGGCAATTTTTTTTTTTTAGAAGTGTCGAGTGCTACAGCTGAAAACACGCATAGAAAGGAGTAATTATGTGGAAATGATGATATATTTGCAAGTATCGAAAGAATTGAGTGACAAAATAGGAAATGAAAGGCACTATGATGACACGGAACGCTACCCTCTTTGGAAAAGAAGCAAGTCATATAATCGGTGAAATGACACCTTATTTACGGCAAGGTTGATTGCTCCTTCAGATAATGGCAACCGAAAAATTTAATAGACAATGTAATATAATTCGAGTAATAATAAATTGTTGAGCAACGCGAGTAATTTTTGTGAAATACTTATACTTAAATTACCCCGCATCCTCATCCGGTATTTAGATTCAGGGTTGTCAGGTACAGCGAGAATTGTTAAAGAAAAAGTGAAAAATCAATGTTAAAAATTTGATTTTACTCGACAATCTGACAACCTTAAGTAAGGCACATGACGTTTCTGATGACGTCACTCGTGTTAAGAAAATTGGTTCGTTTTATCGATGGCCACATAAAAATCCATGCAATTTGTGCCATCTATCAAATAATGTTGAAATTTCCGTGAATGTAGGAAATTATAACTGTTCCCACAACAGGAAACCAAAATTTATGCAGGCACAGAGATTTTTTGTCGCACGTATTTCTGAGAAGCCAACTGCTGAGCATGCTGGGAGATTTCATTCAGCGCGCATGCGCGGTTCAGTTTACAGTTGGCTTTCGGTAGAAAATGGCGTCAGTCAAGTTTCTAGAGGATGCGGATCATGTAGTGAGTAACGGAGCTACCGAAGCTATGAGCATTATTATTAATTCGAATTCTAGTAAACCGATAATAACCAATAGTCATCAAAGTGCTAATGTTTTGCCTTCTAATATTCTAACGACTCTTTCCTCTCAAAATGTGTCTAATTCTAACCAAAACTCGTTTGTGTCGCAATTTACTCCCGCTAATAGCAATCTAAATAAAACTCAAAGTGTAGGCATGGACCAGGCTAAGCCGACTGGGACCGCGTTAGTTATTAAGACGCACAATAATGGTAACCACAATTCCATTCCGACGACGCAAGGCCTCGTTTCGGCCCCGATGACGGCCAACTCGACCAGCATGCCCACGATAGTGGCCAATTCCTCGCACATAATCCCGGCTAATCTCGGGAATGTACAGTTCGTCAACGTTAATGCCATCAGGGCCAACCAACCGGGTCAGAAAACCATCACCCAAAGAGTGATGATACCCCAGATGATGGGCACCCGACAAGGCACACCAGGGGTAAGTTCTTTTCGTGTCAAGTAAATTTACACATTCGTGCCGCTCTTTTCTCCGCCAATGTGGCTGCGAAAATTTTGGGAAGAGCTTTGCTCATAATATGTGAGATGTTCCCAATAGGTACAATCTGCACGTCTAAATCTCAAATTTTTGTTAAACTCACTGACGAAATAGGTTTAGTCTGCAGGCAGAGGCGGCAGGTTAGATTTAATGTCTCGACCTGAATTCGCCAGTCGATTTTGATTCTTAAATCTACAATCCGGTCGCTTTCTTGTCTTCAATGGTACAATTCTTTGACCAATTAGCCCTGAACCGATACTTTCATCAAAAGTGAAAGGTCCGCCGACTACACCACACCTACCGTAATACAGTGATCCTTTCAAACGGATCATTCATTTCCGCAGATGAATTGAGTATTCAACCAAGCAGCAAGGATTATTTCTTGTACCAACTAGAAGCAGAATTGCAATTTTAGGTGATAAATTAGTTCCTTCTGTTTAGAAATTTACTCGCTGAGGAGGTAATATTGAGTAGTTATTTGGCCGAACGTAAGCAAATAACCCTCTGCAACTTCCGTATTCTGCCGACCATAATCATAACGGTACAGCGCATATCATGCCGCTACCTTTATGATTAATCATGTTTATCGAAATTTCAAGGAAATTTTTACCCTAACCTATTAGTTGTCAAATCAGCTCTTATTTTCATCAATATTTTCCCAACGGTAATGACTGCTAGGGCATTCGCAGAGGATTCACAAAACATTTTCTAATCTATTGACTTGCCCAGCAAGCACTGAGAAATTACAGTTCAGAGCCTTAATTGTGAAAAGTACATTGAGTGAATGTCGACACTCAACCAGGATCTGTCGCCATTTAAGTAGGGCTAATTTCAGTGTAGGGACTTATTTAAGCATATCCTAAATCCTTCACAACAGTATCAATTTTCATTGTGGAAACAAAGTAATCCCAATCGGAAAGGCTGGAGTTTTTAGAGGGCTTATCACAAGGTGTTTGAGACTGTTTAGAGATTGAGGTTAGGATTGACTGCAAAGACCCAAGGCAGAGCACCTGTTCTCTCAATGCATAAGTCACAATATCGTACCTGCATCGTTTGCCTCCTTAATTGTCAACATAATGTAGAAAGTAATTTGAGCAGCTCACTTATTGAAAGATTAAACATCTGCAAATAAAAGTTTTCACGTGTATGAAAGGAACTGCCAGTGTCCATTTGTTGAGAGAGCAATACAAATATGTTCTGTGCAGAACTAAAAGTAAACAGTTTATGGTTTGTTTTATCAAAGATTTGCTGGAAAATATTTTTGCAACTTTGAGAGGTTGAAGACAAAAAATTGTTGAGATTATCAGTTACTAATCTCTTGCCTTCCGACTTGCATAGGTGCAAATCGAAACTACGCCAGATGACCTTATCTTCTATCTTCCTTACCATATTTTATTCAGCGATTTTATCGTATCGTAGTTTATTTTTCAAAATTGAGCTTCTGAAGTTAGAAAAATCTTATTTTGACAATCGTTCTCAACTGTCGGTTTAAGATGGAAACTTCAATGTATATCTTGAGGGGCCTTGTTGAAAAGGTATCTTCGAAGATTCTGAGTAAAGTACCCTTTTTCAGAGAGAAAAATAGTTACAGCCAGTCTAAGAGTTAATGAAACAAGCCCTGCCATAGAAAATGTAGATTCAAACAGAATTCTTAGAACATGGTCAAGTGTTAAGTTACTGTTAGAGAGACAGAGAATGTCTGACCTGAATCTTCCTTGAGATGATATAAGAAAGTTACAGTCTATTTTTTTTTTAAGAGATCAAATTTACTGAACTAAGGATTCTGCAGCATATGATAGAAAGTATTTGGTTTTAAGCTTACACAAGTTCTTCTAAAATGAAAAGTTCGCAGAAAGCGTTGGAATTAAAGTTCATAAAACCGAGGGAATGATAGTGAAGTTGATTTTTCTCCTCAAAGTAACTTACAGTAACTTCCGAGTTGTATTGGTCTATGCAGGCCTCTTCCATCTTCAGGTTTACCATTTTTAATTTTTATTCTATGAGTCAAAAGCTTCATGTAGGTGTTAATTAATCTATTCATCTTTTTAGGGACAGATAGCTTTGCAAGCAATCCCCGGATTGGCAGGAGCCAGTGGCAGTCATATATTGGTGAAAACAGAAAATGGCCAGATTCAGTTGCTAAGAGTTGCCGCAGGACCAGCGACACCCAATGCCCCCATAGCAGCAAACCACGTGACATCTACAGGCAATCAACCAAGTTTCCGGATCCAAACTGTTGTAACGGTAAAGAAATATTCAAAACCTAATATTTGATTGAAAATATATTAATCATGGCATTGGTAAGAAACTTGATATCACATGTAGAAAAATGCATTGATAACTAATGAGATTAAGTGTAAATGGTTGCTGCACGATATTGTTGTAACCACTTATTTTGCTGATTTAACAAACATTATAGCCTCTGACTGCTGAGACCTAAATGCCCGTTAGCTCCGTTTTTCTTTTCTTGAAACAGGTGTAAAATTGTCCCAAGGGCTACGCAAACAAGTTGCCTAAAAATCACTACTTATAACTGAGTGAATTTTTGACCAAATGAACTCAACAAAGTTGCTCGGAAAACTGATAAAATTACTCTGATAAATGACTAAAGAGTGCTGTGCCCTTTGCAGCAGTCAATTTGAAGTGGAAATCACAATTTTGGCGGTTTCCCCACAGTTTTCAATAAGTGTGGAAATAGTGAAGGTAAAACAGTGGAAGGCTTCCACAATTTTTAAATTTGAAGCAACAGTCTCGGTTTTTGCACTACGCAGTAGAAAAAAGAAATGAAACATTCAAGGGTTTTCCGCTAAAACGGCGATCCTAGGATCGTGTGATCTAGGATATTATTAATGCCTGTTTGAGATAATTTGTATTCGAAAAAGAATCATATTGAAACCGAAGTATAAGCTATATTGATGGGTTTCTTGTTCCATTTCAGCAAGCAATTACTGGTGCTGCCGTTCAAACTGCTGTACCTCCATTAACCACAGTTCCAAGTCCCAGTGTTCAACCTCAGCCAGTAAGTTTTGTTCAAGTATTTGTTTGAAATAATTTTTTATTGGTTTCATTTGGAAAAATAAGTTTTAAATATGTTGGGACACCATAATCAACCTGTTGCCCGACAAGTTTAAGAGGGTGACAAGTTCTGCAAAAGCTCTTGTACCTATGAGAAGTCCTGTAACAGTCCGTAAATTTTACTCAACCGTAAGAAGTCAGAAAATTTTCGCAACAAACCTCAAATTTTCTTATTTTATTGAAACTGTAAACTGGTTCTGATCACATTTATACACTTTTCATATCACTTGAAATGCATTTTTATGCTTGAAATCCTGGAGAAGTTATGTTGAGAGAAGTCCAGCCAAGATGTCTCCTAAAACTTTAGGCAAAAGACGGAACACTGCTGTGGAATTTCTTATAATGACTCAACTTTACATACCTTTTTTTCTGAAATAAGCTGTTAATGCGAATAATATATTTCTCATTATTTCATCGACGATATCAGTGGGAAAAATTTTCTCACTAAACAACTGGGGTCTGGGACAATATGAGCCCACCAATCCAAGTAAGTTTTATATATAAATTTATTTTCTATTTTTTTTCTCAGCAGGTGGCGAAATCAGACACAACTAAAGAAAAGTGCCGTAAATTTTTAGCCAATTTATTAGAATTATCAAGTAGAGAACCCAAACCAGTAGAAAGAAACGTCCGGAAACTGATACAAGAATTAGTTGACATGAAAGTTGAACCTGAAGAATTCTGTGATCGCCTAGAAAAACTATTAAATGCATCACCCCAGCCGTGCCTCATTGGGTTCTTAAAGGTAAGTGAACTTGTTATGTTACTCTTGTTTTTCGGATGAACAGGGTTTTCCATATAACAACAGAATCATTTAAACATACGTGCCCACGTTTTTAAACGGATACAAATGGGTAAACAGTAAAAATAGGATTTTTTTACTCAAATGGCTGCTCGGATTGTAATAGGCCGTATTTTGCAATTATTGTTTGAAAACAATATGAAAATAATTATGAATGAAAATTGAAATGAAATTTCTCAAATGAAATTTGCTTTATAGAGTAGGATTTTTGGGTTGATCACCCTTGAAACTGAACCGATTTTAATGGGGGAAATCTTATTTTTGTGTATTCTATTGGAGAGCAAGCACATGTTTTTTTTTCGACCTGAGACAACTCAAGATTTTGTAAGGAAGTTGTGGCCGCCAGTTCTAGAAATGGTCTGGTAAGTTAAATATTTTACAGGATTTTTTTTTTGTGTGTGTTGGCACCTGTTGGATACCAAGGGGCTGACCTTTCTAACTGTTTTTTGAAGCATCCAAATAATGTAGTACCCTATGTATCATTTCTTTAGTTTAATTTCAATGTTTAATTTACCCCAAAGCAGGGAGTTTACTCAAAACAGGGTTTGTGAAAACACTTCTTTCCGATAAAATATAAGTTAAGTAATCACAGGTAGAATAATTTTGCTGTGTAGACACTTATGTTTCCTCAATTTTTCATTTATGTATTTATTTTTTCATTTTATTTTATAGAAAAATTTACCTTTGCTAAGGCAATCAATGATAGCCAAAGAACTGGTGATAGATGGTATCCGACCACCACCCCCTTCTGTTTTATACACCCAACAGCAGCAGCAACAGCAACAACACCAAACTACTCCTGTTTCTGTTGTCCAACAAGTGCAAGTAGCCAACACTCAGGTGTGTTTTCTAAGTGTTCATCTACATTTTTCAGCCCTCATTTTTGCCTACCATAATACTGAAACAGAAAAATTAAATGTCAACTCCACGGATAAAGCATATTATGTAATGAACTCGCTGAAATAGTCTGTGTAATCCTCACTCATTAACTATGACGCATTAAAATTCCTAGATTAACAGACGAAAACAGCGGAATTAAATTGTTTTAAAATATGTAATATCCAAATTCAAGGAGAATAATTATAGAAATTAATTTTTTAATTAATCAATTTTTTTTTATTTTCAGAACAATTTTTTATAAGCTCCATTTACATCATTCTAATTTTTTATATGTATAAGTAGGGTAGTGTACTTTCTTTCATCATAATTATTTGTTCACAATTTTTATTTAGATTTATTCTCTGTCAGCATCTCATAGTGAACAATTTTGCTCAGCAGGGGGGGTGCTACTGCTTTTTTTAAAATGTACTATTGTAATACATGCATAGAGTTTGTGTTGCCTACTTGTAATCTTTGACCCTGTGAAAACTTCTAAAGCAGAGGTGCAGAGATCTTTCAATCGTGCGACTGGCAAGTTGTGTTTAGCTGCTGACAAAAATGGGAAGACTGATTCGCCAAAGCCGAGGACAGCGTGTTTTTTGTTTAAGGATTGCAAAATTGCTGTGTGTGGCTGTAGTATGGAACTTCCACAGTTGGTTTTTAGATCAGAGTTATGCTGTTACTACTCTTTAATGTCGCTAATTACCATTTGTCTCTATTGCAATAATTGCTCTTGTTTAAGTCAAATTATAAGTTAGCAATAAGATGTTCTTTTTAGAACTAACACTGAAGATTCACCTTGAAGTGTCTATCAAAGAGTTCAACCAATAATCGGTTTTTTTTTTTGTAGGCAACCAATCAAATCCGGACTGCAGTCCCTGCCAGTGTCACGCCACAAATGCGAATTATCGCCCAGCCTGCGCAAGCTACGGTCCGAACTGTTGCCACTGCTCAGCAAAGACTAGTCACAGTAAGCTAAATTTATGTTCTGTGTTCGTGTATTGGCTTCGCTCATAATTTTCATTTCTCCATTTTTTTACAAGTGAATTGTTTCAAGCCATGTACAGCCAATACCTCTGACTTATTGCATCTCAAAACAGCAGATTCTGTGATTAAACCTCAACACGTTGATTGCCATACCTGTCAATTCAATCAGTATCCCTGTATTCCTGGCTAACTAGTCGTTTAAAACAACCTGCTTCCTATGTCAGCTGAGCTGCGCAGATCTTGATATCTCTCAGCATTTTAGTGATCTAGCAGTATTACTAAATGTCCTGACACAGGGCCACACCGTCATTTAACGGGGAGAATTGCACACACTGTATGAATTTTTGAGGAGCGTTTTTTGTGTGTTTCCATGGCTCTGCAGCAAATAAGTGTCAAACACCGTTGCTGTGGCAGGCAATGCGTTAAGTATAGAATCAGATGAAATGCGTTAAGTATAGAATCAGATGAAATGCATTGCTCATTGTATGGATAATACTTTCGGAGGGATGGGAGGGAGGAGCCATTTACAATAATTGAATAGCACTTGTCAGGCAGCTGTACTTGAACATCTATTGCTGTAAACAGTATCGACATAAAAGTGGGCCTTTTCTAAACCTCCCCTGCAAAAAGTCAATGTGTTTGTTGCATGTAAGATGTACAGCCAAAAGAATTTATGTCTTTCTGGGAAAATTGCGCAAAAATCTCTATGGTACCTAAAATAAGTCTGAAATCAACTCCTTAGTGTGCAATCTGCATAGTTAGTAATATTTTTTTTCCAAATTTACAGCAACCTCTAGCAGTTATTCCGAGTAGCTAGAAATTAGGCTTACCCAGAAAGAGACAAAAGAATATCCAACCTAAGTCAACAGACAATCTTGCATACTGTTACAAACATTTCCATTGATTTAAAAGCTTTCGTTTTTGCAAAAAAAAAAAAGAAATAAGAGGGAAACAAATGCTTGTATACAATTGAAATCATGAGCAATATTAAAGCTATATTCTTTGTTTAGCTCCGTCAGGTTTTCTAATGTCTCTTCTTGCTCAAATTTGGTTGTTGGTGACCATGAATAACTGCCTTCGGGTGCAGTAAATTCGTGAAAATAATTTCCAAGCCCTGCAACTTACGCACTGAATAGTGGATCTTAGACTTTTAAGATGAACCCATTACAGTTTTTGTGTTATTTTACCTACAGTAAGTCTACTGACTTGGATGTAGCTCTCACGTGTAGCAGGCGCCATTCCATGGCTCTCATGCAGACCTGTAAGTTTAAATATCCTTACTACCTAATTCAAGTTACAAACTTTACTCTTTCTTCCTTTTTTTTAAAAGTATATTTTCTGTTTCCCTTAGCCTGCTCGTGTTCAGACTCCAATCACCAAAATCGTTGGGACATCCGCCATCTCAGTCGGCGCTCAATCCACAGTTCCAACCAACGCGACAATGACTAATTGTTTGCCATCGCCACGTGTGGTAACACCAATGCGACCTCCTGTTGTGAAGGCGGTACCAGTCAAGACTCTCCCCACTCAGATGACTATACGACCAACAATAGCAGTGGCAGCCACGACCACTACAACCAAGCAGAGTATAGTTGGCCGACTTCAGCCGGTTACCGCAGCCACTCCTATTTCTAAACCACAAGCGCCTTCCCTCACACCCAAACCAGCTGTCACCACCAAAAAAGAAAAAGCATTTTCTGCAGCCTCTTCCTCATCTGCATCATACGCGTAAGTATTATTCATAATAACTATTGATTTCTTGTGTTGCCAAACGTTGTTTTTAAAACTTTATTTTTTAGTTACATTTTTTTAATGCACTTTTGTCCTCAAATCATTATATTATTCAAACATGGTGTTTGCAAGCTGGGAATGTCTGGATAATCTGAGAAAGGGCGGAAATTTTGAAGTAGGTCTTGAAGCTCTGAGAAAGTACGGAAAATGTACCTCTGGAATTTTTTATTTTATACGGGGTTATGAAACAACCAACTTCGTGTTTAGTTTTCATGTTTTTGAAAAGCTGCATCAAAGTCTGCATAATCAGCCATATTGAGTGTGTTATTTTACGGAGTTCAAATGTTAACCTCAGAAAAGTATTCAAGTCCGCCCAAAAGGGTTGTACGTAAATTCTTTTAATAGTATAGAAAAACCACCTCAAAAATGGAACCTTCTTAGTACTTGGAGGTGCACCAGCACCCTAATTGCACTGAGTAAATTGGAATCTGCCTTTGTGCAATGGCCTTCAATCTTTTTCTTCTCTCCCTCCCTGTATTCTCTTCTCTTATTTGTTTTCCATGTATTTTTCTTGTATCATGTGATAATATTTCAATTTTCCAGGGCTGATGATGACATCAATGATGTAGCAGCTATGGGAGGAGTCAATTTAGCCGAGGAAACCCAAAGAATTCTAGGTTCAACGGAGTTTGTTGGAACGCAAATTCGGTCATGTAAAGATGATTTATATCTTCACTCGCAACCTCTTATGAAAAAAATCAAAGAAATTGGTGGGTTATATTTTTAATTCAAATTTCCAATGCACTATTAGTTTTTCCTTTAATCCATGAACAGCACCGAATTTGTACCGCTGGAAAGTAAAGTAAATCAAGAACAAGATTATCATAAGATAAAATTTTTAATAAAAGTAACTACTTAGCACATCTCTTTAGAAAAGGAGGGGTATTGCCAAGGGTCGCTTTCGAGCCCACCCTTAATACCTGCAACTCCACAAGTTTTCGTGCATTGAAGATCTATATTTTATGAAATAGATTATGATTCAGCCATTTCCAGACTCTAGTTGGGTCCGAAAGTGGCCTAATGACGTAATGGCTTAAGCGTGAATCAAAAGCCCGATTTTGGCAAGAGATGCAGGTTTTTTGGCATTTAATGTTCTGTCTCATACCATACTATCAAAGTAGCACAAAGTCCTACAATATGTTGATTAGGGATATGAGAGAGTCATTTTGGATAATTTTAGTGAAAAACAAATCTTGCGCTTATACCAAACAAATGAGAAGTGTTGAAATCTTTAGCTTTTAGCTACTATTGTTGTTGCGCCGATTTTGAACGAATGAACAGTCATCTGTAAGATTGGAATGACAAAGATGATTGTTTTCAGACAGTTTCCAAGATTATTGATGGTAATAAAAGATACAAATAATAGAAATGCCAAAGCTGAATTTAATTTATCTATTAGACGTAGTTAATTCAGTTATGATCCCGAATTTTATGGAAAGAAATCTCAATGGTTGTTGTCCTTTCAAGTGCTGGGTTTCAATTGTGTTCCCTTTTTTTTTCTAGCATCTCAGCATGGTTTAGATGAACCTAGTCCTGAGGTAGCTGCAATAGTTTCTCATGCAACTCAAGAGAGATTAAGAAACCTTGTAGAAAAATTAGCTGTTATTGCGGAACATCGGATCGATTTGAATAAGGTTTGACTAGTTCTAAGTTAATTAGATTTAAGCCAGCCTTCAGCAACAGAAAGACAGCAAGTCACTACATCAGCATAACTTGCTTGAAAGTTTTTTTACTGTTGAAGCAATGATTACTTACAAAAGATGCGCCTGTAACAAATCAGGGGAACTCTCAGCTAATTTCTACCAAATAGACGCCTGAACATGGTAAAACGTAAGCAGTGCTCATTGCAATGTAAAGATGAGATATGTTTGATGAGATGAGAAGATTTTACTGTCAGAAAAAAGCGCATCAGTTTGAGTTTGGGAACCTTTTAAATGTTTGGTTTGAAAATCAGTTCGGATTCAAAATTCTAGGTTCTTACTGTTCTAAGAATCATAATAAATGTATCGCAGTAAACAAAGTTGAGCAAAAAAGAACCAAGAACATTGTAATGTTTCTAAGATGGGATCATTTCTATTTCAGTGTTTGTGGGGAAAAACTGAAACCAAGAATGAAACTTAAAAAATATTTTTCTTGCATTTTTTTTTCTGACTTTCTCCACGCCTAGGAGTCCCTCAATCTTAGGAGCATTTCATAGCACTTAATCATTTCTAACTAAATTCAATCCATTTATCAATCACCGTTCATTTTTGACAAATCATAGAAATTCAGAATTGAATTTATCATCATCTGTCATATCTATTACATCTTGACTGCTCCCTTTTAGATTGTGAGAGCTGAGAGTTGGTGTTTATCATCTCACTGCAAGCGGCTTTAAATATGACTGATTTTGCATTGTTTTGTTTTCGTACTCAGGCTGATTGGCGGTATGAAGTTTCGCAGGATGTTAGGGGCCAACTTAAATTCCTGGAAGAATTAGATCGAGTGGAACGGAGACGGCATGATGAGGTTGAAAGGGAGCTATTACTCAGGGCTGCAAAAAGCAGGTCGAAGTCGGAAGATCCAGAACAAGCGAAGCTCAAGGCTAAAGCCAAAGAGGTAAGAGCCCTGCTAGTGTTGCAACGGAGAAAAGCAAGACCCTCCTAATGAGCATTTTTCATGTGTTTTTTTATGGCTCTTGTCAATGGATTATATGTCTTCACTTTTTGCAAAACTCACTCGCAGAATGCTGCCACCTCCAAGTTGAAATTTTGACTTAAGTTGCATTTAATAAAACAATTCTGCAGTATTCTTCCTGTGAACTCCATGAAAATAATTGCACCATAGACTGTCTTGAAATTATGTGATGTGGGACAGTCAGCATGTTAAGTTAGTGCGAGTGCGGTGGCCGTAAGAAGAGCACTTTGAAAAGAATGCCAGTGGGTTGCGAAGATAATCGGCTTGGAGGCCTAGTGACAGATGATAGCAGAGCTTGAAGGGACCGAGAGACTGCTGTCCCAGGTTTGAGTACACAGATTTGCACCTCTTAAAGAAGATACCAGGGCTTGTTGCTCATTTTCACTCGCACAGAAGTTAATGTGTTTTTTTTCTGTTTCTCATCGTAGCTTTTTCTATCGAGTAATGATAATTTTTCGTTTTGTACTACTGTTGATGTTCCTTGCAAAGTTTCTTTAGCAGAGCTTTTTGTGATGAAAATTTATATGCCCCCCCTTTTTTTTTCCTCAGATGCAGAGAGCAGAAATGGAAGAACTGCGGCAAAGAGAAGCCAACTTTACTGCTCTTCAAGCGATTGGACCAAGAAAAAAACCAAAATTAGAAGTGCCTACTTCAGCCAGCAATGGCTCCTCTATGGTAACCTTATTTTCTCTTTTAATAAACCTCCTAAGGTTCTTTTTAATTTTTTACAGTGAAGTGACGGAGGGTGGAGAAAGAATCACCTCAGAAACTATTTAGCCGTCCTATTTTTCAAACTGGCCCTTTTATTTTATGAAACATTCCTCTTTCTAAATCGTTCCTTATAGAATTCTCTCTCTCCTTATCTACAAGTTGCTGTGTTTTTGCCCCAAAAAAATACTATTTTCCTGCGGACGCGAACTAGCATTCCTATTTTCAGAATCCTTTTGGCAACCCTCTCCAGTGTTCAGGGGTTTTTTTAGAGCCGTAAGCTGAATTTAATACTGGTTTTTCACGATCAAGACACTCAATTCTTTTTGAGATGGCAACCTTTAAATGGTGGGGAACTGGAATTTTTCCTGTTCTTCGATGGGTTTGCTTCAAAGGTGATATTTAGGGTTACTATGGATGCTCAACATTAATTCAACTCTAGTTCATCAAAATACAATGAGATTCTAGATTTAAAATGGCAAGAAATTGGTATTTTTGCGGTTCTCTAATGGAGTTGCTTTAAACTTGAATTCAGGGGGAGTTGAAATGCTGAACACGAATTTTATATTAGTTTGCCAAAGTACTCAGCCATTTTTAAGATAAGGGGCCTTAAATTGCAGGAAATCAGTATTAATCCGATAAAAGTCTCCAACTCGGAAAGGATTGTACATTTTGTTAAACTAGCATCAAATTCATGTTCTGTGTCCCAAAAAAGCCCTGAATACCAAGTTTAAAACAAATCAACTGGCAAATAAAAAAGATATTGATTTACTGTTCCTTGAAGGCTGCCATCTTCAAAAGGGCTAGGTATTTTGAAGAAGTAACATCTAATTCCTGTTTAGCATTCCTATAAACTCTCGGATTATATCAAAGCAAATCCATTCAGAGGTTGCCGATATGCTTTTTTCACCCTTTGAAACTTTAACCAGCACTCGATTTGTACTTCTCAATAAATAACAAGGTGGTAAAATGATGCTTGGTCCACACTGTTGCGGGGAAAGCAACGCCAAAAAATTAAAAAAATTTTCAGTTAGAATAAGAAATTTGAGCTCTGATGAGTATATCAGTTTAAGACTGTAGAGCTCTAAGACTCCAATTGGAATGTTTAGCCCTCTTTTCTTCGATAAATAGTGTGGACTTAGCACTATTTTACCATCTTGTCACTCACAGTTCGGGCCACATTTTTCGTGTTTTTTCCTTGTCTTCTCATGGAATCTAGATCTTTTCTTAATCCCAGAAAATTTACTGATTTGATTGCATTTTGCTCTTCTTCCACTCTAAATTATATTAGAGGATCAGAATTTGTATTATAAACCCAGGTGAAAAAAAGGGAAAAAATTAGAGCAGCCTCTTTTTAAGTGTTATTAATTTTCCCTCATTCCTTAATATTTTTATCCCCTATTAATGAATTTGTATTTATCCTTTTACAGGCTCCGGGTAGTGATAGTTCTCAAATCTCCTCAAGTAGTGTAAATAGGCCACAAGTAAGTGAAGATATTTTTAATTAATGATTTCCCTGAGCATTCTATCAACAATTAGTCTTGCTCTCCCACCCCAGACAAAGTGTTTAATTTCCCCCCTAAAAACCAATTTTAGCTTCCATCCAAAATTTTTAGACTGACCTTGAATGAACTTAAATGCTTTTTACCGTGAAACCACAATAGCTCGGTATCTAGATGAGTTGGAGTTTGCTTAAGTTCAGTAGAATTACTGGAGCAAACTATGGCCTCTGTAATGCTGGTCTTTTCAGGCAGGTGTTGACTGCCTGAGATCGAGGATCCATCGGCAGTCAATATGTAGAAAAGCTTTTGTAATCTACAAGTATTGTTCTACATTTGCAGTAAGTCAATTTTTTGGATTGACCAGTAAAATGAAGGTTTCATTTTGGAAGGACTCAATCAACTGTTTTATTGCCTCCAATAAAGGTATATTTCCACAATTGGATTTGGTTCATTTTTTGGACCAAATTCTTGAATCAGACCTTTTTTTTTCTACCCAATCTACTAGTCAACTGAGCTCATCAGTAACCGGTGTTTGAATCAAATCCAAAACTTCCTGATCCACCTCTGGTGATGGATCGAACAGTGGATGAGAGTAAACAGTTTCACCGGGAACCTCAAATTTTAAACTATATGCTGAACAAATGGCAGTAGGAAGATGAAGGAGGCAAAAGTTTCGTAGCAATTGTATTCTAAACAATGCAAATATTCAATAAAGTGTAAGCAGTATATATTGTTGCAACTTTGGTACCTGTATATTTTTACTTCATGTTGCGTTGATCAATTAGTGCGCTTTTTTTAACCCCATCCGAAATTTGGTTCATTTTCTAAAGGATTTTGTTGAATATCTAATACTCAATTCTAATTACTCCCAATTCCATTTGTGACGTAACATTCAGTCATCCACAAAATGAACCAAATCCAGTCGCAGAAATTCGCCGTAACATGTCTTTATTATTAATAACAGACTCACAACCGGTGTTCATAGTACTTTAAAGTAAGAGATGTAAACTAATTGAATGTTTTTACTCCCAACAGCTGGCAAGTCGTCCTAGACTAAAGCGGGTGAACATCAGAGACTTCCTCTTCCTCCTAGAGCAAGAAAAGGAAACGTGTCATAGTCAAATGCTCTTCCAAGCGTATCTCAAGTGATGTTGTGTACACAAGTGCTGCGCACCTTTCCCATTCACTGAGGTACAAAACCAATGGGGTTTTTGTTTTCTCAACTTTCTTTGTTATGTCTTCATAGCACACGTATGCTACCATGTGAAGAAACTTCCCAGTCGAACAGTTACGCTAGCTCTAAAGCAGCCATGCTCAGTGCACAAGAGCGTAAGTTTATTTGAAAAAACATTGTTATGACCTTTTGTCACGACTGATTAATCATGCCATGCTTTGATCTGTTTTCAATTGCAAACCGATGACTTTGTTTTCGAAACAGGTTTCACCTTTGTGACCTCTTGTAACGGAAATAAATTTCAAGAATGCAAAAGAAAATTTTATATGAAGAGAGCTAGTTATTTCTACTGACCCACACTGAGTCTTTTTCTTTATCGTTGAGTGCGGTAATATTATCAGTAGCATATTTTGAAGCCACTTTTACAAATAACACTAAACATGATTTGACTTCATGGCATTGCTTAAAAAATGGTCACCTGATTCCAGTACATCCCGTCCCAGATTTTTTATGACGTTTTTTGTCTCATTTGTTAGTCGCTAAAAATTGGATTCGTGTGAGGCTCATTCAAAAATTCATTGTTTTAGGTGGGAAAGTCTTTTTACAAATTAGTCAAAATTATGAAACGAAAATTTTCGAGTTTTAGGATTAAATCTAAACCATAGTACTAAAACTGAGGTAGCGGGGAGCAAGTTCCTGAAATCATAACTAATTTCTAAAACCAAATTTCAATAACTAACTTTAAGTGTTTGCGTATGTAGAATCACATACATAATTTTATACATGTTTTACTGTTTGTCCTCTAATTTCTTTAAAAAGGAAAACTAAAGAAATAAATAGACAAAAAAAATCATCACAAATCAATTATTCGTCTCATTGGAAAATTATAGTTTATATAATTTTTCCCTCAAATTATCAGCTTTTGCCTCAAGTTTAGTTTGCCTGATTCTAATGGAGTGAAGGAATCATTTCGGAAAATGAGATTATTACTCTAATAATGAATAAGCCAAATTAAATCTAATTCCCAGTGCTAGTGCGTGTGTCTTGAAAGTGATCTTTAGTACTCATGTGTACCACTGGCATAATGGTTCTTTATTGTGATTTTTGCTTATTTGTCAAACATTTCTGACTTATTTTGAAGTAATGCAGTCACAGAAATCACATAAGTTTTGATTTTGCCAAAAATGTTCGTACTTTCCCTTCATATTAATATTAAAAGTTAGGTCGGTGAGTTTATGATGGGCTGGATGTTTGTAAATACCCGTAACTGTTCTATTTAGGGTGTTCTTTTCATGTGCTTGTTTTTAAAATCTCTAGGGGTTTTCTTTTTTGCATGAATATTGGCAGAGATCTATTTTAAGCTCTTGTCAAGCTGTTGTTGTATTTGGTTGATCTCCTCAGAGTGGCCACTGGTCAGTTAGGAAAGGTTCGAAAGATTATTCTTTGAAACATGTATTTTATGAAATGTAAATAAATGAAAAATAGAAATTTTTATCAAAAATGAACCAATGATGCCTATTCAGAAAGACAAACAGTTTGAAAACGTGTTAAGGTTAATATTACCTAAATCATATGCTGTAATCAACCAGAAGCTGGAATTGAAAGAGTAACACTGATTTTCTTTTTCTATTCAATACGTAAATATTTTACTTTTAAATGATATCTGAAACTGCAGATGAAGTCTTTTCAGAACTTTAAAACTTTCGGAAATACCGTTAAATATCAGCGTTTGATCATTACGCCAGCAAAATATGATTATCTTTATTCAGAATCATCAGCTGGTTTTTGTTATGAATTTAGCTAGGGCTGTAAGAGTCCTCAAATTTCAAGTCTAGTCAAGCGGAGTTCCACAATCTCGTCTCAACTTAAAAAAAGACGTGATGCTTGAGCAAGTCTTCAACTCACAACTCAAATGCCGAAGACCACCCACTTTGAGTTGTTTTGAGCCGAAAACGCCACAATGAATCAAGGCTGTACTAATGAGTCAGTGAGGAGTGGACAAATCTATCATTCTAACAGAAATAATGATTACTCACATGCTGTCGTGAATTCAGAATCTGTTTCTTTTGTTCAGAGCAAGCAACATCAAAGGCAATAAGTACGCAACCACAATGTAAAAACTCGAACTCGATTTAAACCGAAAAAGAAAACTTGCTCAACCTTAGATCCAGCCCTGTTGCAGCTTTCATTAAGTTTATAAACAAAACCTATATGCTCATTATGTATTCCAAGTTTTAACTACATACGTACACTTGTCAGAAGATGTAGGTCACAAAAAGCTACAAGTTCTATAATGGACCTAGAATTTCTCTCTTTGGTGCTGTGAGAAGAAACACAAGTCTTGAGTGAAAGAGGTGTAATCAGGAGTGATAAATAAATAACCTTTGAGCAAGAACTTCTTCACCATCTTTGAAAATCTTGGGGAATGAAGTGAATGTTCGGATAATGAGATGTTATTTGAAATGAAACACCATTTCAGATCCAGAGAAAACCAGCTTGATGTTAGGAGTTTGAATTGCTATTCCTAACTCAACATGCGGAACAGGTATCTTTCTTTGGACAAGGGTGCTTAAACTCTTCCACGTTTAAAGATATAGGTCGAATATCTTGGTTGTATGTAATTGAAAGCAAACATAAAATGTATGAGCCAATCGCTGCAGCCAATTTTTTAAAGTTTGAAAGAAAGTTTTCAAAAGTTGAGTGCTTCTGCATTCTGTCCAGAGCTTGTATTTAGAGGGATCCCATAGATAAGATGTTTTTTCTTCCCTTCGAATTGTTGTCCAAGCATATTTGAGCTATGCAATCTGATTATTTCCGTGTTTATAGATAGATGCAACCAAGATCAGGACTCCATCTTTGACCATTCAAATGTTACAACGAATGTTATCCAACCCGAAGGAGGAATTTGAACGAGTTAAAAAGTAATAATTTATATACTGTTGCGTTAAATTTACTCAGATTAAAGACTGGGATCTAATATTGATTGCAATCAGAAGGTAACACATAAAGATGCCTGATTCAGTGGATTGTTTTTTGAGCAATTTTTTTATGGGCAAACGTGAGTGGAAGCTGAGTGCGCAACTGCACAAGTATGTTTCCCTAAATTGAAAGAATGCCTCAGAATTTAACCGTTTTTTTGTTTCACATCGGTAGTTTTTAAGCAACTAAAGGCTGAGGTCTGATCTTGGTGGCGTCTAAAAGATGAAGGGTAAATATGACAATTTTTGTCGCAGTTTATTTCTTGGAAATCTATCTACAGATATCTACAAGATTTAGGAAACATATTTTCTTGAGCGGAGCATGCATGCTTGGTTTTTTCGGGTCTCCTTTTAGCCCTAAAAAATATTGTTTGGAGGAGAAAAAAAAAAACTGTGTTTACACCGTGTGTACTTTTGAATGCATCCAGACCGAATCGATATCTGTTAAAAAGTTCCAGCAAGAAACAACTAGTTTTTAGAGAATCCTGCTAATGAAGTTAAAAATATTTGTTTTGCCTGCGACCTGTAAATGAAATCTTCATTTAAATAATGTCTCACTTTTCTCATTAATAGTTATTAACTCCTTTTTCTGTGTTTTGTTTTGTTTGTAAGTCTTACAATTTTATAAAGGCTGGCAGTGCAATTAAGCCGCTTTAATAATTACACTTTTGAGTACATTGTGACATGTAAAGTCACATAAAAAAGTTATATCCATATCGGTAAAGGCCAAACTCCACCTGTAGCATCTTACAAAAAATTTCTCAAGTTTTATGTCAATAGCAGTCATGCGAATTGTATCAGGGAAGCTTGATCATTGCACTGGCAGCCTTTTTTCATGTCAGAGTTGATTACTGAGTAGTTAATTAAAGGTAATGCTATCTCACCTGAAAAGCCTTTGTGTGGAGGAGGTAATAATTACTAAATTCAGTTTTCACGAGAAAGTTCTGGTCTGCAGCTTGTGTGGATTTAGATTTGACTTGCGTAACCACTGTATCTCTCACTAAACTTGGCGAAAAATTTGCTTCAACCCCATATTTCTGTTGGACTCAGAAGATTGTAAGATATATTCATCTCTTTGAATAGTATTGTTTAATCTTGTGTTGTTTCCCAGTCAAAACCACTGTGAGTGTGTCACATCAGTGATGATTGTAAAATACTGCAGCTCTTAGCTAAATTCATTGGTTAGGTTCCTTTTCATAACAGATTTTTTTTGTTGAGAAATTGTTATCTGTGGCTTACTCTCTAGCCCCCAAGGATCCCTCTTCAAATTCCACTGTATCATGTTTTTCCAAGAATAATCGAGGGCAAACTAGTTTTGAGTCTAAGCATTTGTCCCAGTTGGCCACTCTGACTCTGTTAAAATTATTGAAATTAGTTTAAAAATGTTGTTTTTTCTGCTATTTATTATTCTTTATTTTTTTAAGTGTGTTGTTTTTTCTTTTTGCATCATTTTTCTCTTCAAAGAGTAATGTTTTTTCAATGCAGGGGATGACATTTTTATTCCCTAGGAACATTTATGAACTAAGTTGCAGTGTCAGGTTTTGTTGGTAGTAAAATGTTATATGTATGTCTTGGTTTTATCTAATGAGTCACTAAAGATATGGAGTTTATTAAAACAATCTTGGATCACCATGATTTTGCAGTTTTTAAGAATTGTTCTGCTGTGAAAATGAATACCTAGTAAGTAGCGATGGCTCAACTTAGGACCCATGCACCTTGGTTTGTGAGCTCGGTTTGTAAGCTGTCCAACTCCATAATGAATTAACACTTAAATTGGTTTTTTTAAAACAATATCAGTGAATTTTCTCCCTTCGTACGAAAATATCCTGTAAACATTTCAAGTCATAAAGTTGCCTAGTTTTTCCTTTTAAACAAATTAAATAATAATAATAAAAAAAAATTAAGAACTACAATGTATAAGTGCAGTTTCTGAGTGTAGCCATAAGCTAGTATGTGAAAATGATTACATAGTTATGGCTCAACCTAGGAACCATGCGCCTCGGTTTGTGACTATAGATTCTCATCATGAACTAACCAACTTTATCATGAAGAAACTATTACTTCTTTCTTTTAAAATAACTAGATAGATTAAATATCTAGATTTTCAGCTCATCTTTTGTATTCTATCACCTTAAAATCCTGAATTTTTTTATTTATTTTTTCTTTCCCTTTAAAGAAACCAGACTTCTCAATGATAGTTCACTTGTGAAATAACCATAAACTAGTCTATGGAACAATACACAGAGGTGTAAATGTGTAGACCTCAATTCAAATTAATTGACCTTTTTAATCTATTTGCACCGCAACTGTAATTTTTACATGTGCTAGCTGAGGAAAATCGTAAACATACCTGAGATAGAGCTCAACTACATCTCAGAAGGTACCATCAATAAAAATTAACGTTTTGAACTTTCCTGAGGTCCATTTCCACTGAAAGGTAAAAGTTAAAAATTATGTAAGGAAATTAACATTCGGTGGACTGAGGTGTGTATCAATGTAATTGATCCTTAAAAAGGTATCACCTGCCTTTTCATACTTTGAAATTCAGGGCAACCACCACAATATAGTCATAGACCAAGCCTTTGATACTCAACCTCATTGTAGGAAAACTGCTGTTTAGATGTATGCAGCTCGTATGTTGTTGTCAGTTGTTCCAATCAGTAATCCATTTCTTTTCTAAATAATTTGTATCATTTCTAAATAATGAGGAAATATGAACAAATCCTTGGAAATGCTGGTAAACATTATTTACTATTTTCTGATTACACAGCATATCCTCAATCGTCTTAATATTTTTTACTATTGTTTATATTTATTTGTGAGTCTACTTTTATGACATCATAATCAATGAACAATTAATGTAATCAATGAACAATTAATGGGATTTCAGTCAGGGGTACTATGTATGTCTCATTAAGCAGAATCTAAAGAAATGTTTCAAAAGCACAAGCGTTTCCTCGAGTAAATAATATTGACTGATCTAGTTTTGATTTTTGCTGTATAATATCTGTAATTTTCTTCAATTTTCAGTCTATGTTTGATTAAAATTGCTACACTTCCAATGCGTCAATAAGCAAAGTGCGAATCCATGTATTCCCATTGTGATGCTTCAAAATCCCCCCCCCCCCCCTGGGTTTCAAAATTGCCCCACACTTTATTTTTTTCAAAGAGAAACAAGCCAACTTTCTAGCTCATAAGTTATGAAGAATATTCTGACAACAGAAAAGAAAAATCAAGGAGATTTTAAAAAAATTACATTTCCCAATTTTCTAAAGAAAAAACGAAGTACGACAGGAAGTCTGTAATGTCGCAAACAGGTCTGCATGGTTTTAGACTCAGGCCATTGATATGCCGTCATTTTCAAAGGCATAACCATGTTCTTCTGCAATTGGTTCATGTAACAAATAATCGAAGTTATGAATTCATTAATTTAATTTTGTGTCTAAAAAATAAAGGGGGAAAAATTGAAAGAAAACTCATTTTAAATTGTCAAAAGGCATGTTGGAACATCTTTAGAGAATGCCAAATGATATTAGAGTGGTCAATGAAAGTGGTGTACCATAAGTAGCTTTCGCATCCTACATCAGTAAGGTGTCCTAGATATTTTTTTTTTTACATTCAAGGAGATTTTAAGAATTTGGGAGGATATGGATCAAAAGCTGAAGGAGATCATAACAAAATGTCCATATCAAGGAAATTCCAATTAAAAGTTTGCAGGATATTTCGACCCTTTATGACATCATGTGCTTCCTGGAAAAAAATTCTCCTATCTCTCTTCTTTTTCTGCGCACTAATTTTTGCAATGTATTGTTCAAAACTTTAAAGTTTTTAATAATAACTGCGGAATAGGTAGCATGAGGGATCCGCTTAAGGGTCATTCCATGAGAAAGCATCCAGAGGCTGTTACTTGACGGACTCGAGAACCTTTCAAGTCTATAATATTTTTCTAAACAGGAAATCACTTTGCAAAGTGTCAACTGTAGATAAAGCACAGCTACTAAACTAACTTCAAGCCTTTCAAATAAGAGTAATCATTGGCTGGAGTATGTGATGTAGACTACCCATTTTTAGTGACTCATTTTTAGATGCACACTATGATCTCCAGAATATGTGTGAACCATGTCATGTATCTATTTAATAATTATTTGGGTTTGTTTTAAGTACTAATACAAAAAACTAGGACAAGCCAAATGGCAGGGAGAAGAGGGAATCTTGCTAACCACTTCTAGTGATAATTGGTCAAGATGTCACTACGTATCATATATTTTTTTTATTTGCATCTCTTCTTTTTAGTTATGAGCAGTTGATTTGAGCATGGTGGCTTACATTTTTCCTTATTTAAAATATTGAGGTGATCTGATTATTAAAAAATTCATTGTTCTTGAACTAAGAGTATTGAAAAAAGCCGAACAGCAGTAATGATTTCAGTTTCATTAAAAGTTTCTACTTTTTTGCTATGTAATTTGTCTCATAATTTTTCCATGTCGATATGCGCCTGAACAAGAAATTGAAAGTAAGTCCAGGAAACCATTTATCATTTCATATTTGACACGAAATAGTGATCATATTCATTCATATTTGAATAAATAATGTGCTAAATTTAGAATCAGATTTTTGGAATAACATTCTGTCAGAGAATCAGTTTTTTGTATTTTCTTACAGCAAGATTATAACAACCATCTCTGTGTAATCAACATTTGACTGGATTGCACTGGATTTACTTCACAAATAAATTGACTATCCACTGAGCATTATATATTCAGATATGTGAATATCAGTCGCCTCAGTAACTCATTAACTTCCAGATTATGAAGAAATTTCAATACAGGAATCAGAAGCTGTAAAATCAGATCTCTAATTGATCGCATCCATAATAGTTCTTTTGAAAACAGACTGTAAGGAATCAAGAATTCGTTAAACTTAAGATGGAAAAAAATCATTTGGGACTTTCATGGTTCCTCCTAAAGATCATTAGTCAGTTTGTAATCATGACAGGAAATGTTAAGTCACTTCCAGTTCTATAATTTTACGTAGAATTATTGATGTTGCTCAAAGCAGAGTTTCACAATTGTGAGTTCTTATGGATCACATCTGGATTTACACCTTCTCTTTCAAGAGAAATTAAATACTGTTTTAGGCTGTAAAACCATTATAACTTTACTATAGTTCATCAGTTGTCAATCAACATTAACTCATCTGTAAGATCCTTCATTTACGACCTAGATTCCGTTTATTTTACAGACAGTCCTAATTCTGGAAAAATGTAAAAATAAAAAAAGAAAAGAAAAAGAAAAAACTAAGCAACTTTGTTTGTTTTCATTTGATAGATTCGGTTACCATTGCTTACATGGTTTTCTCAACCAAGAACCATTTTTGAAGTTCAAACAAATGAATCAATCATTCTCAACTTGATGTGCCAAAAAATCGAAAATTGAGTTTTTGGTGGTTCTATAATGCTGAGGCATAGATACATCTAATAGCATAGTGCCAAGCAGAAAATCGGATTTTTAAGGCCTAAAATACACCTGTAAAGTCAACCTATTCTCCAACAGACTCAAGCGTTGTAAGGCACTCACTTATCTTGATTTGATCCGTTTCAAATTTTCAAGAATAAAGGGGTAAATATTTGTTCTTTTAGACCAGGCATGTCTCTGTATGTGAGATTTTAGTATGTTTTTGCCCTTGGAAGCGATCATCAGTAATGTAATTATTAGTAGGTGAGGTATTATTGTACTCTAAGAGAGAGAGTGTAAATGAAAATTGTGGTGCTCATTATGGCTTGAAACACTGAAAATTTGACTCTAAATTTGGAAAATTTTCTGAAGTAGTTCCATTCATTCCCTAAAGTTTAAGTGCCAATTCTTGTTTTTCTTCTTTTTCTGTTCGAATTGTAGGAACATTTCCGGAACAACCACAATCCGATTTTAAATTGCAGTTTCCTAACTTGTTCACTTCTCTGGCCTAGATTTAGAACGGGTTGATCAAAAGAGTTTTCATCGTTTTTCTCGAATTCTAACTTGTAGCACTTCAGTATTTTTGAAATTGATTGATTCAGTCATTGACATAGACTGAAATAAATTCAGGTGCATTATTGAATCCACCGGTTTGGGCTGTTCAAGACACTACCTGACAATCCGCAGGAAACTTTCAGTTATTAAAATAATCAAAGGCTTTTCAGGAGTACATCGGCTGGCCAATAGTCAATTTTATTGTAAAGAACAAAATAAAGATCCGTCTTTGTAATTTTAGTTGATAATCAAAGCAATGGCTGCCTACAACCTACAACAATAAACAGAATGTTAATCAGTAAATACAAATAAGACCTTTGTAAGTGAACAGGGAACACCTGCTTCAAACAAGCAGCCCCTTTGCACAGGCCACTTGTCCAAAGTGTTTCCTTATGTGGCTGAAACAAACTTGCATTATAATTGATTAATGTTCCACTTTAATTTCTAGGACATTTTCCCCCATTTTTTCTTTTTTTAAAAAAAAAATTGAGTTTTAAATATTTTCCTTTTGTGTCTAAGCAAGCTGACGAATGCTGTTACGCTCATTAAATTCAAAGTACAGACTTTTTTATGAACTTACGTGATTTTTGCCCTGGTTTGTTCACTTCTAATACGAAAATGTTGTTAAAAATCCCTTTATCCTCTCTTTTGGCACAATAATCAATTTTTTAACTAATGTTATCATTTTTATATCAGTGAAGTATATGTTGAGTTTTTCCTGTTGATTTTTTTTCTATAGCACATGTTTTGTTTAACCCCTACAGTTTTTCTCTATTATAATACATGTGTTTTAACCTCTGACAAAGAGAATTCTCTAATTCTCCCAACCATTATTTATCTGGATAACATAAAATCTTCTTCCCAAAAATTGACGAAGCCTTGCCCAAAAAATTGCTGTTTCTCTTAGTTGCTCTGTAATTAATTGTAAAATTCTGTGCTGATAAGTCCTCTCGTGGGACTATGTCCTCTTTACAAGCTCTAGTACTACACGGGGAGCTCTTGTTCAAGCCCTGAAATGGACCTGAATTTATGTCAGCCATCTGACTGATCTTAAGTTTGAATGTTTGCAATAGCAGCTTATGGATCTATACAATGAAACTCATTCCATTGCTTTAGTTAGTATAGAAATTGTTTTTATTTTCTAAAAATCAATCCTTAGTTATCATTATTATTTCTTAATTTTTTCATTTTTCTATCCTATAGTCACCAGATCCATCATTAGCTGACATAGGATACCAAAGAAGAAAAATGAAAAATAAACTGTGTTGTTGGGTTATTGTCTCCATTGGAAATCGTTAAGTGATAAGTTTGGCACGTGCAAGTGGAGCTTGTTAAGTCGAAACTGATGTGTTTTGAATTCGTATTCGATAAAATCTTACTTCTAGTCCCCATTTCAGCTGTATGTGCTCATCAAAATATGAGGAAGCCGAAGAGCTGTAATGGAAAAATGTGTTTCATCATGTTCGCATCATTATCCTTTGTCACCCTGAACAGCAAACTTTCTGAATTTCCGTCTATTTTAATCAGACAATGCGAATTCAAAACCCAATTGTTCATAAGTGTTAATCAGAATCTGTTATCTCCTATTTTCATGTTTGTCAATGACGAAGCTCCTAAAATATTTGTAATTGTAAATTTCAAAATTTTAACATGTATTTTCTCTTTCTGGCTTGTGTTTTATCATAGTATTGCTGCACAATTTCGAAATTATTACTGCTAGTCGCTTTGCTTGTTGAAAAGTGAAGTTGTAAAAAAGTATTGTTACTTTATTCCTTGAAAAATTTGCCTCCTCTGAAGTCTGGAGTTCATTTTAATTGAAGTGAAACTTACAATGATCATTATGTTATTAAGTTACATAATGGGATGTCATAGCTTTCACAGTGAAGAACGATTTTTTCCAGAAAGTCAAATCGAGCAATCGGTGAAGAGTGAAATGTTGAATGCTACATCGTCACCTTCCGGCCAAAGTATCACAAGTGTCCATTTGTGCTGCGGCACCATGTTGCGGAACTTCTCAAACTTTTCCAATTTTTTACAAAGAAAGTAAAAAACAGAATCACTTGAAAATTTTACTAAATATTTCTTTTATCATCAAGATCAACCCTAGAATTTTTTGAGAAAGCATGTGCTATAGGTTCATAGAAAAAATTTAAACAATATTGGAGATGTCCAGCCACACAACGTCGAAGCATAAATGGTGCGTATGATGCTTTTGCCGGAACCCCATATATCTACTGGCCATAGCGACTGGATGAGAGCAGCTGATCTTGAGTTTTCGTCCAATGTCACTTTAGTATAGAGACTTTTTCCTGAGCCCTATTCATGATCATCTTGCCTCCACCAAACTTGAAGACAATGAGAAATTTTTTTCGAAAATTATACAAAGACTTAGACTGTTTGTCATTTCAAAAGAAATTTTTCAAATAGCTCTCGAGTTTGCTCAAAGTAGGTCACACTATGTTCAAGGAGAGAAAAAAAAAAATCAGGATTATTATGTCTCTTTAATCGATTTGTTTTAAGGTTATACTCATTTGAATGTCTTCTCAAAACTTGTTTCACTATTAACTTCTTCACTAATAAAGGTCGGATGAAAACAGAAGCCTTAGGCTTTAGTTCTTCGATTTTTTCAAATGAGGAGTGTAATTTGAGCTTTTCAACACCCCTTACTAGATCCTTTGTTTCCACTCTACTTATGAAAGAAACGCCAGGCCAGATTTTAATGTATGTGATAAGCTGCAAATCTGTGTAAATATTCCTTTTGTTACCTTATTTATTTTTATGAATTTTTTCCCTTGATTAGTTTCTTTTCTTGTTTTGAAAAATCATAGATTCTGAAATTATTTTAAATTTTTAAATAATACAAAGTATAAATTGTTCTAAGTGATTTTTATATGTATCTTGTATATATGTAAGTATTTAAATAATGTATATACTTGTGAATAAAATAGTTATTCCACATATCAAGAAATATGTGAATATAAAAATTAATCCTAAATTTCACTGGCTCCAATTTTTCCCCTCATCATTGTTCAAGCTCCAGTCAATTCATTGTAGGAAAACAGATTTTAAGTTAAAAAATTTGGATTTACTGATGTACAGAAACATTAAAGGAGGATAATGAGTTGGAGGAAAAGTAAGTTTTGCAATATCTCCTCATTAGAAATTGTCGAGATTTTTTTGGTATATCACTTGACTGAAATGAGTAAAATGTGTTATGAACACTAGGGACACCACATAAATTAAATTGCCATCCTTAAATTCAGTATAACTCAATAAAACCTAAAATAATGTATGCCCTTATCCCATTCTCCAGAAAGTTATGACTCTTTAACTTTAAAAGGCTCCCTAATTATTATTTCAGCTTAAGAACTCCTGACACTGTGCAGATTTTAATGGCATAAATAAAAAATTCAGAAAAGCAGAGGTGTCCCTTGTGCAGAGAAGCTTGCAAAATGGGTTGATGCAGTTTCCCTAATGTGAGCCATGCCAAGAATTTTCTCAGATGATCTTTGTTACGTTCACTTTGTATCAGAAGCATGTAGTATTGTTGAGAGGCTTCTAAGAGGTTATTTTTGTTGTTGTTAGTTTGACTCATGCCATGGGGCTGCATAGTGCATATTCGTAGTATTCAGCCTCTGCGCTTCTTTCGGTTTTCAGTTAGTTTTATTTATTTTAAAAGTCTCGCACATAAAAACTGCAATTACAGTCATTGCACAGGTCAATAACAAATGAAAGTATTACAATAACAGTAAATTAGCATAACGCATATTCTTTTTGAAGCAGCTCATCAATACTACAAAAAGCTTCACGAAGTAGGAGCTGTTTTAGCTATATTTCCCATTAGAATTTATTTTTGTCGTAAGTAACATTAGTTAAGAGTCCGCACTAAATAAGAAAACGCACTCTCCGACTGCAACAGAGGATCTGCCAACTTTATTCTTGCATTTACTTTCAATGCATAAGTGACCTCAAACGATCTTTTGGCGCAGTCTAAAATATTAAAACTTACTCGGCATGGACTATACCGAACAGGGACCGCTAGACAAGGTCCTAGATTAAAGGCAATGATACAAGTTTCCTCAACAAAATCCACTTGGAACACAGTGGGAGAGCATTTTCAAATTCACCTCAAGAAGAAAAATCATTCACACAAGTGAATTCACCTCACTAGTGAAGTTCGTTAACGTCTGTGTTTTAGTTTACGAAATGTCAAAATCTACTGAAGTCAAATTTAGCTTAAAACTAATGTTTATATGTAATACGATAGATGACATTTTTTTGTGCACTGAATTTTTAAAACCAAAATTTTACAAATTAAGTTAAATTGAACACTGATTATTTGCTGAGTGGACAAGATGTTCTCATGTCCGACTTGACCTGCTTTGTTTTTGTTTTTTTTTGTAAGCAGGAAGTTTGAATTGACTAATCCTAATGAGAATACTAACGTTGATTCTTCACCTGAAGTATGAAGTATGTTGAAACGTTCGGATACACTCAGCATATCCTTCAAGAAATTTTGATAAAGGACAAAGTCTTGAGGAAGTTGAACTCTCACCCTGCATATGGGTCTATTATGAAAGGAGACAGAAAAAGCTATATTTAAAGCTAATGTACTTAAAAAAGCTATATTTGGTATTTCAGAGGACAAAGGTATGGGTAAAGGAACTCAAACAGTGCAAAAAACAATTGTGAATTCCTTGAGAGATAGAAAGGATAAGAAAAATGAAAGTAATGACAAGCAACGTAGGTAAAGAAAAGTTTATTCTTTAAATTAATAAAAAATTCATTGCTTAATAGTTTTAAATCTTTAATGAAAGTTACAAAAAAACTAATCTCATCTCTTTTTCACTCGAAGAAGAAAAATGGCAATGTGAATAAGGCCTTGCAGTAGACTTCTTACTTTACCTCTGTCTAGATAATTTATTAAAAGAAAGTATGCACTCAACACAATACTGTGTTGCTGACTCAGGACAAGAGTCATCAGTGTTAATAGAGGCACTTTCTCTTTGACTTGAAGTAATTAAGGTTGCCGAACGGTAGAATTGGTATGAGTACAATCTAGCTGAAACTTTAGCCACAAGGTGATGTCTTGGAAATGTGTAATGTGATTTGAAATTTTTTATTACGCTAACTTCCATTAAACCACAACGATAGTCAATATTCTCTCATAACTTGGTATGGCTTGTCACAAGAAGAATTCTTTTGTTCGATGATAGAAAAGGCAAAACACATCAAGATAATTTGAACTACCTTTCCAAAGATGATGTCCCTGCAATGCTGCCAAGATTGTGCATACAACTTCTTTTACCATGCAAGAATACTAAACAATTCAAACTGTTTCTATGAATGCATTCAAAGAATATAAATAAAAATGGAAGTTTTCCAAGTACACTCATTTTTCGGTCCACTTTCTGTTATTTGATAGTAACAAATGAAAATATATCCGTAAACAATTGATACCACATTGCAGTGCTCTTGATTCCTTTGTGCAAAATATAGTCCAGTCGACAGATAAGTTTTAGGCAATTCAAACTCCATTCTGAGGGACCTCCTCAGAAGTCTTGTTAGGGCTGGTTCTGCATGGAGAGGGATAAATATCAAATTGCGGTCATGCGGATGGAGGCAACAAGTGCACAGTTTGCGATCTTGGAGACAGTGGTCGAGGGTAAAAAAATGTAAGTCGTACACTCCTTCATTCTCTCATGACTAGAGTTGCCTCTTCAGAGGCCTTTAGATGGCTGTTTGTGCCTGGCAATTAATCGGGGCAGCTTTTGGGCAAGGTTATTAAGGAGTGCAGGCTAGAGCAAATTTTGAAATTAAATATCGCATTGATGACAAAGGTTCCAGAATGCAGAGAAAGGACACTCATAGTTGGTTTCAATCATCGCATCACCTTGAAGTGTTTCATTAACTTGAACATCTACTGTACCGATTTGCATTTGGAGAGTAACAAAATTCTGTCAATACCTTGAGTGAGAATAAATCTATACCTAATTATTTAAGTTAATGAGTTCCACAATCTTGTAAAAAGAAATAAAGAGTATTGCAATATTGCTAACATTTAGCAGATTTTTAATGTGCAATGAAATAAATAAAATGAAATAAAAGAAATTAAATTCATAGAATGATTTTCTAATTTAATGAAAAATGACTTATTTTAGGCTGTCGGGTTGAAAGGCAAATACAAAAAGTAACTAAGATGACAAAAATTTACAAGAATATAGAGTTACATAGATAAACGAAATCAAGAAAGAAACAATTTATTTGCTACTTTCTAAGTTATGAAACATGCTCAGGGTAATCTAAAAGTTCAGCACCGTCCCTGTACTTTTTTCGCTGACAGAGCTATCAAGTTGAATCAGCAAGAAAGTTAAAGGAGTGATGTGGAACTTTCAGATCACCCTGTATATCACAGAGGCTTTCAAAAAACAGGCGAGATTCTATATATGACCGAATTTATTTACACACTGATGAACTGATATAATACTGCTTTCAGCTCTTCAGGTTAACTTTTTCATGGAGCATCGGTAAAATATTGGGGTTGTATCCGTTTTCTTTTCGATTTCTACAGCACTGAGACCTTTGTGCTCGAAAATCTGGTTCCCTGAAAAAATTTTCAGCACCAAAAACTCCATACCAGAAAATTTGTGAGGCTAATTGCACAAATCTCGGACAATTAGTTGAAACTCATCTCATCGAGTTTGCCAAACTTTTCAAGACTGAGCTTCACATGGTGATGTTTGGCTGATTGCACTTTCAATAAGCTCAGCTTCAGAGAGATTTTCCGACTGAAAGGAGCGAAGCTCTTGAGATAGAGGTGACAGAGGTGGGAGGATACTTTCCACAGCTTGCTGAGCCTGCGACTCAACTAAGCCCTCCCTTGTGTCATTACCTCCGTTTGAGTCGCAATCGTGATTTTTGAAATCTGCATCGTCTGCGCAAATTTTCAGACAGTTTGGACATCTGATGTTTTTAATCTCATTGTTATTGTAGTGCCTTTCTAAGTGTTTCCTCAGCAAAAGGACACTTGTCAACTGCTCATCACAGATATTGCATATGGCTGGATATTTGGGATCATGTGCAATCCTTTCATGTCGCATGATCGTTAGTGCAGTAAATACCTTTGGACACAACATGCACCTTCTTGTTTTTTCTGATGACATATTCGAAGATGGTTCAAAATATTTGCATATCTGCGAATGGATGATGAAGTGCTTCCTTAAAGAGTAAGTGTGATTACACATATCACATTTAAAGCTATATTTATTAGTATGCTTTGTGCGTTTGTGTATGTATAATTTATCCATGGTCTGAAAAGATTCAGAGCAATACTGGCAAGCATAGCAATTAATGTCTGAGTGCAGTCTTGAATGTCTGAGTAGAAGTTTTGAGGTGCGAAAAGTCTTACCGCATTGTGAACACAGGTGGGGCCGTTCTCCAGAGTGGATGGTTTCATGGTTGCGCAGAGATGTGCTATCAGAGAATTTTTTATGACAAAAATTGCAGGCTAAATTTAGATGCTTATGCTTCCTCTGTTTCTGGATCTTAATTACCTCCCCGTCACAGTTTTTCTCTGGATTTGCATCTTTTAAACGTTCTTCTCGTTGCTTTCTACAACGTGCAACGTGCTCGACACATTTTTCTTCATTAATGCAAACAGCATTACACAGGTAACAAACCAACTCGCTGTGAGAGGCCCTATGTGTCTTCAGCTCTGCCGATGTTTGAAAAATTTCTGAACAAAACGTACATTTGAGAGGTGCATCGATGTGTGTCTTCGTATGAGCAGTCAATTGTTTAAGGGAGGAAAATGTAGCAGAACAAAGATGACAAGATTGTTTGAGTTTCCTGTGAAAAGATTCTTGATGTTGCTGCAGACAGTTCTCTGAGACAAACGATTTGCCACAAGTGTCACACGTGTACGGCTTATCTGCATGATCAATTTGAATGTGCTCTTGAAGAGAGCCCTTTGAAATAAATGAGGAAAAACAAAGGTCACAGGTGTGGTCTTTTGCATGGTTTTGGATGTGCTCTTGGTAGGCCTCCAGGCTCTGGTGCTCACGAAAGCAAAGTGGGCAAGATCTCTTGAAAGACTCTCCATTTGCACTGCATACCTTGCGATGTTTTATCACGGTCTCTTCAGTAATGTACTCACCGTCACAATATCCACATGCCACTATCTTCAGATCGTGGTGGTAGACATCATGGAATGTCTTATGAACTCTGCTGATAAAAAATTTGCTACACCTTTCACACTTGAATTTCCCTTCCTCGTCTGAACCAGTGGTCCACTTTTTCTGAAAACAGAGGAGAGAAATCAATTTTTTTCCCCCACTTTTTGAAGGGTTACCAATAAATTATGCAACACTCTAGAAGGAAAATGAGAAACAGTTGATGCCTCAATTTTCAGATTTGATGGAAATCTATTGATATAATGGAATTGATACATTTTTAAAACATAAAATAACATTGAACTTAAATTGTAAATGTCTTAGGGATGGAAAGTCCTCTGAATGTACAGAAACAGTTTTCTCTCTTTGATTTTTTTCTCTTTTTTGATGGTATATCATGAATACAAGCATGGGATTGTAATTCGAAAATTTGGAGTGGGTAAGGAGACTCTTAATTTTGAAATTTGATACATTTCCTGGTGCAGTTTGCTTGAAATGGAGTGGAGTGTGAGTTGCTCAAATTGCAAAGCATTTAAAAAAAAAAAAATTTAAATTTTCATCGGCCTCTCAAGCATTATGAAGGATGCAAGTATGAGATAGGTTATCAAGTTAAAATCAGACACCGGAATCTCCTCAAGTTTAAATTTAGTATGTTTCATTATAAAGTGAGACCTCGATTTATTGGAATTCACGGGAATGACGAATTGATCCATTGAACTTCGGAGTTCGTTAATTCGGGAAAAATTGGAAGGAACCAGAAAATCGATTCAATACATTGCGGAATCCGTTAAAGTGCGATCCGATAAATCGAGGCCTTAATGTATTTGCAGGAAGAAAGCTACAAACGACCAATTTATGGTGTGAAATCTACTCTCAGCTCAGAGTGTCTATAATGCAGAATGAGCATGATAAATTTCATGCTGTGCAGTCCTGAAATTAGCTATTTCAGGTGGCAAACAGGGAAAAAGGCGATGGCTTGAAACAAAATTGCAATTGTTTGTCTCCAGCTACTTGGAAGATCCTAACCAGGCAATGCCCTGATGAGAGGTGAACTTAGAAAGCAAACTCCAGCAGTCTGTTAGTTGAAACTTTATTTGACTTAATAGGCAAGATAAGACAAGGCATAGCTCTCATTTCATAAAACATTGACTGTCGATGTCATGTCATTCTGGCAGAAATTTCAATATCAGGTTGCAGAGTTCAGTTGTTGAGAGATTATTCAATTGCCTTAGGAATTTTGAGACTTGCTAACATTAGCCTTTTTTGTTGCTACTTCAAGGGAAACATATTTTTATATTCAAAATATTGAAAAATGAAAATTCCTGATAAATACTTACAAGTTCTGCTTCACTGTGTACTTTGCGATGGTGGAGTAATGGCTGGATAGAGGCTCGACTGAACACTCTTTCACAAACAGGACAACACTTGTCAGCAGCTGCGTGCGTTTGCATGTGACAAAGAAGTTGTGCTAAAGTCCCAAACTTTTTGTTACATATGTAGCACCCATGAATGACCAATTTGGTGTATTTTGGGAAGGACTCCTGTGATAATCGGGGCATCTGCGGCGCATTAACTGGAGACTTGGGATCAATTTGAGAAATCCTGGGGCATAAAAAGGATAGATAAAATGGAAATTTCCCCGGAAAACGAAAAAGGTGCGGAGAATTTAAATCTTCCAAATTTTCGTGTGCAATGGCGGCAGCTCTTCACATTTTTTCTGGCATCCCTCAATAAACTTTCTTGCCATCATAAAAAATGGAAACTTCCGTTTTCTTTTTTCTTTTGTAGATGTTTACGGTGGATATTTCTGAATTCTGCCTCACTTGAGTTGCTCTAAGAGCCCCAATTGAGATGCTAATACAGTGAATTTCTAAGCAGACAGAGAAAAATACATGCAAGCATTTTGATCCTTGAAATTTTTCCCCTGTCAAGATTTTTTGAATCTTTTGTCATTCTTTTGTGGCTGCTAAGGCATGTGATCAGGTATATGCTGCATCCCTTGAATATAAATTGTTTGAGATTTAGAAAACCAGGATCATTTCAGCTTGCAGGGAAAGATGTTTACTTTCAGTAACTTATTACAGATACCTCTCTAATGATTTACCAGGCATAAATATACGTTACAACTGACCAAGCTTTATCAGATGATAATTTTCTTATTCATTCTCATAGGTCTTATATTAACACCTGAAGGATGATGAGCTGAAAAATACATGGCTGAGAGGAGTGAGCCGATCATTAGAAGTTGATTTGAGAAACAACCTTAATATCCAAGAAAAGTTTCTTAAAACAATTTCTTTGTATTTGTTAAAACTATTTCACCAGATCCAATTTAAAAATCAAATTGGCCGCTCATACTTTGACTAATCTAAAGAATATTGTTGCGTTTTTCCTAATATTATTAAAAATGGATTCGGATGCTTACATTTCCACCTGCATAGGTACAGAAAAGTAGTTAAACTATCAATCACAGAAGTTAAATCGGCTGTTGGAAATTAAAAAAGCATTAGGGGCTTTGATGACAAGTTGATAAAAAGAGCATCAATGAAGTGAAAACAGTAACTTACGTAAACATCAATCGCTTTCTCTTCTTGGCAGGTGATTCATTTGGACTTTGGATGGTACCCGAGATAGGTTTAGAGGGCGCATTTAAAAATTCTTTTGACAACAGTTTAGAAACCTGTGCAAGTACTGTTTGTCGGTTAAAGGAACTGATTTCAAAGCCTTTTGGTGCAACAGGTGACATTTTGCCGTTGCCGAGTGGAAGAGTTGGTAGTGTCTCAGCAGGTTTTTTTTCGGTATCAGAGTGCGAAATATTGGAAGGAACAATATTTATCTCATTAGAATCATCCTCGCTGTTCTGCGTATGAGTTGACAACATACATTCTACAACACCTGAAAGAATTCATGAAATATTTCTTAAATAAAGGATGAGATCAAAAGAACTTTAGATATGAGTATGATTAAAAAAAAAAAAAATAATCAAGGCACTTGAGAAAGAAGTCCCAGAGATATACAAGTAAAAATAGACCACTTTCAAGAAAGCATTATTGGCTTGGCTAAAACTTACACAGTTAAATGACTGGATCAAACTTGAGATGAATAACATAGAAATATTGGAGAGAAAATTAAAAGAGGTTACAAATTTTGGCATAGTTAGAATTTTTTACTCAGGGGTGCCAAGGGACTTAAATTTCTACAGTGTTGAGCAGCTACATATAAGATCACCGCTTTTATGAGGAAGGCAGACCCCTAAGGAACCATCTTGATAATACCTGCAATTATGTACATCCAAATTACTTTTATGCCATATTCTGATACTATGTGGCACCTAAGCGCTTCAGTCTCCTACCTTCTTCAAGCATTTTCGCCTAGCTACGCTCTAGCTGCAAGCTGAGCTTGGTAGAAGTATTCACTAAAAACAACGAGTGGTCCAGATTTTTGGCGCGTATACGTAGTATACCGCCTTTGCGATCGTTTCGACCCCCCCCTCGATACAATAACCGAGTCCCCTAGTTCCTTACCGAAAAGTGACTACCGCGAACTTCTGAGATTTTCCAAAGCGTGTAAAAAGTTTACTAATCCGTCAATAATAATGATTAAAATTTGTTTCTCATTCTGGGGCTCGCTAGTTTATGTGTAATGAATACCAAGAGTCTACGTTTCTTGGTTTTTTTTAAAAAAACCTTAGAATGGGGCGCGCTGATTTAAAATATGCATATATAAGCGGAAGCAAGCGAACTGATTCGAGGATGACTGACCAGTTCGGCACTCCTTGAATGAGAATTTCACTCACTCCGTTTTGTTCACAACGTTGCTTTGACATATCTCCACAACACTGTTATCCTTTTCAAAAGTTGGTACTCCTTGCTCTGATAGCCGGGGCCACCAGGATAGTGGTAAGTGCAATCTGTGATGAGCCTCGAGACTCATTAGACCATTTGCTAAACGTGGCTCATACAGGAGTCCACTAAGCCCTCTCGTCCCCACGCTCCTGATCACTGCGTCGGCGTCACGAAGAACAATGGGCCTTGGGTCCCAACGCGGCCGATACCCGTACCCCAATTACTCACGCTTCATTAACCTTTCACCGTCACGCTAGGATTCATCCAATTTTCAAAAAAAATTGTTTCGCATGTATTTAGCAATTTTTTCCTTACTCTCCGTTAAAACACAAATAAAAAGAGACCTCATTCATAAAAATCGGCCGAATAGAAGAGAAGTTACAGTAATCGAAATCCGAAGAAATCAACAAAACCTCGACTCCTCGATACGAAAAATAAAATGAAGGGGAAAAAAAGAAAGTATAAATTACAATTAAATATAATTGACCTCAAAATTTGACAAACAATTCATTTATATACCTAACGCTGAAAAAACTGGGAGAAATTACAAAAAATTTGCCTCTTGCAAGGGGCTTCTTTGTAAGAATTTTGACCTGAAGACAACGGTCGAATAACAGCAGTACTCCATACAATACACGGTGTGCCTGAACGAGTTAAACATTTTTCATACGTCCAAATCGAAAAATCTTTATATTTTTAACTACAATGTTTCTTGAATCGTTTAAGCAAAAAAAAAAAAAAAAATTCCGTCGAGATTCTGGAACGCAAAGGCGCTTTAAAAGTATTCTGGGGCTATAATAGCTAAATCACCGGTAGTAAATTCGTTATATTATTAAAAATAAATTGACTCCATAGTTTAATTCCTTAGTTTCTTGAATACGATTATTTTAAGCACTTAAACATTTATACCACCAATTTTAGCCATGGGGTGATTTCCTGAGAGCCGATAATATCACGAATTTCTCATAGAACCCCTCAACAGTGGCTTGCTTTTTTGGCAGCCGATTCGGCCATCGAACCGGAGTTTAAATGGAAGCTGATAATAACCCAAAGCTCTGAGAAAAATTTTGAGATGAGTATAAGAACGGTTTGTTGTAAGTAGCGAGGAGAGGCGGGCAAAGCGGCTAAAATCCTATCTAATTTTTACAGTTTTTCTGTTGAATTAATGTTGCCGCGGGCTTCTGACTGTCCACACATAGTTCTGTTCAGCATATCGATACATAAGTATTTACATTTTACATACGTAGAATCTAATTTTCACGTCGGGGAGTTGACATATTTTGATTTTTTCGATTTTATACGGAAAATTGATGGTTTTTCGGGATTGAAATTATTATTGTTTCATGAAAAATAAATGCACCCAAAATGACTATAGCATATTGATTCTTACACATTTGCACTCACAAAATTGGTTGGTAAATTCAACGAGTGGGTGCATCGACCTGGTATATCAAGTTTCTGCAATTTTTTACGGCAAATCAGTAGATTTTCGGGATGTAGATTGCTTACTTTCAATTCATGAATGAATAAAGCAACGACATGGTTGAACTTCTTTGCATGGAAAGACGTTTAAAATAACAAAATCAAGACGTATTTAATGCAATTGCATTTATATCGAGTCAATTTCTTTTCAATAATATAACGGGATTTTTACTACCGGTGATTTGGGTATTTTAGCCCCAAAATACCTTTAAATCGACTTTATCCTCTAGGAGTTCGACAGAATTTTTCCTTTCTTCGCTTAAATTATTCCGTAGCACTTTTCTTCAAGAATCTGATAAGATTTTGCTTGAGGCAGATCAAAAAACTTAAATTCGATCGAATAGCTTTCTACTTTCACAATACACGGTCTCGTCAAGGTGCGTCTTTGACCTCGCAGTGTTGGATCGTGAATTCTCTTTTTATGCTGTTTGCCTATTTTGAAATCTCTGTAAATGAAAACTAAAGGGGTTGATATGTGCTAGTTAATGACGCGCCTTATCAACACATTGTGTTGGAGTTCACTGCTTGTTTTTTTTTTTCAATTACTTAGACTACCACCACTTTGTCAATTTTTGATCAAATGAGTTGATCCTGGCCTTCATCCATACCTTTTGACTTGATCTTTCAAATGAGACCAAGATTCATCCGCTAGTTGGCTTTGTTTTTGAATAACCAAACTAGTCTAGATACTTTTTAGACACCCTATGTGTATTCCAAAGAAGGTTATAATAAAATTTTTAATTTGCACAGAATTTTCTCCCATTAAAGAATGGATTTCTTAAAATAAGAGAGGCGTTTTCTGATGAATCAACGAACAATTGGAATTGTTTGCATTCGGGTATAATGAATAAGACTTTTGATTACTCAGTGAGGGCCATAACAGTTTTGAGTGCCTGGGTTTGAAATTCTAAACAATGGAACAGAAATAATCGGGAAAAATCATTAAGTACACTTACTTGTGGGATCGATAATGGAATCACTAGCTGAATTTTCTTCTGAATTCAGACCTGCAAAATCATTGTTATTCCCTTCTAGACCTTTCAACCATTCTGGTTCTTGGTTGGCTGGTTTGGCATAAGAATGTTCAAAATCTGAAACTCTGTTAGATTCCTCATCAGAGCTATAGGCCTTGAGAGACTTCTTGCTGCATTTTATTGGAGTACCATATTTAGTGTACCTCACTGATTCTTGAGGTGGCATTGATAGCTCATTTTTCATACGTTTATTGAGCTTGCTTAAAGGCAGTTGCCTTAATTCGTTTGAGTCAGCTACAAAGTTGTTGACAACATTAGTTTTAGTCAGATATAAACGACTTGGTTTGGCTTTAGAAGTAGCCTGTGAAACAGATTTGACAGATGACCTAAAAAAGGAGGAAAGTACAATTACTGATCTCAATTGAAAAACAAAATATTTTCAAACTTCACACACCAATGATTATCCTCATTTTATCAAAATGTTGAGTATTTGAATCATTAACTCACTGGGTGCCCAGTTTATAGTCGACCGTGGTTATAGAAAAAAAATATAAGAACCTAAAGAAATTAAAGGCATAAAATAAATGTTTCATCACGGACTTATAAATTAAACTCAAAACACCACAGATGAATTCTCTTGGTTCTTAAGAATTTACACTGTTCCAAAAGTACTGAATAATCACGTTTTCTAAATTGTATCATTCTCAGTTGGTTTTGGGAATAATATAAATGTTCTTTTCTTTACTTGCATATTTTTCTAAGGGTAAACTAACTCACAGATACTGATTCCAAACAATAATTTTTGCTGTATTGTGCTTCTCTAATCAAACTGCTAATTATTGGAAAGACATCAGCTGAGCATGCATAACTGAAGGGTGGTGCTAATGGTAGAAGTTGTTTTTGTACATCTCTAATATCCAAATAGCCCATAATAATGCAAGGAGCCAATAAACTAAACTGTTACAGAGAGCTACTTATCTTCTTTTTGTTATGTCAAAATGCTTCTCAGGAGAAGACGAAGGAAAAAATTCGCAAATGCACATTTCATCAGAAACTTAATCAATTTCCTTTCTCAGAAAACTTAGTTCATTTGCATCGATTGGGTATTCAGCTTCATTTCAAGATGACACATTGCATTGATGATTCTACAGAAATCGTGATTAACTCAACTTGCATAGCAAGCCATGAGTCACTTATGAAGAGAGTGACAAAAGGTCCTTTTGGTGAAACCCTGGCTAAATGCAAGGCAAATGAAGTGAAGCAGATCAGCTAGTATGTCGCTTCAGAGTTGAGCCATTATGACTGCTGAAAAAGGTGGCTGGGGACCTCAAAAGATATTTAGGAAGATTCAGGAGAGAGCGCAAAAGAGCATCATGGCCCAAAGACTGATGGGTCAGTTGCGCTGGTCACAGAATCGTGTTTTGATGCTTGATTCCTGTAGATTAGCTGAAAGTAATAAGATCTGTTCAAACCACAACTTCCTACATAAATATTAACCGAGATATCGCCTTTTGCAAAGCCAGGTTTTTGACGTCATCCAACGCAGCAGTGACACCCTTGGTTACTTCTTCTTTTGTCCGATCAGTGATGCAGAAGGTGCAACTCAAAACTTCAACGATGTTCAACGTAAACAAACTGGAGGTGAACTGACTGACCGCCTAATCTCTTCGGGGCGCATTATCGCATGATAAGATCTATAAAGTGCGAAGCCGTTAGTTTCTTGAGTTTCTTTACGTTTAATAATGTTGAAGTTCCGCATTGCACTTTCTGCATCATTGATTGAACAAAACAGAAAGAAACCAAGGGTGTCACTGCTGCGGTGAATGATGTCTAAAACCTGAATTTTCAATGGGCTATATCTCCGTTAATTTTGAATGTAGAAAGTTGCGGTTTGGATGAATTTTATTATTTTCAGCTAATCTACAAGAATCAAGCATCAAAACACGATTCTATGACCAGCGCAACTGACCCATTCCACAATATTACAACTGGAAATCTAGAATGCTAAAAAGAAAAAACTTACACTCTGACAAGATTTACAGAGGTCAGGATTTCAGGAATTTGATCCGCTTGAGCGGCTGAGGCAGTTTTGGAGCAGTCACTGGGAAATTTCTCCTGGGACTTTGATTCACAAAAACTGCTGCCTGAGCTAGTCCTAGTTTGGGAATTATTGTCAGATAACGTTTCAGTTGCTGTTGAGTCAGTGACCTTTTCAAAGTTATTTCTGAAAGCAATGTCAACCTGAGAAGCTCGATAAGCCAAGTCATTCGTTGTTTGCAAAATTCCAAGACACTCCAGGCAAATAGTTTTTGGATAAGGGTCAAATTCGCCAACCTACGACAAAAGACATGAGATGTAGGTGAAAATATATTTCAATGAGGGCAAAGACTCCTTGCTGAAAAAAAATTATACTAAAATCATTGAGAAAATTTAAAAGACCACTAGACAAGATACGAATTTCAGCATTCTGATACATGTTACTTAACCAAAATTTCACGTAAAACACAATGCGCACAACGAAAATTACGGAAATAAACTCCTTAAAAAGATATTTAATGATTCTTCGTGCGTGAATTCAAACCACCTGCTCATGAAAACTCAATGCACATTACTTGTACTTTTCTGTGGTTTTTTATAACTGACCGATGTCGTAAATGGGAAGGCTTACATGCAATGAATGCAAAGTCAAATGAACTTTTTTAGCTTACATGGGTTGAAAAATACATTGGAATGCCAAAGGCTGGCTATGCTATCAAATAGGGANGGGGGGGGGGGTCGAGACAATTATCCATCAAGCTACAAGCCCCAAAAAAATAAGCTAATTAAGCTAGAAATGTGCAATTTAAACCTTCCTTAGACTCAAAAATTACAATTTCACCCACACCTGATAGGGTAAAATTATGCTGTTTTTAAATGACAAATGCTACTAATGATTAAGAAATCAACAAACCTGAATGGGCAAATAAGTGTTCACTAAATTTGCTATTTCTGTTATTTCATTAAATATCTTCAAACATTTTGTTGCATTGATGCCACAAACTCGACACTTTGCCTTAAGAAATCCATTCAATGACTTCAAGGTAATTCTTTGAAACGATTTATTCTTAAAATTAGAACCAGGTTGGTTGCAAAATTCATTGTTTTTTTTGCTGCAGCCCAATTTGAAGTCAGTAACTGACGAAGAATTTTGGAGCTTCATGCTTGGGATAGGTTCATTTGGATTCTGTTCAAGGCTAGCTCCAGTCGATGAAGTTTCGTTGGAGGAATGCATTGTATGATGGTGAATCTGAGAACAAATAGATTAAAAATAAAAATTTCTACTTGTGTAATTCATAATAGGCACACAACATTGAAGCATACAAGAGATTTGATTTCATCTGACGAGTCCAAGATCAATTAAATAGAGGCTCCTTCTCTGTTCTTGCTCAGTCTTCTGCTGTTATACACACATTTATTGTGACATCACATCTCCATATGATTTCAATATCTCGAAAGTCCGAACGTGCCCCAACAAACCAACATAGGGAAATCCAGAGGATATAGGCAGGAGGGCGGGAGGATTCACTTGATAACTATGTATGATGTTCCAAGCTTATTATACCATCAAATCTTGTAAATGTGATCTCAAACATCTTGGTACATGGCTGGCTTTCATAATTTTGAAGTCTCACACATTAATTGTTTGATTTCAGGCTAGTTTTAGCATTCTTTCGCCAATTGTTCATTTCGGAGGGCATGTTTGTTTGTTGGGGCACATTTCGACGTTTCAGTTATCGAGACGACCGTGTTGATCCGTGACTGCACCTTGAAATGCATCTTTAGAAAGCAAGTTGTTTGGATGTCAAATCAAATGTTTTTGTATAATTTAATTCAGCTTTAAATTTGATTCCTTTGACATCCTTTTGATTTCCTAGGATCTAAAGACAGAATATGCCCTAAACTTTATATCAGTCTCAAGATTATTCACCGCAATGACAGTCTCTGGTAATAAATACCCAGGTAGCAAGGTCTGCTATAAAATAATTTTTATTATATCTTCGAAATAACAGTTTTATTGCTATTAAATGAGAGTTTTAATTCCTATTAATATATTATAAAAAAACAATTTATATCGGTTGAAAAGATCGATTAAAGTACTCCCCAGTTACAACAGTTTCAGGCGCTATATTCCTATTTTATGAAGTTAAAAATAACAGTTTAAAATAATTTAATGACATAAATCAACAATGATTAAAGTAGTGAAAAACAAATTTCATTTGGAAAATTTACTGGTGTAAAGCGACACTTGTCTTAAAATAAAAATAAAAAATTTAAATGTTGAATACGAGTTTTGAATTATTCTTGTAAAGTATTAAAAAAAACTTAAAATATCCATAGAAAAACTAATTTCTAATAATAAAACGACTCGTAAAATTGTAGTTTTATTGAAAATTAACAGTGTCAATATATGAAATTTTATTCGTTTTTAATATTTTGTTAAACTGTTATTTTTTGGTTTTAAAAGATCAATTATAGAACTCCCCAGTTTCAGGCCTCATATTTCTATTTTGAACACCGATGACGGTGAGCACCGATACTTCCTCTAAGGAGGAGCAACAAAGACTATGCAGCAGGGATGTGACTACACTCGACACACCACACTACAATCAACGCTATAGATAGGCCCATGCCCTGTCTAGGCACAGTTAACCACAGGGGGGTCATCAAAAATGTGAGAAGAAAATCCACTCATATGCACCGAACAAAGCAAACATAGAAGCCGTCGATAAAAAAACGTATGTCGTAGAATATAAATAATATATTTTATGTTTTCACTACACACAAAGGTTAGACAGGCACCATAAACGACCCATCCAAAAACAAAATAAATCGGAGCTCTCTATCGGAAATAAAAGGAAACACCCCGATTACAATAAAACAATCGGAAATTAAAATCGGTATTTAAAAAAATAATGTAATACTAATTTATATTTCACAACTGTTTAAAATAAAATGTTTTGCAGAAAAACTGCAATAAATCAGATATTTAAACTGTCATTTTATCACTATCACTTGTATCTTTTTATCGATTTAAATTATATTTTCCTTGTTAGTGATAAATAGTTATCAAAGTTTTTTATAAGGATTCTTTTTCGACAAAAATTAAAGCTACACCGGTTTTCAGGAAACAATGATTTAAAAATAGTTTCTCACCAATATTGTTTAATAAATAATGTAATAATAATTAATATTTCATGGTTATTTATAAGAATGTGTTTTGCAAAAATATGGCAACAAATGAGATATTTAAATTTGTTTTTTATTGTCTTTTTTTTATCTTTTTATTGATTTAGATTAAATTTTTCTCATTAGTACAGTATAATACTTTATGTTTTGTAAAATAGCTTTTTTAAAACAAAATGGTCTACTTCTGTGTTTTATGAAATCAACTTTAAAAAAAAATAAATTAGAATAATTTTTTTAACTTTTTTTAGTTATTAAAATGTTAATCTACTTTCCTTTCTTTAAAAAAGTTTTGTTAAGTAAGTGATTTTGATTGAGAATTTTAAACCGTCGTTTTATTTCAAATCTAAGTATGTTTTTATTGCAATAATAGTTTCCTTTTCGATCGGTGTATAACACTAGTTAAATTTGTGTTATATTTTCAGAAAACATGACTAAATTATAAATTTTCCACTGGTATTTTTTAAGTATGTAAGAAAAATTTTTCAGTGATTATAGTCGCAAAGGACTTCTCTTTTCCGTTGGTTTTTCAACTGTTGTACTAGAGCAAATTTTTCGATGAAAAAGTGCACAAAAGTAACAGTGTAAAAACTGTTGTGAAATTGCAATTTTGAACTGGACGGAGTTAAACAGAAAGGAACCAAGCCACATCGAGATCGAACCGAGAAAAAGAGGTTTAAAGTTTGGCTCCTGCATAGGACTCAATGTAAAAGATAAACCTCAAGTTCAATTTCTGCAAAATTTGCTCCAACAAAAACTTTGAATTTTTGGCGATAGATAGTAGAGCAGTGGTTGAGTTCAAAACCACTCATAACTCAATTTTTTCCAAAATGTGGGTTGGTTCCTTTCTGCTTAACTCAGTCCAACTGTTACTATTGCTACCTGGGATAGTAAACCTTGGTATTTATAAAACATGGTATTTGCTTGTTTTCCAAAAATTTTCATTGCAAAAATCCTATTATCAAGGCAGGGAATCTTCTTGAATAGCACTTCGTTTTCTTGCTAGGAACCCCTCACAGGAATGCCAATAGTATTCTTGTGAGAAATACTAGGATGAATACTTTCTGTGCAGGATGACTTCACGTCATAGCCCTGTGTATCATTGCAAGCCAAACTGTAAACCCATTGGTCAAATTGTTTGCAATTGGATTTTATCAAGTTTTTTACTTACTGCTAATCTGTGTTACAATAAAACAAAATTCCCTCCAAAAAATGGTGCACCTACAATGTTTCGACGGTGTAAGTCGGCAGTCACATAACTCAGTTTGCGACGTCGCAGACTTTCTGTTACACTTCATTATTTACACAGCAAACTACTCAACAGCAATTCTTTAAAACTGCCATGATTTTTTTTCTCTGTGAAAGGAAAATTCTGCAAAAACTTCAAGGAATGATGTCACTTTGTTGTCCTTTAAAAAAATAACATAAGAGGTGGAGATTTTCATACACCGCAAGCGAGATATGCGATTGCAGACTTGCGCTGTTGATTTGGTCTTTGTACTGACAGCAATGACAACCACATTCAAAACTCTTGATCCACATCGTGAGGTGGATTGAAGAGTTCACGAAAGTGAATGTTGACCAAAAATCAACAGGCCCCTGAGATTAGTTCTTGACTAAGCCAGGCATTGTCCTCCTCTGCGTTGCAATGCTGCCGATTTGGTCGAAAAATTTGACCAGATCCACTCGCAGAAATTCACCTTACACATGTGAAAAGTTAAGAAAGGCAGGATTCATTGCGTCAAACATTACCTATCATCTCAAAAGATTGCTCTGCAATTAAACTTAGGGACCAACACGAAAGAAGCTCCTAGTGGCAAACTAGAACTCCCATTTTCATAGAATTTTCAGGGAATGTAGTTCTTGGACAAACCAAGCAAACACCACCAGCATTAATTACTGCACAGCGGTGGACCGCAACTGAATGCGTTCCTTAGGCGGTGGGTTAAATTCTCGTCTCGATGGTAACTTTCGAGCCAGTTCGCAAGATGAAAATAAAATATTATCGGTGTATTGTGAAAGAATAAATTCATTGATACTTACAGCGAGCACTGAAATTAGTGAAATTGAGCGTCAACAAACAAATTAAATTTAGAACGAACTGCAACAGAGTAAAGTGAACAGATGTAGATTGTACGCACTTATGTTGGAAAACATAATCATGCTGCAGGGGAGCTTTTGAGTTTGTTAAATTAGCGATTTGGGGTTGTTTTCAAATAGTCAACAAGCACAAATTCTCACGAAATGAGCACGCGGCAAAGGCAAGCGCAAGCCAAGCTCAACTTACAAATTACAATACAAAAGTTCAATGTAAATAATGTACTGTAGGTAGAAAGAAGAAGAAAACAGGTATGGAGGCACGAGGCAGTAAAGCAAAGCAACCTATGGGGGAGAAGGTACTTCAGTTGTGACGTAAGACTGGCGACTCACCAATCAAACCAATTGAAACAGAGAATGAAGAGAGAACGCAATACGCACCCCCGTTGGCACCCCCGCTTCCATCCCTTTTTTCATTGGTTGTATTTACTCATTGGTGGTCTCATAATTGGTTTTCATTGGTTGTTGTCAACTAACTTGCACTATCGTACTTACCTACGTCATAAGGATGACCGCCAAAACTTAAAACTGACCTTGACCTGCTGAAGTGGTGCCTTACCTACCTAACGTTTCAGAAGGGTGAGGGGTTGAGCCCACATTTCGGGTGCATTAACGGAGCAGAGTGATTATAAGGCTGCGTTATTTGACGTAAAATTTGGTGCTTGAAAATGTTGGGGGGAAAATCGACGCGAGGTTGCAATTTTTTTTAAGTAAAATTAATTTCAACCCGCTAAGTTGAGGGAATAGACGGAGGTGGTCGGGAGTTGGATGGAGACTTCAATAATTTTTTTTTTTTTTTTTTTTTTTTTTTTTTTTTTTTTTTGGCCTTTATTATGAGTGCGTTACGGCTACGGCGAAAGGGGAGTAGAGAGAAACATCCAGTTTTCAGCGACATGTATCTCACGAACGGGCCCCACCATAAATTAATTGAGCGAAAAACAGGCCGTTGCGTTGCTCTACTATTCACAGATAAATACTCAACTTTACTATAACTGCGCCTCTATCGATCGCTTGGAAGATTCGATCTATTCGATCACGAACCGAATTGATTCGCTATAAACTTAAAAACCCAGCTCGTTCGTAAAATGAAGCTATATGCCATGTGTTGGATTTTCAGTTCGTCAGTTTCCTCATTGCAACCCTTAGCATTTCGCACACTATTGCGTAACTTTTTTTGAGATGCGCGCAATGTGCTGTTCTCGCTATGTTTTGTTCACTTGCTGCATACTTAAAGCGCTCGCTTTTAAACTTTTTTTCAAATACATTGCTATGTTTTTTATCTATGGAAAATAATTCTTCTATCAGACGACAAACTCTTCCTTGATATTCGAACTTCATTCCGTGGTCTTGATAAATATACCCGCGAGTTCGCTGTACATGAATGCGTGAATCGTGGATAAGAACGCTGCCATGCTGCTGCAGTTTCGACGTTTGTCAAGGTGTTGCAAGTGCTAGCCGTCCCCCAACTTAGTGCGAATGGACTTTTGTGCGACTTTACTTGATTATCTGACGTGTTTTCGGCCGTGCGTGCCCTTCGGTATTTATCCGGGACGTATGACAAGGGTCGTTTTTGTTCTGATTGAGTATGTCAAGCTCCACTGCGATTTTTAACGGGGAAAAACTACCCAGTGACATGGACCCAAACATGGTTTCTATCACAAAGCCTACCCGTGAAAGATCGCGGCGTATTGAAGCTCATTCGGTCGGTGACAAATGTTTTGAGAAATCGGCTCTCAATTTTGACCACTTGTACGCTAGCACTGTGAAAAACAGCGGTGAAAACTTCAAATTCTCCGAAGTCAAGCAAATAAAAGAGCTGTTAGTGCTGCATCTCGATCTCATTCAACAGCAATCTGAGGAAATTCAAGCGAAAGATAAACTTATAGCGGCTCTCCGAGAAGAAAACGAGCTGGTAAGTAATAGCTGCGTCTCTCTCGTGCCATTGAATTCCAAATTCCCGCATCTTTTTGTCGGAATTTTCTCCAAATTTTGAATATTTTTCAGACCTAACCCAACTTTTCGCTCCCTGTTGTTGTCTTGGCAGTTCGTTACTTGTTTATTGACATCCGTTGGTGGGGGAAGGGAGTGCTGCGGAAGAAGTGTTTCAAATTTCGCCTGGATTTATTATGACTTTCTTGTTTTATTCCTCTTAATTTTTGTAATATTCTGTATTCTGATCGGCTATTTCATCGGTAGGTATTATAATTAAATTCCTAAACTTTCCTATAGTTTTTCAATACAGTGCTCATAATCTGTGTGCAGTAGTAGGCATCCACCATAACCTCTCAGGAACCATTCTGAAGTTTATGTGGTGAATTCTACCATTGTAGAACATTTTACCGCGATCTCTCGTGAAGAAAACGTTTTTTGACAATATTTTAGCCTTTATCACCCTTATCTGAACGCCCAGATTCGATACATCGTTAAGTGCCTTCTAGTTCACCTTACTTCCCCATTAATTTCTTCATGGAAAGGAGGTGTGACAGCATGAAAATAGTGTGGATGCTTGGACATTTTGTTTTGAATTTTTGTCCTTAATTGTATGTGTTCACTACTGAAATATCACCTAATTCTCAGTTGCAGTATAAATATATTTATAATAATGATGTGTAGCTCTGATGAAGTATGGTGTATGAATTACTATTAGTTTTATCAATGGTGTTCGTCTCTTGCTGTTCTCATAGCTGGTAAGGTTAGAAATTCAGTTTTGCACCAACTATTTTTAAGCCGTGTGCTACTGCTACTGCAGTGTATATTGGTTGGCGTGAATAAAAAAATCTACGAAGCAAATAAAGCTTCAAATTGAAAACAGTGTAATAGCAACAAATTGGTATCAGATAGGATGATAGACCTATCTTCAGACAAGGTGTTAGTTGTTTGCTTTCCATGTACAGCTGTGATTTTTCTTAAAACTGTCCGAAGACTTGAGCAACTCACCTTTTATCTTGATCCTCCGGGAACTTTGGCAACTCCCCTTATATCTTCAACAGCCATGGGGAAATATGGCTGTTCCGTTACTTAGCCGAGCAATACCCTAAAACTGGGTATTAGAGCTCACGCATCCTATGTTAAGGCAAACGTCAATTTCCGATCAGCTCTGAATTTGCACCAATCAACAGGTTAATACATGTAGTCAGGTGGCACAACTGGTGAATGGTGACCTAAACAATACTTTGACGTTTGTCTCAACATTCGATACACGAGCTGTACAACAGTACATTCCAAGGAGAAACGCATTTCTATGACATCCCAAGCTCTAGCAGATTTTTTGACTGAAACGTAGATGCTTGCAACAATTCTCTAGATTTACTTTCTCTCTATTATCCTTAAGATGAGTAACAATCTTTCATTATTTTTCAGCTGAAATTGCGATTGCAACATAGCGAGGGGCGTATGGCCCTGAAGCGAAACCGTGACTCACCACAGCGAGAAAGTAGAATTGAGTCACGCTACTTACCAAAAAGGAATGATATATGTGATCCAGACGCCAAGGCAAAAATGGGCGGCAATGGAACCTCAGTGCTCTCCAAAAAAAATGTGCTTCTCCTTGAGTCTGACACCAACTGTATGGTGAACTCCTCCGTCATAGCACCTGACCGCAAAGAACTTCACTCGAACAAACTTCCTCTCAGTGAGATCAATGTGGCTTCGGCAGATATGGAGAGCTTTGAACTAATGAACATCTCTGAGAGTTCAACCTCTAGTGGGTATCTAAATGGGGTTTCACACTCAAAGCTCTCTTCCAGCAAAAAGATAGGGAGGCTAAAGAGAGGGAGCAGGGAAAGCATAGTCTCCGCGGGTAGTGCGAGGAGTAGTCCGAAGAGGACGGTGCCATTGAATCATGAAACTAGCTCCAAAAATGAAAATCATCTCTCCAGTCCTCTTGAAAATGGGCCTCTCAATCTGCGGATAAGGATAAAGAAGTCTGGTGAGTTTACAAACTTATGCAATATTATGAATCAAAATCTTTGTTTAATTTGTTTTTGGTGCATGCTATGTAAGCTCCTTTAGCTGAAGTTGAGGCAGCAGAGTAGCAGAAGCGGCAACCGATTTCTTGTGCCATCCTGAATGGTGCACACATATGAAGCTCTCCTCCTTGAAGCCTGCCTTAACCTGTCATCGGGAGAGTGCATTATCCTGATAGCTTTTCTTTTTTTTTTTTTAAATATACTCTCATTCTCATTTGCCTGCAGTGTACTGGGCTTTTGCTTTTGTTTTGGGTTTTTTTTTTTTGATTTTTAAAAACATTAGATTTAGAGGCACATAAACATCTTGGTGTCTTGAAATGAAGAACTTCATCAGATTTTCACCACAATTTCGTTTTCCCTGCACTCCAGCTGTCGAAAAGTTCAATTTACAGAGAGGAATAATTTTCTTTGAAGTTACTGCGATTACAGGGTACCTTCCTTACAATAAAATTACAGTAATGCTCAAGAAGCACAATTTTGAAAGATTGATACAGAGGCACATAAAAATCACGGATATTTTACCATTAAGGGTTTGGGATCAGGATTCTCAAGATGAAGCAAAAATAATCCTTGGGAGTGTGCTATCCCTCCACACAGTTCACTTTTTCATGTCCTTGCGAAAGAGCCGTATGCAAAAACGACATTTTTCGCCGCCGCCCCCCCCCCCACTAAAACGTATTCTAACTTCGTCTATCAGTTACTAATTCTGGAGCGCTTCTTTCCCCAAATTTTCAGACCCCCAAAAAATTTTTGGGGGGGGGGCGCTAGGGGGAGAGGGGGTGGAAGTCAAAACCTGTGAACCTCGATATCTTTCGAACTAAACAAGATATTGAGGCCCGGTTTGGACGAAAAATCGTCTAAAATTGCATACTTTAAGATTCTTACGGTCAAAATCCCAAAATTACATTTTTAACTTAACTTATGTGCTTTTTTCAGTTTTTGAGGAAAAACAATTTCTTTTAAACACACTAAACTGAAAGAGCACAATTTTGTATTTGAACCAAAACCAGTTTTTTAAGTTGCTCGTTTTTTTTCCGCATCCAACGAGTGGTCATATAAGCTGGGGAACCGAACGGTTCCGGAGTTATGATCGATTGAAGTTTCCGCTCAACGCGCGCCGACCGATTTTCGCGCGCAAAAAAGTCGGATTTGACTGTTATTAAATCAGATTGAATGTTCAAACTGAGCCAAATGCATTATTGGGGACTCTTGAGGGTCGCTGAGTTCGAAAATTACAGGTACTCCAAAAAATTCACGTTTTTAAAATTACAGCTCCGTACAGGACCACTGAGCGGCCGGTCGGCGCTCAGTGGGCCTCTAAAATAGCGCTATGGAGCTGTAATTTTAAAAACGTGAAATTGCCAAAACTCATCTCTAAACGCGCGATCATCGAACATCTTACGGGGTGGTCGCAGTTGAACATCTATTTAAGTTCGGAATATCCGTACAGTTGGCTCCGCGAGTTCGGCCAAAAATGCGCCGCGCCAGTCCCGGCTTTTGACCACCTTATTAAATTTACTGTAGTCTATTCGATATTTTTGTAATCATTCCTCTTTATCGCTTCGTGACACAATAGTTCGTTTCTTAAGATTTGCCGGAATTCCGGACACCGCGCCGCTTTTTAGCTGTCTCCTCAGCTGATCATCAGTTCCGCTTCCAAAATTCCTATGGTTACCATAGGAATCTTATCATCCGAGATTATTTTGTTGCTCCACCTGTGAAAGCCATTTGTCGAGAGGGATTCTCGTTGATATTTCGCATTAAACGTACTAACTTCTGCCAGATAGCCATGCGTACTTTGCAAGCGCTGACATTGTTTTAATCGGGATAGTTTCTCCGTTCAGTTCGATTTTGTATCGATTTTCATCTATCAAGGGGTGAAACTAATCTCAATTTCCTTAACTTTAAGTATAAGTGAATGAGAAGCTCTTAGAAATAACTATTCTCGATCAGGAGTTCCTTGTGATTCTCAGAAGTGTCTCAGTGTGCTTATCAGTTTAGTTGGTCAAGAGTAGATTATTTTCTCTCATTTGTTTGATTCTCCCTGAGATTTGATAAAGTGAGAGTCCACAAGCTCCCTCGGAATAACTCTTAGTATCCTCGAATTTTCGGTTCGTAGAAAACGGAGCGCAGGCCCTCGGATTTGTGCACCAAACTTTGTTTAGCGGTGTCGTGAAATCTCCCGCAATTTATGAATGGCTCATGGGTAATTTCAGCGGAAGTTGCTCGAAACTTGCATTAAATGCCGGTTCGTCCGATTGCGCGCCTGAAACTTCAAATTTACCTCACCGTTCTTGTAACGACGGGGACGAGGTTGCATCTACCGGAAATGCGCCGATCTCTAGACCTGTTCCCGATGCCAATGCAGACTTCCCGGGAGGTAATTTCGTCCTCGATCGGTATCCAAGAGTTGTGCTGCTTCGAGAGCCCATGATCGAAAGAAAGCTTAAAATTTACAACCGTGCGCATTTTAGTCACGATCTAACATCATCAGAAACCGGAGGAGTGAAACTTTGCCGCCAGGGGGTGGTTGAAATCGTGCCCTCTGAATCGGAAACACATCGATTTTCATCACCGGAAATGGACGCGAACCCATTGTTCGGATCTGAGCTCATCGGACTTCCGAAATCCGAAATTGTGGTAACACCAGCGGTTTTTGAACCGGAAACGACGGTAAACAAATACTCTCTAGGCCAGGAAATTTTTCTTTCCACCCCAGAAATGCCAAATATACTTCAACTTCCACCAGGTAATTCAATTCCTGTGTAATTGCCGAACTCATTGAAATGTTACAGCTGGATAGTCGTTTCACGGTAAACGGCAGGTGGAAAAACGTTCTTTTACTCACAGTAAAGTCATTCAAATCGCGAAGTCTTTTAAACAGTATTTTGTAGAGCTCAATTTTTCATTTTTGATAGAAAATGAACCATGTCAACATTTAGAAAACAATTACTGGCTTCGTCCTGCCTCTCCACTCCCGAAAGTAGATTTCTATCAAGTTTTGAGACTTTTACTTCTTTCATGTGTAATTTTGCCCCTCTTAGCTGTAATTTCTCTTTGAAAAGTCAACTAGTTCTACATATTACCCCTAATGTTCTCATGTTGTAGATGATGAGTGCAGTTGCGATGAAACGATGGATAGTTCAGATCTAATGACAACTGACGTTCCTTACTATACAATGACAGGTTGCGCTCCTCCTGATATCTTGAATGAGAAAGATATAACTACCGATAAGTTAGAGGTAAGTTCAGTGGACATAATTTACTTTTTCCAACTTTCGTTAGTCGGACAATTTCTGGACTGCCTAATTCATCGCAAAATTCCGAAGAACTGAAGGGAATCAATGCTTTATATTAATAATTGTTGGGTAAAATTCCATTGAAATAAATTCCATTACCTATCCTTCTAATTGGCTGAAAAAATGAGAAAGTGAAATTTTTATGTAAGTATGAGGCACATCAAAGAAAAAATGCCAGCATATTATTAAAACAGCTCAAGGTGACAGGCAAAAGCAGATATTTATTTTTTCAAATCAAACCCCACTTGTGCGCAAAAGTTGTGCAGTTACCTTTAAGCCTACTGAGGGTTTTTTTTTATTTTAGGTAATGTTTTTTTTTACAACCTAAGAAATTTTTTTGAGATTGGGCCCTTCGCTTTTGTGAAAAGTAACTTCTTTTAATCATATGTTTTTTGCCATTTCAATTATTTGCGTTTTTTTTTAATGCTCTTTTGACCCGTAATGTTGAAAGAACATTTTACTTTTTCATGGAACCACCGCAGCACAAGTAGGTCTAAAAATTTTAGATTCTCTCCTCACAAGTGTAACAAAAAATCTCTAGAAATTTCATAAAATATATGTGACGGTTCTCTTTTAAATAAATAAAATCAGTATCTCTTCCTTACATTTACATTTCAGTAAACAGTGCAATCAAGATTCACTCCTTTGTGCAGGAGACATTGATATGTAAAAAGGAGATTGCCTGCTCTTTTTTCATAGTAGAGATTCACACTAATTTGTAATTGCAATTCAAAGAATGAACTTTGTGTATAGGAATCTTGTAAAATGTACAACAAAAATTCCTTGCAAGACATTTGAAAAGTTCAGAACTCTCCTTAACAAGGCCGCATGATTCAATCATGTTGACAATGTATTAGTAGTGTGTTTAAAATTATCTCTCTTTAAGGTACAATGGTCCAAGGGCAGGGGCAGTGTCAGTTGTATCCAAAAGACACAGTGAAGTGGAAAGATTTATCATAGGTACTGTCACACAGAAATCATGATTTGCACATTAGCAAAGTCTGAAATCTACTATTTAACGTACAATCTGTTTAAGTTGTAACTTGTTTTTTCAACTACCCCTCGCCCACTGGCACTTCTTCCTAGTCAGTGGTGCCTTACTTTGACTCGAAAAGGACAAAGAAAACCTATCCATTTATTTCAATTAGATTCTTTTTTACATGATCAATTTATTTCAATTAAACATCGTAATCAAGTAAAATATAAAATAAAAAAATTTTAAAAAAAGGAAAAAGAGTAGAATTGAAATCATGCATCTTGATTAAGATGAAAGTAAAAATGACAAATTTAACTTAACTAACGGTATAGCTTGAACCTAACCTAGAATATCTGACATGACATACTTAGTCCGTTTCTTTAAAGTAAACAATCTTGCAATATTTTTCTCGCGCATGATTTCAATTTTTTTCAAGCGTGCTATCTCTTGATCTGTTCCATTCCAGTATAGTTGGCTTCTCAATATAGTAAACTTGTCATATTTGTTAGCAAGTAATAAAATCTCATCAATACTTCATATTAATTCCAGATTCCCAGTTGGAGGCATAAAGTTTTTACTAGTTGTTACTCAATGGAAGGTACAGAGAACCTTTCTGATGATGTTTTTGAGAAAAGGCATGCAAGACTGGAACAAGAAGAAAAACGACGGAAAAGGTAAACCAATTTCACAAGTTGATTGCCGTAACATCTTTTTTCTTTACTGTAATCGAAAATTCTCTACCAAACTAAATCACTCTGAAAACTGCAAAATTAAGTGGAGAAAATTCTCATGGTGATTCCTGTGCGTTTGTCGTGAAAAATGAGCCACCTAAAAAAGGTGATAAGTGACCTGTTCCCAAAAAGCGTCTGGTCGGTTACTTATTTTTAATTTTAAAAGTTGTTGGAGTTGTTTACCATATACTTAATCACAGCCCATGAGTTAAAATACATACTTAGGATGAAAAGAGCAAATGAGTATATGCATCTGAGTGATGCTCGATTCAACTTGATAACACCCGATACCGGTGGTGTCTGATGAAGTTTCAGAAGAAATCTGGGATTTTTAAAAGGACAGCAGACAGCTCCATATTCAGTTTGAGTTTTTATTTTTTTTATTACTCATTATTATTATTCAATCATTTCAATAACTTGAGTTATTGTGAGAATGAAATGCAATAATCTTGTAAACTGAGTCTTAATCTGGCAAGCTGCCAAGCAGCTCTAATAAAAGCTAAAAATTTTTAGGCCCAAATTTTTAATTAACATATGTAATAAGCTTTATTATATCTATTTCTATTTATTTTAGATGGGATGTCCAGAGGATAAGAGAACAACGGCAGCTTGATCATTTGCGAGAAAATGAACGGAAAAGGAACTGGCTTGCCAAGTCAGATGATGAGGGTGAAAAAGAAAGACAGCGGGTGTGTTCTCTATATCCCAACGTCTCAGGGACAACACGTATAAGCATAGATGAATCTCTTCCTGTTAATGCTCTCGGAGTAGTACTCAAAAGAGTGGAACCCAGGTTGGTATTACTTATGGTAGTAGTCTATATAGTCTTAAGTAGTGAAATTTACCGTGATATGTAATTGGATTGCAGGTCTAATACCTACTATACTGGTGATATGAGGTAAGTATATAATGTTGTATTTGTCCAGTCACTAGAGGTACAGCGCTTGACCTCGGTTCAGCTGAAGAAAAAATTACCATATAGTCGATGAATCCTACACAACCATTAGGGAAGATTATAGAAATTCACTAACCTTGTACTATGAACCTCAGAATCATGAACAATGGCCAATCCACCAACCAACTAAATGGTCCTTCTGGCCTTTGTCGGCTGGGAATCTTGCTGGGAAAACCACCAGCCTCGCACGGTGATAAACACCAAGCATGTCTCAATCCTATGTGCACTGGGTGCGAGTAGCCTTGGTCCCCTTCCCCCCAAAAGAGAGACTCCAACGTAAAATAATTTTTACCTGCTTACTTGCAGGATCTTGTTTCATTTCATTTTTTTGTCTGTTCAAACTTAAGAGGAATCTACTTCCATATGCGTAGATCATGAAGGGGAAAAGTAAAGTGTTTAAATTGAGCAAGGACTAAGGAGGGAGGAGCTTTCCACAGTGATCTTGGGTGCCAATTACCATTTGCTCGGGGTGCATAAATTTCTTGATCCTGCAACCAACAGGTTGCAATTGGTCGCAATTGGAAATAAGAAGGCCCAGGAATTGGGTTTTAAAAAGTAGGAGGGCCATTTTGTAGCAGTGTAAAATTTGTGTGATATCAAGTCATTCAACATGGATATCCTCTTTGATTTCGGAGAGAAGTAACTGCTCAAGTTGTGAAATGCTGCTAAGTGTAGGACAACTATGCCTGCAAAGCGAAATGTTATGCGCAGAATATCATCCCAGTGTATTTTCTCCTAAATCGCGTTGGGCGGACCATTTTCTACCTTCTTCCGGCCAAAGGGTGACAGACATGTTATAATGGTTGAAATTTTTTCCTCAAAGTTCTTCAGCTCGGCAAAATCAATGAGGATTAACAATTCATTTATTTAAGTGTACAAAACTTTTATTTAATTCACAGAGACTGATGATGATTTCATATCGAAACCATATCTTGCAAACTTATTTCGAAGGGCAAAATGATCCCTTCGCTTTTCGCTGTTAAAAAAATTGAAAAAAGCCACCTGTCACTGTACCCTCACCAATAGGCCTTCCTTTTTGCAAAAAAATGTTAATTCTGTTTTACTAAACACCTCTTTCATTACAATCTGGGCATGCATTTAATTTTACTATTTTCGCAAGGTACATCAAAATCACTGAGCTTCATCGGCTTTATTTACACAATTTAATAATTGATTCTTATTTTTTCAGAGAATTTTCGCTACCATGGAAAGATGGTAATACCAGTTGTGGGTTTAGTTACGATAAAGATACATTTACTATTAAAACTCGGCGCAAGTAAGAGTCGTCAAGTAGGAGGTAAGTGAAAAGTTCAACTGAGAATCTATCCTAATTATCTCATCAGATTGTACGCATAAGTAGGAAAAGAAACTAGACCGAAAATATTTTAATATCAAAGGACCCCGCACACCTCTTATGGGAAGCTGCACCACGACAGCTTGCCCTCTGACTTATGTTTTTCGATTCTCCTCAAGATGCTAATCAAAAGTTATAATTGCGCCATTTTTCTACGATGCACCGTTTTCGCAAAAAACCTAAGAGAAGATTCAATTATTCGGCGATAAAAAGCCAGAAAGATTCCTCATTTCAGTACTCGAGTGAACAAATCAGGGGAACTCCCGCACTGAGCGGCAGTCTTATCTCGGATTCCGCTCGCCGTTTTGCTCGACCATCCAAATCAGATTCTTGAGGAGCATGAGAACAGGAAAGTCTGAACGTCTACCGGGCGAGTGCGGGAGAGAGATAGCCTCTGAGTCGGCAGGTACAGATAAGAAGAAGGACACGCGCTACGTTTTTTCCTTATTTACATCGGGCCTGTCCTTAAATGCTTTGTTCTTTTTTATTCATAGTCGCCGAATAATTGAATCTTCTCTTAGGTTTTTTGCGAAAACGGTGCATCGTAGAAAGTTGGCGCAATTATAACTTTTGATCAGCATCTTGAGGAGAATCGAAAAACATAAGTCAGAAGGCAATCGGTCGTGATGCAGCTTCCCATAAGAGGTGTGCGGGGTCCTTTCAATTGTTTTAAATAGAATGAACTGTTTAAAACAGACTGTCTGTTCTCTATTCAGTAAATAAAGATAAGGATGATTATAGAAAATTCTTGTAAAAATTAAAAGAAAAATTATTCAATACCTATGAAAAATGACAGTCTTGTCATCTTTTTTATAATTTTATAAGTTTCATTTTACCCACTGATTTGACATTTTCCCGTAGGGTTTTTCTTTGAGCAATCTGTGTTATCACCTCTACTTATGGATCCATCCAGAATCCCAAAAACCTTGAGTGTATGATGTAAATGGATTTGATACATTTGTTCTGATAGGTACATAGATAGTCCAAAAAAAAAACCCATTAAATAAACTCAAAGAGTTCTGCTTTGATTGGATACAAAATTGAAACAGGATAAATCACTACGAGTTCTCTACTATTTTCATTATTTGCAATCCTTGGGCAACGGTCAATGATTATTATGCCAGTTACTGAGTAAGTTCCGCTTGCAGGACGTTGAAACAGCAATCATACAGCACCTAGAGTTAAAAACTTAAGTGGGACTCAAAAAAGTTCTCTGATGTTCCCGTTGCTAGGCCAATGGGAACCGTTACCAAATTTAGTAAAACGTTGCTTCTCTCAGATATTTTTGTTTCAATTACAGCCAGCACTGTTGCATTTAATGGTATTTGTTAAAAGAATTCCAGTTGAAAAAGGGTTCTCATGCTATTGTATGGAGGCTGTGCCCTGTTGTTAATTCCACGCCCACAGCATCTTAAAATTTACTCAAATAACTGACCAAGAGAAGTAAAAAGGGAGAGGATGGATAAACTTGTGTTTCAATTCTGTGCCAATTGCTTGGTTATATACGTTTGTCATTCTTAGTACATATGAGATGAAAATTTAAAAATGAATTGTATGGGTAGATTTTTTGCGCACAACAAATAAATACCAATGAATAATGGACCACCAGACTAGGTGCCAATTTAAGCTGTATGATTTATATTATCTCATTAAAATGTCACATAAAACTCGATTTGCACGAAGAAAATTACTGAAAGTAATTCCTAACAATTATATCAACGTTTTTCAATGCATAAACTCAAGCTGGAACACTGCTTCATTGCGAGGCATCTGAAGACTGTTGCACAATTTGATTCACGCAGACTGTGGTTTTTCTTGTGAACAGAAAATTCAAACTTTCTGTAACCAGTGCTAAATAAAAGCTCTAATACTGTGGTTAGGAGTGTACTTTAGTAACTTTTGATGCGCAAATGGTGTTCTGAAAGAAATGTCCTAGAGGAATCATGTATCAGAATGCTTAAATTGGTACCTAGCCTTGGGGTCCATTCAAAGATAGGAGAATCACTGTGGTGTACTAAATTTAGTAGCATATATTAATTGCAGCTCAGTACCTCTAAAAAATGATTTTTTTTGTATTTTCAGGTTCTCTGAATGGTTGAATGGGCTTTTTACGCTTCTGTAACAGGTTGGATCTGTTCAAATTATTGATTTTTCTTTATTTTTGTTTCAAACATTTTTTCCATGTTCAATCATGGAATTATTTGTATTAGAATTTGAGAAGCCCCTGCTTCCTCTTTCCTATAACAATCACTCTGATTGCTGTGTACCATTGTTTCATTATTATCTACATGAGAACTGTTCTTTTGCATGTATATATTTGACCATGTACATTTTTTTAAGTAACCCTCTATGGCACTAATAATTTTGGGTTTCCAATTCTGGAGAACATAAATCTATGCTGTAGCTTTTGCAAAGACAGTCCCAAATTTTCCCCTTAAAATTTCAAAATTTTGGTCATCATTTTTTCAGAAAAGAAAGCATTGCTAAAAATTTGCAACATCATGCCACAGAGGAATAGCTCAATTTATTATAAAACCAAAAAATAGGTTGTTACTAATGAGTATTATTATGCCATAGAGGGTTCATTGTAAGTTTTACTGCTCTCCAAATTAAAGTGATCAGACTTTTTATTCAAATATTGTTTTGAGGCTGTTTTAAAGTTTATCCCAACAGCGCGTGTTCTTTGCAGATTATCAGTTTGATGAGAAATCTTAGAATTAAAGCAAGGAAAAATAAATGCTGTAGAGTCTACCAATCAAAGCGCAAACAAAAGAATCAAATGAATCGCGCGGCATGGGGACACATATACTTCGAGGCAGAATTTGCCTCATGTAATTAAACTCATTCGAAAAAATGTAATTAATTTTTTCATACTCCAAACTCATCTTTCTCTTGTGGGGAAGACTAGTTTCCAAGAAACATAAGCGTAGGAGAGTAATGCTCAAAGAACGAGAATAAGTATTGATTTTGTTTGCTTTGCCTGAGGCCAATTATAGTTATTATACTCGTATACCCCCCGAATTTCTTTAAGTTATGTAGTCATCAGTTCAGTTGGGTGTCACAAGGTCTCTTTAATCAAGAAGGAGCTAGTCAAGGTGTGTACTTCCATCGACTGATATTCTGTGATATTTGATCAAGTAAATTTCAACTTTATGATAAATCTTTCACAAAGGAACTCTACTCTTATCCTCAGATCATGTGAATCGTTCCATCTTCAATGTATTGATTGCACAAATTGTAAGACAAAAAAATCTTTAAAGTCTCCCCACCCCTCAATCATTTTCATTTTTAACTGGATCTTTTAATATCTATGAACCATCTTATTATTTGATCTGTCATTTTATTAAGTGGTATCCAAAATCTTGATAAATGCAATAAAAAATGTAACCAAAAGTGATTCCCTCAGTCCTGAGTGATATAAACATTTGAATTAACCATGAAAGAGTAGAAATAACACACAAAGGAGAAGAAGGGAAAAAAATTGACTCTGTATTTTTGGGATTATTTTTTTACAACGCTGACTTCATCTACTTTTTGTTCTCTTTAACTCACCTTTGACCCATTAGCCATAAGTATTGCTGTTTGTGCATTCTTGAGAGTCTTTCTGATGTGTTATGGTGGGTCAGTTTAAATAAATGACGAGAGTTGCACCCGGGGAGTTCAGCAATTCTGAAGTATATCCTATGAGCCATTCTGCTGGGTATTTGTCCAAATTTTCTTTGATAGAACAGTATTTATCAAAAAAGTTATGTATATTTTTCCTCAAATTTTGCAAACAATTTGTTTGCAATTAAATTTTCTATCGGGGGAAATTTGACAACATTCAAATGTTTATACAGCGTTTGTTCTTAGCACAGCAGCATTCAAGTGTTGCATTACTCCGTCATTTATTTTCTCTTTCTCTGATTTCATTATACGATTCCCAAATTAAACATGATATCAACCATGACAGACATCTCCTCTCCCAGGTGCCCACTTACTCGCCACCAAGAACTGTACTGACCGCTTGTCGTCACTGAGGTAATTGGGCTTAAGAATTATCCAAGTGGGATTTTTAATTTCTCAAATTTTGTTTGTTTATTATGATTTAACAGCATATTGTATCTCAGCAAAAAATATCTGAAAATGAGAAGTGTAAAACTCTTTAATTAAATCTTACCTAGAAATTTTCATGAGTCTTATACATATGCTCCACTGGAACTTGTAAGAATACTGATGTTATTCGGAAACCTCTGATGAGGAATGTTGCTAAAGAATTCTTACATCGTAGCTCATATTTTTAGTATTATAATAATGGATGTAAGTACAGTGAGACCTCAATTTATTGGATCGCGATTTGATGGACCAATCTTCTGGTAACTTCAAGGGCTTCAAGCTAATTCAAATTAATAGATTTTGCAATTGAGTAGCTTGATTCGTCAGTCTCATGAAATCTGATAGATGGAGGTCTTCTTGTAAGGGCTGTACTTTCTCTTTTTCATAGTTTTAATCTGAAGAGGAATAAATCCATTTTGATCTGCTGCTCAACAATAACAATAAAAACCCAAGATGAAATAAACCGCATTAAGCAGAAAGGAACCAAGCCACATCAGCTATGGCCGAATTTGATTGTGCAATTTAATTTTTTACTTAAAACGGTTGTGCAGATTTTTGAGCAAATTTTAGTGAATTTTCTGCTCAGTACAAAGACAATTTTGAAGGAATTCACACAAACGTTCTCTTCTAAAAAATTAAATTGCCCAGTTAAATGTGGCGATGGCAGATGTGGTTTGGTTCCTTTCTGCTGAACGCGGTCCAAATGCCGTTCGGTCCTCTGCAATGATTTGATGAGAATTCACTCAATGACAGATCAAGAATGATCCAGAATTTAAGGTCTACAGTTGTCCTAAACTGCTAACAAATTTCTTGAATTTCTTTTTCATTTCTTTTTATTTTACATTTTCTGTGTTATTAAAAACTGGATAATTTCCAGTCAACATTATAATGTAAAACATTTATTCCCAAGTTTCAAACTTAAGATTTTTTAAACTGATTTTCGATGGATGTAAATTTAAGCGCTCATCACTTGCTGTGTCATTGTAAAGGGGCTAGCAATATCTGATCGAACATTTTCATCTCTTTTTTAGAACAATAGACAAAAGTGTCAATTTTTTAGCTTCATCTTTGAACTTCTTGAATAGAAATGTGTTCTTTAATGTTCATTTGCACACGTTTTTTAAGTCCACTTCTATGAATTATACTTCTACATTAAAGTAATTTTTTTCTGAAAATTGTATTAAAATTTGTTGGAGGTTACACAAATTTGAGTTCTGAACCACAGCATTCCAAAGTTTCTTGGAGTTATTTTTCATTTGGCTCTTCTAATGTTTCACATTTGTTTTTGTATCTTACATATTATAATTCATTGTTGCATTTTCATAAGTCAAGAGAATCATACTTTACCCATTGTCAATGCTCTTTTAATGTCGGGTTGCTTCCTGTTTTCATTTACATCTTCTATCCAATCAAAATAGAAATTTAAAGATATTGCTTCATCAAACCTTTTAAATTTTTTAGGTTCTCTGGCAAAATTAGCTGTTTCGTCCATCAGCTCTAAGGAGCGAGACTCTTTTGTGAATGTTATACCAGGAATTTATTATCAACTGCATGTTCAAGTCTGGAAACCAAATAATAGATCTACAACGATATTGAACTTGCTACTAGCAAAAATTTAAAATTTTTAATTTGATCATTAAGATTCTCTGGGAAACATTCTTACCCATCATTTCTTTGTTTTTAATTCTCTGATAATTTTTCTATCTTTTTTTCTATGTTGAAAATAAAACTACTAAATGACCATAGACATTTCAATAGTTTTAATCATCTTGTTTTAAAAGCTAGAATTTTAATTTAATACTCAGTTCCTTGAATGATGATTACAAGGAATCATGAAATGTTACTGTAAACAGTTTTCTATCCATTCGGAACGTTTTATTTATCCACACATTTTCATCACCAGTCAGATTTTAGATGATGCATAACATTTTTTATTGACCCCACGTTACTAATCTTAATTTTTTCCAATTTTTTACTGGCACATCCATCAATTGAAGAGTTTGCCCCCAGAAAGTCGTCTTTGAAAAATGTTTGTTTTGAGAAAAACTCATTTGAAGCTTTGAGAAAATGGCTTTGCACATTTTGACCTTTAACTCCGCTTAGGAACACCAGATCAACATAAAAACATGACTTTGAGTTTCCAAAGGCGCGCTAATGCTGTAAAATTGATTTTCAAAACAAAGAACAATTTCATAATACGCCTTTTCATGGGCAAACTCTTCAATTATCTCTCTGTTACTCACTCAGTAATTTGATCCAATTTATAATATAGTATCTAATACTCTTTTATTTGGAAGTCTATTTCATTTCATAGAAGTGTATCAGTTTTTACATGATTATTACTACCTATAATCCTTCTTTTATCACAAAATACCTCCATTTGTCAGTTTATATTGTATCAACACGCATCCATTCTTGCTGTAGATTGTATCTCCTGTAATGTTTAATTCTGTTAGGCCTTGTCTCCTCGGGGCGTTTTCTTGTGATTAGTCACAGCGAAAATTTGCACTTAGGAAGTGGTGAAAAATATCAAGTGACTCAATGTCAATAACCGCTCCAATTGCAACTTCCCAACGTGCGATCCAACTGTGTAGTTTCATCATGAAGCAACTGAGAGAACAAGAATAAGGAGCTAAAGCATATTATGTATGTCTCATTTTGTTGTTCACTTGATCTGTTTTTATTTACGTTCAGTCAGCTTTACCTATCACTCTGTTTCCCTGTATCCCACCTAAATTTAAAGTAACTTGTTTAATCGTTAATTTGACTCTGTCGCAAGAATGTGAGTTTCATCTCCTCGAGTGGTGACAGCGAAAAATGGCGAATGCTTCTTTTGCTCAACTTGACGCTGGGACAAATATCTCGAAAGCACCCTATGGAAACGAGGCATTAGTTCTCATTTGTCCACTAGACTAATCGGGTTTGATCTTATCTCAGGGTGAGAGCTCTACTTAACTTTTCACTCTCATTTTTTAAAACCCAAGTTTTTAAAGGAGATTGTACAAGCGTTTGAAGAACTTTGCCAAAATCAACAAGATTTTGTCCTTATACTTAATTACTGGCACTTAATACAGGACACTATTAAATGTAGCATTTCGGAAATATCCAGAAAGATTCATTCAGGAGTGCAAGTTGTCGATTGTGAACTTCCCAAGGCGCACCCGGGTTCAGCAAATGGTTGTTCAAGGGTCGTAAAGAATGATAGTGCTAAATAGTGTTGCCCCAATATGTTGAATTTATTCTTAATTTTTTATCGATCACAAGTATACAAAAAACATTGTTTCTGACCATTCTCACAAGTTTACCTACCTAAGAAAGCTCACACCAAGAGCTTTGATATCCTCAGAATCAAGGCAAATCTCCCTCAGAGGTTAAATATCCTTTTGCAAACTCATTTTATCATGGAAAACAGAGAATCAAGAACTGACATCTGGGAGATACATCATTTTTAGCCAATTTTGCAATCAGAATTTGAAGTGGTCAAATTATCTTGTTCGTTAATGGAAGAAAATTTCGGAATCATGCTGCGCTTACATAGATCTAATTTACTTACATTTTTAAGCTTTCAGGAATGTTTTAACTCTTAGCTGCATAATTTTTTCAATCAGTCTTATCAGTATCTTTACACTTATCACAGTATTGCAAATTCCAGTGAGGGTCGATTCCTCAGGTATCCTGTTTGTTGCCAATACCTTTCTTCAGCCGAGAGCAAGATGGAAGAATAATAAGTCAAAGGCTCAGTTACTTCCTGTAGTTGTGCCATTTGGCAGTTCAAAGTTTGGCAGGATCCAAAAAACCCTCAACATCAATGATTGTGAAAACAGAATTTTGATGAAGAGGTTGAGACATCTTGTAGCAGAAATTTTATGAAAAATCGCTCAAAAAATTAAATAATGCAATCTATAATTAGCGTAATTGTCTGAAGTCCTCTACGTTATGCTAGGCTTGAATTCCTAAGTTTTTTGAGTTAGATGCTAATGCTTAATCTTTACTAGGGTCGAAAATTTTTATACATCCGGTATACTTTTATCATCAGTAGCTCTTATTTTAGCAATTCACACGTGGACTTCTTGTAAAACAATTTGAATATCCTACATTGTATATAGCCACTGATTCAGCACAATCTGAGGACATTATTAACACTGACTTCAGAATTGATTAGCTGAGTACTTCGAGGTTCTCGGCCAGTTACAACTACAATTTTGACTAAATGACTTATTATTCTTTTTTTCTTCTCCTCAGTTGAAATTGATTGAATGTATGTAATCTACCAATTAAATTAAATTGTTTAATTTAGGTTAAAAAAGCTTTGTTCTAAGGTTACAGCTGTATTCACAGGCGTGTTTTTATTGTGAACTGTAAATATAGGTTACAGATCCAGGCTCTTGATCTTCGTAATTGAAACGTCACACAAAATTTTACCCTCAGGTGATCATGTTTGTCATGAGGTTCTATCACGAAGGTCCAGACTCAAGCACCTTCATTACTTTTAATTATATCTGTTGTGTGATTAGAATTTTATTTTTATTAAGTACCTGTTTTTCCTTTAAAAATCAGAAATAAAGTTTGTTTAAATACTTCGTTCGTTTTCAATTTTCATCACATCCAGGAATGATAAGTCATCTTATCACCACAGAATCCATATAATTTTTCTCCCCCCTATGGATCCTTGCAACAATGATCTTTCAAAAATACACTCATCAGAATTTCTCAAAAAAGCTTTTGAAATTAATTTTTCAGGAAACTCTTTTTGAACAATATCAAGAGTAAAATTGACATAAAACAGTCTTCAAAATTCATCACCTGTTACCTTTCAAAGGTTTTTTCAGAAATTTCTCAAACAAATTTGAGTGAGGTAAGTCTTGTAAAACTTGTAGAAGGTTTAATGTTGTTTTTCAACACTTTCCTCACCTAAGTTTAACTTTTTGTAAATTTCACCTAACATGAAAAAGGGTTTCCTAAAACATAAATTTTAATAGTTCGTCTTGGAGTTGTCTTTTTAAAATAACCTGGGATGACCTGCGAAAAACACCGCTTTCGCGCCATTTCGAGCCGCGCGCCATTGCATTGGTCTCTCTACTCAGGCACTCGAGTTTAGAACGCGGCTGTTGCCACATCGTCACCTTCCGACCAAAGTATCTCAAGCCAGGGCCTGATTTAGGGAGTGGCCACATGGCACATGATTGTGCCGCGGCCCATGGCGGCAAATTTAGGGGGCGGCAAATGTTGTAATTATTTCAAATGTAGGTATCAAGAAAAAATCTGATTTAGAAAAAAAATTAAAAACGAGAAAAGGCGAAAATATCTCTCATTTCTTGAGCGTTAAAGTATAGTAATTTCTAATTTGTTCGTCTACCGGTGATACAAGAGACAGCGCCTTTCACTAGTCTAGTTGAGAGAGAAACCAAACACGCAATTTGGCCTGGGCGCGGCGCGGCGCGGCGCAGAGAGCAATGATGACGAGGAATTGAGATGGAAAGGAGACGCCCTCGGCGCGCCGGTCAGCATGAGCACATATCAGCGCCTACAAGACTCCATGAATACTTCACGCATTGCGTCGAACGTAGTGCGGTCGGCTGCGGTTGGCGCGGAGCGCCTAGCGCCTACGAGACTGCATGAATACTTCACGCACTGCGTCAAACGTAGTGCGGTTGGCGCGGAACGCCTAGCGCCTACGAGACTGCATGAATACTTCACGCATTGCGTCAAAAACAGTGCTGTTGGCGCGATGGCAGAAATTAAAATCATTAAACCACATTCATGTTTATTCTTTCATAACTTTTTCGTTCATTTCTTTTAAATGAAAAACCCGGTCCACACAGAGATAGGTTTCCGGAACTTAATTTTCGCGCAAAGTTTCGTGAACTTTGGCTAGTATATGTTGGTAGGGCTTTCACAAAAAATGTGTCCAACACGAGTAAACGCGTCTTATGCACCCATCCTCCTTCGGCACGTTCACTTGATGGTTTGAATCGATGTTTCAAAACGAATGAAAAGGGACGGCAAAATACAGGCGGCAAGTAGGTAAATCCCGGCCTTGTCACAAGCGTCATGTAACGTTTAAAAAATTCTGCCGCCATTTGATTTTTTTACAGAGGAATTTTTCGACGAAGCTGTCCGAAAATTTCAATGAATTTTCTTTGTGCTGCCGATAAAATTAAGTGAAATTTTCAAACAGATTCAACCAACAATTTCTCTGTAAAAAAAATCAAATGGCGGCGGAAATTTGGAAACTTTGCATGGCGCTTGTGATACTTTGACCGGAAGGTGACATGTCGCCCGGATCCGTTGCAATATTTTTAAGGGCATGGCGTTATCGTTAGCGAAAATTCGGCAGTATCTAAATGAAGGCCATGGAAAAACGAAAATAGGAAGAAACGCCTTAATAATACTTAAACGTCCGTTTTCCAGAGCACGACATTGTAGGTAGGTACCAAGTTTTAACTTTGAGGGAAATCGATGGAGCGATTCTATTTGTGTGCGATCGGAGTGAATGACTTGCACATTATTATCATTATTTTTAAGTACAGCCTCTGCTTGTATTTAGAGGTAGAAAGACCCTCACTCTATATTATAATGATTACCTACCAAGTCGGTGTTGCCAAGCTCAAGAGTCAAGACGTGGATGGCTATGTGAGTAATTCCCATTAAGCCCTGCTTAGAAAAAGCACAGTAATAGTAAATCAGGAAAAATTAGCAGTAGCGTAGCCCTGTTCTCCCTCCCCTGAGAATAATTCTCCCCAAAACCTTCATTTATCATTATTTTCAGGATTTTTTCAAAATTTGAAGCCTCCCCCCCCCCTCATGGAAATGGATCGCAGACCCCCATTTTCCTCTCTGGAAAATTTCTGGCTACGTCAACGGAAAGTATGAGTGAGTATTCGCCTTGCGTAATGTTTATTTTGAAATCCTGCTCATCCTATCACCGGAACCATACAAAAATCTAAAAAAGTACGTAATTTTTTTGATAGACTTGGCAAGTAAGCTTGAACGGCGTGTGGTCGATGCCGTTTCCGTTTCCTCTCTAGATTCCAGTGTCTTTTAGTTTAGCGTTCGTCTCGGTAAGGAGAGGGGGGGAGGGGGGGGGGGGTGATAGGAGAGACGCAGAAACTGTTTGTACCTATGTGAGAGTATGTTTTCCTCTTTAAAAAAGAAATTTTACTACAGGTAACGCGGGCAGGACGTGTGTTATCGATATCGTGGTTAATCAGCATGACTCCAACGAAATTATGAGCGCCCGCATGTTGTTGTCCGTTTAGCATGCATGTGGGCATTTTTTCTCCCGCTGTACTTCCGATCTCCCACACCTGGATAATCCCTGGAAAGCCTTAGTCGTACCCGGGCCTTTTTATACATCGTCTCGGACTTTTCCCGCCATAAAATTTTGGTGGGCTGTTTTAAAACTTGTAAGCTCAGAATCAGCTGGCAACGTGTTCTTATCAGTTGGTTATCAGTTATCGCCGGGTTGTCGTGCTCTTCAGTGCAGTCTTCTCCGCTTCAAGTCTTGTTTCCATCGAAAGTTTATCTGCTAATTTAAAATTTAGATGAGTGCCTTACTTACCTAGTGCTCACTAGATAGTTGGTGGCTGCTTTTATATCTGACTAATATTCAAACTACCTGCAGCAAGTCCCTGTGAATATTATTATGAAAATGAACAACATTTGACTCACTTATCTTTTTAATTAGAACTGTCCATGCCTGGCCATTTCAAAAAGGTTAGTAAGCTGATAATTTATTTTAACAATACAATATTGTATTTTATCCACTTCCATTTCAATTTTTTTTACAATTTGAAAATCCCATTAAGAGAACATAAATTCACAACAAAATTTAGAGACACTGAGGAACAGCGTTGGAGAAGGGAACTGAGTAGGGAGGTAACGGACGTTGGAGGGAACAGAGATGAATGATTTAGGTCTGAAATATCATACCTTAGTCAAATTCCAAATAGAAAATGCACTTTGAGACGAACTTTTAGATAAAATTATCTATTTAATTAAAAATACCTTTTGATCATGGATTCCAATATATTAGTATTGTCAGAAGAGTAAAATTTTATTGTGTCTAAATAAAATTGCAATATAATTGTACTTTACGGTTTTCCAAAAAAAAATTCCGATAAAAGAGAATTTTTTCATTAGCTCCTAGACGGTCAAGAATTTGTGTGATGAAATCTCAAAATCTTTAACTGGTTTTCCGTTTTCAGACCAAGAAGAAGTACTGCTTTCGTTTCTTAAAAAAAAAAAAAAGAAAAAAATTACTTTGCTAACTTGAAAAATCTCCTTTTTTCTTTCGTTTTCTTTTCTGGTCAGCCAAACTTTTCAGAATTTTGAACTAAAATTTGGTCCAAAAAAATTTTCGATGCTTTGTATGGAAAACTGTCACCAAAACTTGGGAAAAATTTAAAGAGAGATTTGTGCAAATTTTGAGAAAAAATTACATTGGGTACCTACCTATATTAAACTAATATATGGGTATGTACAGCAAAAATATTGCTATAATTTTACAATATTATTGCAATATAATGCAGTGCTTATTCCGGTTACAAAATGCTTTTTGGAGAATCATCTTCCACAGCTGAATGACTGAATGAGGAAGATAAATGACAACATGCTCTGTATTTTTGTTCCTCACAAGGGTCAAAGCACCTTCTTACACGCTTAGTGAGGAATTCCAGAGGAGAAACAGTCACCTCCTTCATTATACCTTGCTCTGGTGATTTTACCTTCCTCCTCAGTTAATTAGTCTTATTCAGTCTACTCTCTTAGCAACAATGATCAAGGATGTTTGAGTTCAACAGGTTGCCATTCACAAGATTACTGAAAAATTTTAAAGTAGTGACCAAGTCTGTTTATAATTTCCCCTAAATCCTTTATCCTGAGTAAACTGCAAACTGGCATCACATTACTACAGCTAGTACGAACTTGGATCATTTGCTTTGATAAATTTATGTAGTAAGTAAAGAATGATTTAAGTAGATGTCATGTAAAAATTATTAAAGAAAAAAATCCATACTGGCAACTCTGAGCTGGAAGATGTTCACAGCCCAGACCTCTCTTTATTTAGCTCCAGTAAGTAATTTGTTCTTTTCATAAGTAGTTAGGGGGCACAATAGTTTGTGGACAGAAGAGTACCAAATTTAACAGCTGCAGGAAGCAAACACTTTTTAACCTTGATCTTGACACGTCTTGATCTTGAACTTGTGCGTATCTTACATTTTGTTTCAATCCATATTCTTATAACTATTAGACTGAAAATTTAACTGAATTTTTTTTTGTAAAAACACGTAAGTATTGAACAAAAGCTTGTTTACACTAAAATGACAAGAAAATAATAATTCCAAAAAATTCTTAAATTCTATAAATTTGAAACCTACAATGGTTCCTGAAATTCTACCTGTGATTATTAAGACAGTAAAATTAATTTTTTTTTTTTAAGAAACAGACCGAGTTTACTACATTGATGAGAACATTATAAAAAGATAAATCGTAATTTATATTGATGCAAGCCACAGCAGTTGGAAGGAAAATATTTGGGTGCGCGTCACTATTGTCTGATAGAAAGCTAGTTCCTTGAATATTTCAGCCATAAAGCACCTCTAGAGTCAACATGTTCAATTCAATTAACATTCTCTCTCTCTTTCTTTCTTTCTCTCTTGTTGATTTTTTTGTTTGTTTTTTTCTGTTCCAGTGAAGATGTCTCGAAGCTTCACCGAGTGGTCAATATGTTTTGGTGTGTTTTTAATTCAGTGCAACTTCATAAGTGGGTTGTGTGACCTGACATCGACAACACCCTGCAATAATGAGATTGATAGCACTCCATACAAACCTACTTGGGAAAGTCTGGATAAAAGACCTCTACCAACATGGTATGATGAGGCAAAATTTGGAATTTTCGTTCATTGGGGCGTGTTTTCAGTGCCTTCTTTTAAAACAGAATGGTTTTGGAGTAATTGGAAAGGTAAGATCCATTTCATTTGAATATTCCTAAACTCGTTCACCGACAAAAACTTACAATGGTTGGTTTAGAAAATAAATTTTACAAGTAATTTTTAGTTTTCGAAGAGAAAAACTAGAAGAACTAGAAAATAAATGGAAGGTACAGTTTACAAAGATTAATAAGACGAATAAGATTGGAGACAGGATATCAACTATTCAATGGGTTAGTGTCTGCTTGACAGATTAGACCTCAACGTAAGGTGAGAAATTAAGCTTGAAAGCACTTGTTTCCTTGTCAAAATTTCTGGTAGAACATGATGGACACATTCAGAATTTCCATTTCAACATATAAGAGAAATTATACCGTTTGTTATTTTGAACTTCTCACTTGAGAAAAAACCAAATTTGCCCCAGATGTATTCAACTGTTTTTAATGTACAGTAGGTATACCTACTTTACAATTATAAAATTTTCATAATGAGTTTAATTTCCCTTGACTATAGAAGAACCTAGCACTAAAGAAGGAGGAAAGTCTCATAGAACCAGACTACAATTACTCCTAAGATATAAGATTGTTCTTAAAAAAAAAAAAAAAAAAAAAAAAAAAAAAAGTTTTCCTTCTTTGATTTTGTTCTTCCTTTCCTAGGAGGAGAAGGGGGTTCGGTGAGAGGTGACCTAAGAACCAAATTTTTTACTTGAGGGGTATCTCTGAATTTTTGATGCTTAAATATCTCTCTGTTAAATCTTCTCCAGTCTGGTGGTCCACTGAGTATGGAACATCAGAAATTACTTTTTTGCTTCGAGTAATCAAGTTGTTTGCTGATCTTTTATATGATAAATTGGAACATTTTGGGGAATAAGTATTGAAAGCAGCAAAGAAATAATTAAGCTATATTTAAAATTATTTTGCATTGCAGGGGAGAAGCCCAGTAAAATAGTGGTGGATTTGATGAACAAAAACTACCGCCCTAATTTTACTTATCAAGAGTTTGCCAAAGATTTTACGGCTGAGTTTTTTGACCCCAATGAGTGGGTGGACTTGTTTAAAGCATCTGGAGCCAAGTGAGTATAATATTTTTAAGGACAATCAGTATCTTTTCTTCCAATTTCTTCCAATTTCCTTCAGTTGTACCCCTGATTAAGGAAATCAGTTTTAAAAATTTGACGGGAAAAAAGAGGAAAAAATGTAAACGACACTCAATGCGACGCTATTTACCATTCAAAAGATAAAGATATATTGAGACCAAAGCACGGCTTCTGACTGTTTAAAAAGTACAACTTGTCTAGAGCAATAGAAGACTCACAAGTCACATCACTGACAAGTAACAGGATTAGACATGATCTCTCCATCCAAAAGCGTTGCAGAAAAATTTGTCAAAACTTTTCCCTTCAACTTTGAAAGTCGAAGCAAACATATAGAGAAAAATTAATTCTTCAGACACAATATATTACATATAATTATTTATTACAAGTTACTGATCTGGTAATGTTTTAGATATGTTGTGCTCACATCTAAACACCATGAAGGCTTTACTCTTTGGCCTTCAAAGTACTCTTTTAGTTGGAATGCAGTTGACATTGGACCACACAGGGATCTAGTAGGTATAATAAATCATTTATTACTTCTGACATGGTTCTGTTACATGTAACAGATCCACCTCACTGAGTAGCCTTCATAAGCATAAAATTGCACGAAAATCACGCTGAGTGCAGCAGGAACAGAAATACCTAGCACACACTCCGAAACACAAAATCTGCATAGTCTGTATCTTGTATTTTCCAAATTAGCTAGGCACGCTGGCACTTTCTTCTTGGTCACTGCCATTTTGGCTGGCCTGGAGGGAGAGACCTTTAAGAAAAATTTGCTGAATGAAGAAAAAATCGGTCATCAATCTTTCTCACAGATGATTTAAACAATTTAAGGTGCTTATTAGTTTTTACTTCTTTTTTTTAATGAGGAGAGCACAAAAACGTTGAAGGCATTAAAATTATCCTTCATAAAGACTTATGACAGTTTCCAGATAGTTTATCTATTTTACGTACTCATTCATCTCTCAGGGCAAAACTGTTGCCGGCAACTTCAAGAACAGACCTGCAGACACACTGAATTTGAAAATATTTGCGTTTCAGAGTATACTTCAGATATTTCTGATAAGTTCAATGTGATATTCATGAAACTTTACTGACAAAAACTTGCAGAGTCTCTGATACAGGTAGCTATTAATTTTCGGAATTATTGGACCAATCAGTTCAAACTATGACACAAACAGAAATTAAAAAAGCTATTTTGTTCAAGTATCAAAATCATGAATTTGTGCATATGCATTTCGTATGCCTACCCTGATCACAGTCGATCTCATGGTCCGATTACAAAAAAGAAAAAAGGTGGTTTACAAGCCTAGCCCTGGTTTAATTCAGTGTACTCTTTCCTCTGAAAAGAATTCCACCCTGTTAGCCAACGGCAAACTAAATATGAGTTAGCAATGCAAAATTTGGAGAATGCGCAAAGTTTCAGAGGATATTGTAAGATCCTAATATTAGAGACATGCTCTTGTTCTCAGAAGATTTTTATTCTCTTCTAAAACATTTAGTTGCTAGTTTTCCAGGATAGTCGTACTAATTTGAAAAAATTTTCTCTTTCCTTCCTTCAGGAGATTTGGCTCACGCTGTCCGCACAAGGTCCAATATGACATTTGGACTTTACCATTCTCTATTTGAGTGGTTCAATCCACTTTGGCTGGATGATCTCAAGTCTAACTTGACAACGCAAAACTTCGCCAAATTTAAAACCGTTCCTGAACTGTATGAGCTGGTAAGTGATCAAAAAGTAAACGGCATCTGTTAGTTGAAATAATACAGCCAAGTAAGAAGTAGCAATTATGAGAATCATAAAAATGATTAGACCAAGCTACTGTGAATGTTTCCAAGGCTGAGATTAATTAACTGCTGTGCGGCTACATTACATGAAGAATAGATGACCAGGATGAAATGACAGAAATTCCTATATTATGGCTTGCCCTATGCCTAAAACACACATTTTTTTGAACTGATATTCAGCTGGAATGAGATATTCACTCTTGAGAGATATAATTCCACCTATTCCTAAACAGACTTAACATGAATGTAACAATTTTTATAGCTGAGTTACCTTACTTTATACATTGGTGCACAAGTTCTAGGTGCAGCTGTCAGTTTCTGGAGGCATTAAACAGAAAAGCTAGCTTTCTCCTCAGGTTGTGTAAAACTATACTTTTTCAATGTTGATATATTAAATTAAGCTTTCCTAAAAGTACATATTCAAATTAATTTAAAAATAGTAAACCTGAAAACGGCGCCATTAATATTACTGAAAAATTTGAGGTTTGCATCTTTTAAAGTATTGTGCAATCGTACATGATGTTGTTCCATTTAGGTGGAGAAGTACAAGCCAGAGGTAATTTGGTCTGACGGTGAGTGGTGGGCTCCGTCTGAATATTGGACATCGCAGGAATTTTTGGCTTGGTTGTACAACTCTAGCCCTGTCAAAGACACAGTCGTTGTTAACGACCGATGGGGACATGAAACACTGTGTCATCATGGAGGTTTCTACACTTGTGCGGATCATTACAACCCTGGTGAGGATCCAAGAGTCAGGCAAACGTAGCCTGACTGCTACTTTCAGTAGTCCTTTTTTAACGATTGCAATACTAGCAGGATTTAAGGTGATTTTAAGTGATCTAAATATAGGATACACAACTACATTGCGCTGCTACACGGTCTCTGTCTTTAAGAAGCAATAATTATTGTAATGTACAGGTTAATGCAAGAATCGGATCCATGTGTAGCAGCATTAATAGTACGTAGTATAACATTAAATCGTGAGGATTCATTGAAAATAATTTAGATCGAAACTAACATAACGGAAATTGCTCATTGACTCAGTGTGTAAGAGAGAGATAGCATATTGATATCTCTCTTTCGCACATTGAGTCAATGAGCGATTTCTGGTGTGATAGTTTCTGATTTAAAGTTTCAATATATCTTCACAAATTTGATGTTAAACTGCTCAGTATTAATGCTGCCAAACTGTAAGGATCAGTTTCTTGTATTAAATTGTGCATTACGATAATTATTTCTTCTCGAAGGCACGGACCATGTAGCAGCACAACGTCGTGGCGGATCTGAACCCGAGATCACTTGGAATCCTCTTACTAGAATAAATATTGATTCCAAAATTAATCATATTTTCTCTTCTTTTTTTCTTGGGAAAAGGGAGGGGGGGGGGGTTGAAATGCATATGTAGAATGATTTTCTTGTTTTTTCTCATTATTATCGACCAGAAATAAAAATATTTTTGGTTTTTTATTAAAAGATGGGTGACCTTTTCAGGGTCCACAGATTTTGTTCGCATACAAAAGAGCCCAAAATTTTGCTTTAGTCTGTTCCGATACTGCATGATTTGATGGTTTGTGAAATATTCAACAGTTCTTGAAAAACAATACGGAGTTAGTCCTTTCTTGAATATTCTGTGAACTATACTCTTTAGAACATTATCAAAGAGATACACTACCCTTGTCGAGAAAATTTGTTTAATTTTGTAATAGCAAATTCTTTGCTCTCAGAGAATTTACCTTCTAGTTCAGCAAGTTTTATCGCTTCTTAATTTTAAGATTCCTCAAACAATCCATAAAAATTGAAAGCATTTATTAATATTACTAAAATGCAATGACCACTCAAAATGAAAATAAATGAATAAATAATGCTGATTTCCATCATGCTGAACTATTTATGTACTGTTTTATTAACATCCACAGGAAAACTACAAAAATATAAATTTGAAAATGCCATGACAATTGACAAGCAGTCTTGGGGATATCGTCGCAATGCGAAATTGTCAGAATACTACACCAGTGAAGAGTTAATAGCAGAGTTAGTTACTACTGTCAGTTGTGGAGGTTTGTGACTAATTAGATTTCAATTACTTAATTAAAAGTAAACAGTGAGCATAAAATGTTTTGCGACCAACTTGAAAGCTAGTTTCTGACTAGATTTTGATTTTAAAACATTATTTGTTTATTTTGTTGAGGATAATTTATTGGTATCAACTGTTTAGTTCTGTACTTCTATATTTTGCTTTGTCATTAAGAAAATACTTAGACATTTTTAAAAGATAAAAAGAGCCCTCTATTACTTTTCATCATTGAAAAGCCAGAAAAAGGACAAATAGCTACTTCTTTAAAATTAAAAGCAAGTGAAAAAATTAAGCAATGTGAAGAAAAAGAAGAAGTGACGGTAAAATAAAGCCACACGATTTTTTTTGCCAGCACCAAAAGCAGCACAAAAATTTATTGTATTTTATTTCATCTGTCAGTCACTTTCAATATTCAAATGTCCTATCAATTCAGTAAAAGAAAACTCGTATTTGATTGTTTGCAGGAAATTTTCTCCTGAATGTTGGACCAACAAAAGAGGGTGTCATAACTCCAATCTTTCAAGAAAGGTTACTGGACCTTGGCACCTGGTTCAACACCAGTGGAGAAGCAATTTATGGTTCAAAGCCTTGGGAAAGATGTCAAAATGATACTTTAACAGGGAATGTGTGGTATGTACAAAAATTCAAATAAAATAAAAACTTAGAATCATTGAATCCTTTGTTCATTTGCAGCGAAGGCATTTTTAAATGAATTTCTAGTTTCTTCATTGTAAATTAAGGGTTGTAAATAAAAATTAGAATATAAAAATGTTTAGTGCAGTTGAGTCCATTAAAAAAAAACCACTCTGTGTGACAGTGTATGCCTCAGATGAAAAATGCTGTAAAGAAGGTTGGAGAGATTTCATACTTTAGGAGAAAAATAAAAAAAGAGCTACGTAAAATAACGCAGTTTTATCTCTCTCCAGTGGAATAGTTGTTGGTTTTACAAAGGCTGATAATTTAGTCTTCTGTCCCGTTCAGGCCGCTCAAAGTAACAAGGCCAATATTGAGTAAAAGGACATAATTCTGACAGAATTGAATCATTCAGTTGAGAAAACTCACTCATTAATTTGAGAGCGTTCATTTGTTGCTCCCAAAAAAATGCCTCATTCCAAACAGTATTAAATAAAAAGGTCCTCAAATAGACCCTTGCCCTCCCCCAATACCTTTACACAGCTGTTTTTTGCATTGACACCATCGGATATTGGCTGTTACGAGTTTTTACTATACTTATAAAATTTAGTTTCTCAGCTCTGAATTATTATTAAATGATGCTATTCATTAAGCGCATTCTTTTTACTTTCTTATCATTTCTGTAATTCTCAGGTATACATCAGTTTCTCGAAGTAATTCGCAGTACTTGTACGCCATATCGTTAAGTTGGCCAAGAGATGGTATATTATCACTAGCATGTATCAAAGGCCTGAAAATAGCCGAGCCAGTGCTTCTCCTTGGTTATGACAAACCCATCAAGGTAAGTTACTCATTGATTCATATTTCGAAATTCTTTGGAAGAGTATCTATCTAAGTATAGCCGCAAATGATTAGCAACCTCCTGCTATTTGAGATGAGTAGAAAAAATGCAATCCATCCATGGATTTTCTTCGTTTATGCCCTTAATTTTTTGGTTTCTATTTTCATTCCTTAGCTGGAATACAGGCTCGAGGTTATTGAGGGCAGTTTTCAGGGAGAAACATAGTTTATTTTGTTTTTAAATTCTGGATATCTCTTAGAGGCCGAATCTAGTCTTTTTACTGAAGTTATTAATCACTATTTTAGAGGAAAAGTTTTGTTCTTTCTACTGGTTTGCTACGCTACAAGTACCACATAAGGCTACTCCCCCTCCTCCTACCCTCTTTTAGAGACATTTGTAAGTCAGCCCTGGATTTCATCCCCCTTAGGCGACTTATATACATATGGATAGCTACCAACTGTATTTTGTGTTTAATTATTAGATTGAAGATTAATTTGGGCCAGCTTCCGAACTCCTTATAGACAAGGTAGACTTTTTCATACCATTTTGTACCCCTCTGATTAATATATATCAGCATGTATTTGTGTGGATCTGTGTGATTTACCTTTGGCTCTTCTTTGTAGTTTTCAGAAGAAGCTGATGCAGTGAAGCTTTACTTTCCATCAAAGGCAGAAACTGATATGAAAATGGGCTACACGTTCAAGTTCACGTTCGCGTTCAACCAAAAATGAGACACCTCTATGAGATATCTTCATAAGTAAAAGAAGATGAAAGTACTATTTGCGTATATTTGAAAGTGACATTATGAAATAAGTACCTAAATTTATGTTTAAAGTATTTAATTCCTGTTGAAAGATTTTCTGCGCTTCCATTGAAGTGTGCTTCTTCCGTTTTGTATATATAATTGGACGTATTTCTGCCAAACGGAACTATGTGCATTAAGACATAAGCCCTGAGACCTATAGGAATACATGCACAACAGGGCTCACATCATAATGCACATAGTTCCGTTTGGCAGAAATGCGTCCAATTACTTTTAAAAAAAAGTTGTACTCCCTGAATTGACTGCAGAGGTGTATAAACTAATTTACTTTTTGCATCTTCCTCCCTTCATTTTTCTGAGGGTCCCAGTGGAAGAAAATCAAAATCAATTTTTTGTTTTTTCACAGTCTTAAATAGTCCATAGGAGGAGATGAATTGATGGCCAACATTGATTGATTCATTGATTGATTTATTAACAATTCCATATGACTATTTCTTTGCCGATGCATTTTCAAAGTATGTCAAACTGAATTCACTTAGAACATTCTTACTCACTCTAGTTAAATTACTGGACACTGGTTGTTCCCAATGGTGTTTTTAGTATGTATGCAGACAAACAAAGTAGAATAAATAAAGAGAAGAATGATATGAATTTTGATTTTCCTCCTTACTTGTATAATCTGGCTTTGAAGTAAATATTTAAAGCCTCCTGAGACACTTGAGAACAGATGCCCAAGTCAAAAAACTCTTTCAATAAACCTATTGGATTACACAGAGACGAGATGCTATTCAACAAGACTGAGGCTTGTTATCAACAGCAGCGGACTGTTTCTCAAAGGCTCAATTTCAAGCCTTAAGTTGTTTCATATCGATGGTTCTGAGGAGAGAATATTTTTCCTTGAAGCGGATAATTTTTAGTATTGATAACTATAATTTGCTTGGAGGAAAGTACTGTGCTTGCAAACTATCACAGAAAAATCCTTGCAATTTGGTCTAAATATTACTTTCCAATTCCATATAATAGCATCCACCTTTTGGGCGCTCCTGGTTTACCAGACGCGCCCTTCCCAGCCACTGGACTCCTCATTGTAACATGTGTACATGGGACATAGCGGGTTGTCTCATGGGAAATGACGCCATTTTGGTAGAGGCGGTAAAACTTTGATCTTGCTCGTTATCTGTTATTTTTAAAAATAAGCGTAGAATGTTGAGTTTTTGCCAAAAAAATTCTGCAAGGATTTACTACCAGGTTACATTAGTTCAAGGTCATCGTCATGCTTAAATATTTATATTCGATCTGTACTTTCTGAGTAAATTTGAAAAATTTAGGAGTAGCCACGTGATCTCTTCATTTAGTGACGTATTGTTGTGCTTTTCTAAGATTGGTTCATTTTCCAATTGTTTTGCTTGTATATCAGTGGACAGTTGCCGCCGCCATTATCCCACCTCAAATTTCAATAAATAAAAAAAAAAAAAAATGAGCTTTGTACATGGAGGAAAATTGCTCTAAAGGACTCACTTTGTCTTTAACAGCCAAAATCAGACATTAATATTGAACGATTGATTGATTTAATTCACGAGAATCCAAATATTAAGTTGCCTCAAGGCCAATCTCATTGGGCCAAGACGCTAAGGTGGAGCTTTGAAACAGCTGTGGCCAATGAGCGTACGCAATTTCCGAACGCACCTCCTCATTCTCTGAGCAATGAGTCAATTTTTTAGTTAAATAGTGTGGTTTCTCTCATCATAATAGCGCTTCCAACGTGGCTAAGTGCCTCCGTGTCCAGCTTAAACTCCGGAGGTCGAAGTTCGATCCCTTGCCTGGAGGAATTTTTTTTTTATGATTTCTTTTATGTTTTATTTGACTAAAAAAGTATGGGCAACTATATTACTTCCTTCTGCCACTGAGAGAAGCGCCCTCCGACGCAATTGTGTTGGAACGTCTTGTTTCCTTTTTGAAATTAGTCCTTGGAATTGGGTAACTCAATGGCATTAATTAGAAAAAGCTCCATGGAATTCTTGTAAGTTTTTTTGCCAGCAAAGCACGATTTTTTCAGAATCAACCGTAGTTTGTATTGAGGACATTATCAGCCATTCTTGAGGAGAACGATAGTCATTAACAGGTGTTTATTTGGTAAACTGTTAATACTTACATAAAAAATTACACTCTAAAAGATCCAACTAGTTACAAATGCAGAAACTTAACTGAAAAGTTACGATAGTCCAAGTATATCTTTTACCGCTTCCTTATATTTTGCTAGTGTATCAACATCTTCCCCTGAAACAGTACACAAAATTTAAGGTGAAATAAGTCAGTTCAGCTCAGCAAGCCGATTAAGATAAGATGATTAAGATAAGATAAGATAAGGTGGCAAGATAAGATATCGAAATGCAATATATTACGCAATGAAGATAGGGCTATGTTTTGTCGTATCGACATGGGTTCAATGATCAGGCTGCGGAAGAGAACAACCTGCAATTAGTTGTTTCTCGCTCTTTTAGGCAAGAAAACACACACAGAGCTCATTAAAATCTCTTCAAAATTAGTTTTTATGGATATAAGTCTTTTGCTCCTTAATGGGAATCAAAAACACAGTTGAACTAAATTGCAACCTCATCAGGTGAGTCTGATGATTGAAGCAAGATGATATCAGCACTGTTGTGATAGCGAAGAGAGTTATAAATCTTTGATTTCGAAACTTTTGAAATGAAGTTTCCTTCAAAATTTGTTTCATCAAATTTGAAATCACTGATGCAGCTAAAATAGCAAAATTCATCTAATTTATGTACAAATGAGACCTATGAGAAAGCTGTAAATGAGCAGAAATTGACATTTTTTCAGAAGAGATAGTCGTAAGGGGCATGATTCCGCCAAACAGCCAGTGAGAGCTATGCTCCCAAGTAAAATGGCGCCCTTCTCTGCTAATTTCCAACCGAAACATTTGTTCGTTGTGTGTCTGAAACGTAACCACAAATGCATGCAGAGGATAGCACTTGTGTGGTTTACCTCTGCATTAGAATTCAATGTATTTGAAACTTAATGCTGCCTGTAATGGACGCAAAGAAACAAATTTATTCAGGTTATGAAGAGAAAAATGCTGCTTTTGGCTGATATGCAACCAAGCATGAATTTGTGCAAAAACCTTACAGAATAATTTTTTTTTTTTTTTACCTTTATTAAATAAATCAGTGACAGCATTTCTATATTTGATAGCCTCTGGAGTGTTAAAGTCAACCGTTTCAGGATTTGGTTTTCCGGGCCAACACTTCAACTGAACGTATGACTGCTTGGACTTGTTCAAATCCCAGTCATAGTACTCCATATCCACTTCTGATTTCTCTTTTTCCCACTCTGCGAAATTCTGTGGACAGTTTTTTAAAATGAGTAAGGTGAAACAATAACGAAATGCACCCATATAGAAGTGTCAACCACACAGAGATAAAATTTTCTATCTTCATTCAATTAAAGCAGATTCAATGGGTTGTACGTCAAGGTTCTTTATTACTATGAAAAAAGAAAAGAAAAAAGAGAATTTATCCATACAAGTAAACTTTGAAACTGTACACATACAACTCACAATTTGTCGACCTGTACACTTGTCAACTCCAACAGTTGTGATTTCAATTTGTATTTGGCCTTAAAAGAGGGGGTATTTGAACTTATAAATGCTCCAAAATTGTCTAAATTGGGGGGGTAGAGGGCTTACATCTAGTCTTTGAAGGAAAAGCCTTCTTGCAAGCCCAAGAGGAGATGATGCTCCAAGAACGACACCATAGATACCTTCAGTGCTCAAGAGATTTAGTGGCTCCAGAGTTTATACATAAAATTAATTTTACATGAAACTACATAAACGAGCTGCAAAAGATGTGTCATACCTGCAACAATAACATTTCAAACAAAAAAAGCTGGAATTCACCCAAAAACCTAATTTTGCATCTTTGCTTCTCTGATTCTCAATACTCGTATCTCCAGCTGTTTTCCGGGTGACTCTACAGATTGCATAGAAAACCAGTATTCATAGAAAGATAAAACGTAGTGCCGAGTTGTTCTTTATTAGTTACCCCTCCTCTTGCCAGAGCTGCATTTGCTACGCCAGTGCTCCTTGAGCAACTCATCAAAAGAGTCCAGCATTACGATATAAAATTTTTTGGGATCGATAGAAGCTCCAACTTCGTAAAGCACGCTGTTTTTCCGAATTATTTTTTAACCTTGACTCGATTAAAACTTGGCAAGAAATTAAATCAGAACCTTGAATCTATGTTCACCTATTTTGAGATAAAATGTTGAATCTTATTTCTCAAAACTTGTAGGGCAGTTATTCTCTCAAAATTCTCGAAAGTTGAAGTTCTTTTTAAAGATGCTTGAAGAGTTTTCAAGAGCATCTCTTTGTTGCTACACATCTTTCAGAATTAATACCTTTTTACCATCAAACATAAGAAACATAGATAGTTTTTTGGCTGTTCTGACTAACTGTATTTTCTGAGACCAATTTTTGCAGTTTCACCATCAATATGTGCCTTGAAATTAGTGTTCGAAACTCACACGCGCCAACATGCCCAATGCGCAAGAAATTGGTTATGGCGCCTAAAAAATGAAGGCTCTGCGCCAACGTGGCCCCTTAAAATTGCCCCTCCCCCCCTCATAAAGAAAATCCTAATTTTTCTGTTTGGAGATTTTTTTTTTAAATTTCGACGCGCAGCACTGGATTCTAACTTTTCACTAAGTGCGCCGTGCTATATAGGCAAAAAGTCAATTTGGCCCCTAAAAAATCTACGATGGCCCCTAAAAATCGAGCTTGATGAGCCTCATGGTTTCTGAAACCCGACGGTGAGTTTCGAATACTGCTTGAAATAGGATCAAATCTCAAGCCTGGATTTCTCAGTTTCCATTCATCATTATTAAGGTTTTTCTAATATCTATCAAGACTTAAACAAAGTTAACAATTTGATAACAAAGGATAGGATTACAACACTGGAAGAGCTGAAAAGGTGGGCGATCCCAATAATCTGATTGGACTTACCCAAGCCTCATGGTAAAGTGCAGTAATGAGATACATAGCATATTCGTAGTTCTGCTTGCGGACTGGACACCTGTCTGCTACAATACAAACATCATCCCTTTCTTCACTATAATTGTCCTTACATAACCTTTTAAACTTGTCTTTTGAATGTTTGCCTAGTTTCAAAGCCTTCACTTTGAACTGAAATAAAAAGAAAAATGCAAAGCTGTGAGGCGGACTTGATGTTTGATGTTTAGTGAGGATGTTTTTTTGAGTAGGGCCATTTTTTCCACATAAAACCAAAAAATTTCAATTTCATAAATCCTGCAGAAATTTCTGGTGACTTAAGTTGAAATTTTATAATGTCCCTTAAAACCTCCTTGACTTGAAGTCCTCTGGAAAGTTACGTAAGTGTAGGAATTGTAGCGTACATGAGGAGCACATGAAAATTTTAAGTCGTTTGAGTTTCAAAGAACATACCAAAAACTTTGGCCTAAGAGCAGCTTAATAAAAATTTTACAAAACATACATTCTGAAAATATTAATTTTTTAACCAAAGAAGAAAGACAAGGTTTGACAAAGGAGTTTTGTATTAATAGAGAGTTTAGAAAAATGACTTTTCTGAAATAAGATAACATTTGTTCTTTCATAAATAATGACAAATAGTTGTAAAACAAGAATTAGATCATATTATACAAATTCAAAGGGGCACTTTTGTGATACTCAGTTTTCTTCTAAATTCAGCTGGGTTGTTTTTTTGTTCATGACCCCAAGCCATGCTTTTAATTGAGATATTGTCAAGTGGGTCTTTGTTGCCGGTTTTTGTTATAAATTGTTGTCAACTTTCAATTTGCCGATAAGAATATCTATATTCACTTTTACAACGTATTCAAGTAGTGGTTCTCCTTGTCAAGGCTCATCAAACTCAGCCATACTCATGGCTTGAGCACATCCATCATGTGGCCAAAAAAATAGTTCCAACTGTCTGTCAAACCCTCGAGTCAGAATGCAGTTTCTTCTGCATTTCCTTGGGAAATTTCTTGAATTGTTACCTTTTAAGGTGTTTATAGTCCCAAGCTTGGCCTGAGTTAAGGTAATTTGACTAAAGAGAAAAGAAACTTAAAAAGGAGGGGTATCGTTAAGGGCCTTTTTTGGCCCCACCCTAAAATTCCTCAACTCCGCGATTTTTTGGTCATTGAAGGTCTATATTTTACGGAATGCACAATGGTTTTGTCATTTCCGGTCTATTTCGGGGTCTACCACTGGCCTAAACATGGGTCTGAAGGCCAATTTTGGCGAAAAATGCGGGTTTTTCAGCATTCGACGCGCTGTTCCGTAACGATCCCTTCGGAGGACAAAAAAATCCTTCAAGTATGTTCATTAGGGATGTAAGAGAGTCACTTTGGCCAATTTTTGTCGATGTCAAACTTTGCGCTCATAGTTTAAAAAAACTTTTTAGAATTTTTCTTGTTTTTCATCATTATTTAAAATGGCTTAAAAAAGGCGACTCATCTTACACCAGAATTAAACTTTTTTGGCAGAAAATGGTCGTGGGTGGTCAAAACCTTCCTCTAAGAACTGTTTCCGATTTAAAGCCCCCCAAAAAAGCCGGTGTTGCCATATTTCATTGCCTAAAATCATAGAAAACCGAGTGCTTATTTCAGTATTTGGGGGCTATTTCTCGTCGAGCTCATTCAGAAAAGTCCAAAAACCTTCATTTTTCATATGTTATGGCCGAATCACCAGTAATTACATACATTTATCTAACTACGGAACCTCCCATCGCGGCACGGCGTTGCCACATCATCAGGGAAAAATCGAGAAAAATCCACGTTTCCCTGGATTTGAGCCATTTTTTCGGATTATGCGGATGGAATAAAGTTGAAACACTTAAATTGCAGTATTCAGAGATGCAAGTGGATCATACCTTGTGCCGGTATTCATTATTTTAATATATTGCGCTTATAGACAACCCATATTCTTACGATTTCTAGGCACGATATTTGCGCAAGAGGATGCGACTTTCAAACATTGGCCGTGATCTGAAGTCCGAAAGAAAGTAAGCCATGTGTCAGAATCGCGAGTCCTCAATGCTGAATTTTTACCCGCCCTGACAACCACCACCAATCCCCCTCCCTCCCCCAGCCCTCTTATCGGCAGCGATTGTTCAGAATTCTACTTCCTGATTTTTTTTCTCAATTTGCATACTTAGTATAGGCACAAAGCACATGGAGGATGAATTACGATATGTGTGAGATTTAGGATGCTTAATATTATTTCCTTTAGAAAACATATGATTGTATGCAAATTGAGAAAAAAAATCAGGAAGTAGAATTCTGAACAATCGCTGCCGATAAGAGGGCTGGGGGAGGGAGGGGGATTGGTGGTGGTTGTCAGGGCGGGTAAAAATTCAGCATTGAGGACTCGCGATTCTGACACATGGCTTACTTTCTTTCGGACTTCAGATCACGGCCAATGTTTGAAAGTCGCATCCTCTTGCGCAAATATCGTGCCTAGAAATCGTAAGAATATGGGTTGTCTATAAGCGCAATATATTAAAATAATGAATACCGGCACAAGGTATGATCCACTTGCATCTCTGAATACTGCAATTTAAGTGTTTCAACTTTATTCCATCCGCATAATCCGAAAAAATGGCTCAAATCCAGGGAAACGTGGATTTTTCTCGATTTTTCCCTGATGATGTGGCAACGCCGTGCCGCGATGGGAGGTTCCGTAGTTAGATAAATGTATGTAATTACTGGTGATTCGGCCATAACATATGAAAAATGAAGGTTTTTGGACTTTTCTGAATGAGCTCGACGAGAAATAGCCCCCAAATACTGAAATAAGCACTCGGTTTTCTATGATTTTAGGCAATGAAATATGGCAACACCGGCTTTTTTGGGGGGCTTTAAATCGGAAACAGTTCTTAGAGGAAGGTTTTGACCACCCACGACCATTTTCTGCCAAAAAAGTTTAATTCTGGTGTAAGATGAGTCGCCTTTTTTAAGCCATTTTAAATAATGATGAAAAACAAGAAAAATTCTAAAAAGTTTTTTTAAACTATGAGCGCAAAGTTTGACATCGACAAAAATTGGCCAAAGTGACTCTCTTACATCCCTAATGAACATACTTGAAGGATTTTTTTGTCCTCCGAAGGGATCGTTACGGAACAGCGCGTCGAATGCTGAAAAACCCGCATTTTTCGCCAAAATTGGCCTTCAGACCCATGTTTAGGCCAGTGGTAGACCCCGAAATAGACCGGAAATGACAAAACCATTGTGCATTCCGTAAAATATAGACCTTCAATGACCAAAAAATCGCGGAGTTGAGGAATTTTAGGGTGGGGCCAAAAAAGGCCCTTATTGATACCCCTCCTTTAATGTTAATTTACACAGGTGAACCTTAAAAATTACAGTTCTTTCCTGCAGTCCATCCTATGCTCTTCGGTTTGAGACAAGATTATTTTTAACCAGCATAAAGGCACGGCCTACTTTAGGCTCAAAATTGGCTTAAAAGAACCTTTAAGGTGAATAAAGTTGCCAAATTCATTAGAATACTTACTTTAACGGTGACAATTCTTGCTTTAGGATCTCTGATTTTTGGTGCAGAATGACAGTAGTCTGAGGTGATAACTTCAAGTGGAAAATGTTGCTCGATTTTTTCATCAGTTTCTAATCCTTCCGGCCATGCTGTACAAAATTTCCTCAGAGCTTCTGTTTGCTTCTTTACGGCAGGAGGGGTTAGGTGAAGGAAATTAGGGATTTTCATTAACTCTGCATTGGCAAATTTCCCCACAGGTGGCAGTCCATCTGACATGTTTCCTTGGAACATAGGTAGCGGAACAGTTGCTGGGTGAAAAGATCTAGGGCCAGGCCAGACACTTGCCCAATCTTGATCCACAGGCATTCGTGTGTACCTACATGATAATGATGAGAATATTATTAGACATATATTCATAATCCCATCAAAAGGACTTGTGAGTAAAAGTTGACTGTGACTTGAAAAATATTAGAGATGACTGGTTTGCAAAAAAAGAAGGGATATCATCACTTCAAGACCATGTTAATTCTTTTTACAAGGTCTCATTTAAAAAAAATTCTGAAATATTTTTGGTGCAGTCGCACAAATTAGCAATAACAGTTCCTAATATTATTGCTTAAAACCTTATGAAAACAGCGTTGAGATTACTTAGGACAATGTACTTAGCCTCTCTTCCAGGGACAAGTCATAACAGACTTTTCATTTTGCAGAACATTTTTATTTCTTATGGTTTTTGATGAGGTGGAAGCTTTGTTGAACATTGATAATATTGATTTACAAATGCTAGTTTTTTGGATTTGACAAAAATTTCTAAATTGATACTTGGCAGATTTTTCAGTGTTAATTTTGTAAGTGACTTATTTTTTTCTCAATTGACTTGGATAGGTATGTCGGGAAACAATCGCAATTTCCCCAAAATTCTAGGTTTTCTGGGGGAAAATCATGCCATGATGGAGGACAACAATGAAAGAATTCTTCCATAGCATGCCTGAGCATATTCCCTGCTGTTTCTAATTACGAAGTTTTTTCAGTCAATTATCTTAATCTGCACTTATACGACAATATTTAGTTCATTGTATTGTTTTGCATCAGAAAGGATGAAACATTTTTTCCCAGGTATCTAGTAGGACTAACCCCAACTAATTTTTGCCCCTGGAGACAAAAATAACTTTAATTTTATTCCAGTAGCCACCACTTTTTGGAAAATCAAATAAAATAAAAATAGAGGGCTTTATCTGCTCAGAAAACCTTCCCTCTATCAAAGAGTTTAGTTTTCAAAAAGTGGTGGAAAACAAATATGGTCATTCCTTTTGGCAGTAAAAATTAGGTGTGAATACCTCATTTGACACTTGAAAAAAAATTTGTCCCCTCCTTTCTGACGCAAAACATTCAGATAAGCTCCAGTACATCATTAGGCTTCCTTACCAGGAAAAGCCGCGCATATTCTCACACATGCTGAAGGGCACTCAGTAAGCAACAGAATTTTGTTAAAAATGAAAGACCGGTAATGAAGGTATTATCATGACTGAGAGAAAAATTGGAAACTGAAAATTGGGTAAAACGCAAGTAATAATTGTAATTACAAATTTAAATCAACCCGATATTCTAATTGCTGACATATCCTGCAAATTCCTTGTTAAAAAATTATTTTTAGCATTTACATAGGCTTTTTTATTATAGTTGTTAATTCGAGAGATACATTTTCAAATATAAAAACTTGGTAACATGGCAGATAGGATAGGAATTTGATACTTGATAGCCTTGAAATTGTAAAGGTGTATCTGTATACTAAGGAATAATACACTTAAAATAGATCAGCGTACAGGGGTATTTCCGATTTCAAATACAAATAGTTAGAGGCCATTCTAAATACACTGCTTACCGTGGAGGCAGGACTGGTTTTTCCTCCCTTTGGAATTTTTTGACAGATTTTTGACTTGTTTTCTTCAAATCAATCACTCGAAATTCTTCATCTGAAAATAATTAAACATATTAATTCAGTACAAGAAAAAAAATAGTAAAAATTTGGCGTGAATACTGCTAGTAACAGGATGGTAGAATCGGTCTACATTATTCTGTAGGGAAAACAAAAGCTGAAATTCAAAACATGTTGATTATATGTAGAATTTTCTTCTTTCTTCTGAAATCTTAAACAAAACTTGCCCTAAGGTTCATCTCTGTTGATTCCAGCATATCTTTCACCCATTTAGTCAGCTCAAACATCACATCTGTTGAAATACTTTTCACATTGGCCTTGGGTTTATTCAGTTCTCTAATGTAACTCTCTGGCTTCGAAGGACTCCAATTAACACTGCTATCGTCTTACTTGAACTGGGCTCAGCAATTATTTTCCTCTCTAACTTAAAGAGGATCCTAGAAATCCCTAACTTCCCTCATTGTTAAGGAAATTCATACGCACCAACCAAAAACATTGAATCACATAGACCGTGCATCATGTTTTCCGGAAGGCGAGACAACTTTTAAAAATTCACATGTCACTGAGTGTTGGCACCGACCCGCATCGATGAGTTCATGTGTCCCAATTGAGCACATCTGCGCATGCGCAGTAGTGGCTCCAGTGAATTTTTGTCGGATCAAGAGGCTTTATTTCTCGGTTAATAATTAGTTCCGATAAATGAAACATTGCTGTTTGGTTGTAAAATTATATGTTCTAAGACTTTTCTGTTTAGGAATTTTGTCTGAAAATGGACTCTAAAAGAGCTATTTGTGAAAAATTGAGCGCACAAATGAATTCTCCATTGCCTCTCTGCAGTCTCTTCGAGCGCTCTCACCCCTTCCCTACCTGCCTATCATAGAGCTCCGAGAGACTTGTCTCGCTCCACCTGTACTAAACCGAGCCGGACGCATGGTCTGAGTGATTCAATGTCTTTGGCACCAACTGATAATTCATCAAGTTTTCCGCATAATGAACTTGGGAAAATGGTCAAAGTATGTGCTGATTAAGTGGTTTTCTTAACGAAACATATCGACAGTGGAACTACTAGACCTTGAGTCTTGTTTGCGGTGTTTAAAAATCTCCGCTCCCATTACAATTTAAGGTGAACAAATCAATATAATTTCTTGAAGTTTTCACTATGTTTCCTCCGCGCGGAAAAGAAAAATCACGATGTTTTCACGGATTGACGTTGAGTAGTTTTCCATTTAAAAAATAAAGTATGATAGGAAGTCTGCAACATCGCAAACCAAGGTACGCGGTCTGGTAGTTTCATCCTCAGTAGAGGATACAGCATCTTGCAAATCCAAGGTATCAGTGCATTTGCACGTTGATTAAGCAGATACGTACCATCATCTAACAGCCCTTCCGTTTCAGTCTGGAGCAACGCACTGGTTTGAAATAAAGAGCGAACATGGATTGAAGCCACTGATCTGCATGTTACAAAGAGTTCATTCCAGGGTTTTGAGATAATCATTTTGGCACACTGTAAGGTATCCTTCCCTTTGAACTGCAATGACCGGCCGTAAGCTCGTCCGGAAAATCACATGCTCGACCCTCTGGGCTCTACTCTGGGCATTAGGAAAACGTTGTGAGTCTTGATTCTAGAATTTGAATATTTTGGAGAGGAGGAGAGTCTCTTCGTCGAACGCAAATATAAACAGCTACTTCACAAGCTGCATTGAAGTGTTCGGCACAGATTTAGTTAACAAATTATAAGAACATTTCGGTTCTTCTGGCACTACATCTACACTAACCTCAAAAAGAGTATCAAGTAAACATTGTAACATAACCTTAAAGCCATTGACGCAATTCCTTCATTTTTCAATTTTTCTGTTTTTCATGCGCCTTTTTGTCTTTTTACTTACTTTTTACCATCAAAGTGATCGAGTGTCTATTTTCTAAATCTGTATCGTGCAAACCTTGTTTTTGTTTCGTTATAATTATCGGGAAGAAAATTATTCTTTACCATGAAATTTGATCGTCCTTGTCAATCACATTTCTATAAGTGTTAACAGGTTTTTAATTTGATCCTTGAATTGTAACGCAGAAACACATTTGTACTTGTCACTCAGACAGAGTTGATGATTTAAGATTCGTAAGTCCATTATTAGTTCCTTAATTTCAGGACTATATCACGTGTAGATAACTGCTGCAGCAAATCCTTTCAGGGAGCCAGCGAAGTCTCATAATGGTGGTTGGTATCCAGACGTTATTTACGTAGCCAATTTTTTTCATCACCAACTTCATAGAATAATGAGACTTCTTACACAATGAGGTACTTTGTTGAACCAAACTTATCAGCTACAGTTTTGTTTCCTTGTTTATTTCATGCAATGCAATGGTTTAGTCAAGATCATTGAGTATTTGGTAGAATCGTTGGACATTCTTATGTAAGTGAATACACAAATCGTCTGGTGATTCAAATGTAGTTCATCAATGCTGACCATTTGGCATTGAGTGTATCCCTTTCCTCACAGTCCGAAACAGTTTGGTTTAACAATGCACCCACAATGGACACTCGTGTACTAAAGTGCTCATAACGATATTTGCCAGTGGTAAGAGGAAGAATTTGATCAAAACATTCCTTGCCAGCTCTTAGGATGGTTCCAAAACTGAAACAGTGAAGCCTATCAAAATAGAGGTTTGTCAAATAAGATGACAGTTGTTTACTTCTTACTGTCGTGCGCAGTAGTCACATTCAGCAGTAGCCCTCAAAAGTAGGTAGATATTGGTTTTCAGTATCTGCATACAACGGCAGCGCGGCTAGCTGTCACTGCTTCCAGTCAATTCTTGATCGCAATTGCACGGCAGCAGCACGGTTGCTTGTAAGTGGAAACATATAGAATAATAGCTTTTTTACGGTGGAAAGTAAACAACTGCTGACTTATTTGACAACCCTTTAATTGGTATTTTTATAATAATGACGACTTCCTGAATTAATGAAATATTATGAATAATATTGGATAGTGAATGGTTGTTTCTGTTGTAATCTGAAATTGGATTATAGAAACTTATCTACTTTTTGTGCTAATTTTTCATAATTTTTTGTGTAGGCCCTGAGGCAGGAGATGACCAGTGCCTGAAACTTTAATTAAGAAGAAGGCACAACTGTGAACATTGCTGAAAGTAGGAAGCCCATAATGGGAGACGCTGAAGATAATGCTGGTGACTTAGCAGAAGATGTAGGAGAGTTGAGTCTCTCAGAAAAATCTGAAGCTGCCTCCAAAAAATCTAAAAGTAAGTGCATATCTGAGACAAGGTTGCTTTAATAGCTGTGTTGAATATGAACGATTACCTACTCTCTGCTTAACGTTTAAATCCTGCAGTGAGTAATTCTGCCAGTCAACAAGCAAGGTGAGAAACCAAGCATCTCATCATAATTCTACTCAGAATTTGATGGACTCTAAAAATTTCCAATTGCCATTTCATTTGAAAATTCAGTGCTTTTATGTGCTTGAAAATCCAAACTTTCCTTGCCAAAAATCAAAGTCTTTTTGAGTCAATTTGGTCACTCATTGAAATTTGTACATATACACAGAAAGGTTTTGAAAACCCAAAAAGCAAATTTTTAGGAAAAGGACATATGTGTTCTATTGTTTTTTTCTTGGCAATCTCTCCAATGGAATCCTCGATGAAATCTCATTGGTTCCAACAGAGTTACGCACTTTTTGACATCAGTCATTTACATCTTCCTGATAGCAGTCAAGAATGGAGAAATTTTGATAAATATTCCTCTCTCCAAATTCCAGAGTAAAAATGAAGATAACATTTTTTTTCATCTTTAGGTGAAACAGTTTTTTGTTGGATTGAAAGCTAAGAATTGCACCGCTACTGCTTTATTGCACTTAAATGATAACCTCTTTGGTTTTTACTTTATCAGTTTATCAATTGTTTTCAGTTGAAATTTTGCTCAAAGCCACTGGAAACGCTCCAATAGTGAAGAAAAAGAAGTGGTTAGTAGAACAGGACAGAACAATTGGCTCGGTATTAAATTTTTTCCGGCGATATCTGAAACTAGATCCAGCTGAGAGCCTTGTAAGTAATAAAATTTATCATTGAGTTTATTTACAAGTTGATTCTAGGTGGCAGTTCATTTTGAGTCTCATCTTTCATAAACTTACTTAGTGATGTGTGTGCTACTCATAAAAAGAGCTGAATTCTTAGTTACTATGTAAAGGGTACTAGGGCTTTTATAGCGAAGTGTATTGAGGCGCATCATATCGTCATTGTGACTGTAGTGTGCTACATAACCCAAAAGAATTATGCTTCCAAAGTTATATGTCAATGAAAAAATGGTAATATTCTTCATTCTGAGTGAGTGATAGAGGGGATGGCATTCTTCTGGTTGTCTCTTTAAGAGCACCGCGCAGGAACTCGGCTCATTAAGAGACAATTCAGATGTCTACTTCACACAGTAGAATGTATCTTGATTGGTTACATAAATTTTCCATATAAGTCAGCCACCCTGTATTGTTTTCTTGGAAATGAGATGCGTGATCTGAATTTACAATGGAGATCTTGTATGCATCAGAGATTTGCGATTGAATTCCTTATCTCTATGTAAAATTTTGCAAGAAACATGCTAGTACCACTTGTTTTCTCTAAAACCAACTCCGAAGCTCAAAAAAAGCTTTCCAAGTGGAGGTTCTAATGGAGGGTTACCTTCATGCTACGTCAAGAGTCCATCTCTATATTAAGTCAAACTCTCTATGTGCAGATAGGGAGCATCCACGTTAGCAGGATCGCTGTTTTCCAGCTTTTGAGTCCCCAGACAAAGTGGCAACCCTGCTAATGTATTTGCTCCCTATCTGTGCACAAAGAGTTAGACTGAATATAGTCAATGTAGCGTGGGGGATCCCCTCTATGACAGCCTAAACTTTAACAGCTTATTTTGAGCTTGGGAGTTGGTTTGAGAAAAAACCAGTAGCAACATCAAGTTTCTCGCAAAATTTTAAATAGGATGGAGTCCTGAAATCGCAATTCCCTGACACATGCAACAGCTCCATTTTTTTAAACACATCAGTGCCAGTTCAAGAAATGCCTGTGTTCGATTGAAATAAGTAGTAATTATGAATCTCAAGTTTTAGTAATTATTTTAGTAATTATGAATCTACAAGTCGGGAATTTCCGCAAAGTCCGGAAATAGTACTGAATTTTTAGAGCGGTCTGGAAGTACTGAAAAAGTGCGGAAATTCCGCAAGAAGGTTCGGATTTTTTTTCATTTTTTTGTCATTTTTGTCACAGTTAGAGCAAGAAATTCAAATTTTTGAAAATTTTCGATTTTTGCCAAATGGAGGTACCGAAAAATTACTGAATTTTTCTGTTGAAGAGGTACTGAATTTCTTGGAAATGTACCGAAAAAGTACTGATTTTTGGCCAGCCGATTTTAGTAGACACCCTGTTGATGGTTGTAAGAAGTACCGCAGATTTTTTACGCATCAAATTTCACCAAAAATATTTGAATGTTATTTTCCTTCTTTCCAGTTCTTGTATGTCAATCAATCTTTTGCTCCTGCTCCAGACCAGATCATTCAAAACCTCTATGACTGCTTCGGATCAGATGGAAAACTAGTCTTGCATTATTGTAAAACTCAAGCCTGGGGGTAATGTCACAACTCATTATTTTTTACTCTCTAATACATTCCTTCTGTGAAGGGTTACTATCTCTCAGCATTAAGAACAGTACAAGGAGAGATTCCCTAACATTTTGATTTTTGGTACAAGTATGGTACATTGTGATAAATTCTCTATTGAAGGGGAGTGAAATCTGTGAAAATCTAAATTTTCAAGATTTCATTTCTCAAACTTCTAGCATGGGCCGATTGATTAATTTGCTTCTTCTATAAAAAATATTGAAAGCAACTGCTAATAGGCTATCTGTAAGTATACGTCAGCTCAGAAGTGAAATTTTCTGCTGTTTCAGGGTGTGAATTATTAACTGAAAATACTGTACAAATTTTTATTGATCGCTCTTAAATATGTTTAAAAGTTACATTTTACGTGATTTGCTTGTTAATAAACCTATGTTTTCAATGAAAGAATTCTGTGATCTTTTAGTTCTACGTATTTGAGAATCAAAATTCATCGCATTGAAGCAGCTTTTGTATTAAAGTGTTTCTTACACAAGAGCTCTGCTGTTCTCTTTTTTAAAACGTCAGTAGTGGTTTTGAAAAGCAGGTGGGCCTAAACTTACAATATTCAGGCAAATCAAGGTAATCATTCTGTCTGTTTGGTTACATGTTAACTTCAAACTATTACGCTTTTTCTTCTAATTTTATTGGTTCTTTAAGTAATCCTAATGAATCACTATATACTGCTAATTCTGTTTTTTCAGCCATATTAAATGAAAAAAATTTAAAATCAGGAGAAGCCTGAAGCTTACTCCTGATTCGAGCATAGTTAGATACTTCGTTGTTTAACTAAAAGGAGCTAACTTTTTTGGTGCATTGAGACTGCCTATCTACAATTGGACGTATTTCTACCAAACGGAACTATATGCATTAAGATATGAGCCCTGAGGCCCATAAGAATATATGCATAACAGGGCTCACGTCATAATGCACATAGGTCCGTCTGGCAGAAATACGTCCAATTGATACCTCTTGACAGAAATGAGTTTTTACAAATGTGTCCACTTACGGACAATGCGTTTATTGTATTGTTAGATGAGTAGCTCTCATTGCTGTCGGAAAGGAAGTTCTACCGGTGATTTCTTAGAATCAGTTTGACGAAAAAATTTCAGAGGAACGCTTTTCCTCATTTTGCCTGTGTTCCTGAAAATTACAACCTTAGATAAATTTTCCACCGTTTAAGCATGTGGTGAATTGTGAAAGTAGTTTACCTTTAAAATTGTTTTTGAAGATACCTTTCAAAAACTGGCCACATCCCAAGAGAGCTTTTAGGTTCATTTCATCTTCAGTGCAAGGTTACCTTATATTTTTACTATAAGCCTGTTCTTTTTCCGAGAAGAATGATGAGACATTGCACTGCATCCAATATGAGTGCCCGAAATCAGCTGAATAGCGTATGTTTGAATACACAGTAAATCAACATCGTCACATGTGTTCCAAGCTGATTTAAAGTTATATTCGGCAGGAAAACAGATGAGATCAAAGTTCTTGAATTTTTTTTAATCTGTTGTAGTGTAAAGAGTCAATCAATACAACTTCCAGGCTCTCAAGGGTCCTTGAGCTTTCAAGGGCATACGAGGTCCAAGAGTAGTTTTGAGTCTGTTTGGAGTCGAGTTACAGCCAGATGAGCTTTCAGCTCCAGCTCCAGTTTAAAATCCAGTTCCAAATCCAGCCCCAGCTCCACCTCCAGCTAGGATGGAAGAATTATGTGAATGAGTTGATAATAATAATAATCATATTAAAGGACCTCCTTGAAAATTGGTCTTTTCTGACCTGAGCCTGATCCTTGAAATATTTTCAGGAATGATAAAAAATCACCTTTTAGGTCTAAGTTTTTGAACTGTAAGTATTAATAGCAAGGGGAGGGAATGAGGGTCAAAGTCAAAAGCCCAAAACAATGTCTTCTCTCGATGGTTTGTCGTAGAGAAATGATCTAATCTTAAAATCTGTTAAATCTCAGTTAATATCAGTACGGTAGTCATCAGTCAGAATCACTCTGTTTTAACTAAACTCACTTTGCCGTACGCACTTGTTGTGCCTCTAATCTTTAATCTCTTCGATATTGGGCTGTAGCGTTTGATGGATGGCTGGAGGAAGAAAAAAATTAAATTCCTCTTTAAGCACAAATAGACTGTCCAGGCTTGAAAACAAGTCCAAGTTTATGGTGGACGTAAAATAATTTGATCGAGAGCTATAATTTCTCAAAGTTGGCGCAACAAGTGAATCTGGTTCTCTTTCAGCCTGAATATCTTCAGGGCCACCTCATCAACTGTAGGCTGCAAGCTAGTGCATTGTTTTACTTCTGTAAATCATTTCTGAAGGAAATAATTTGACAAGGATTAAAAATCGAGTTGTATGCATGTAGTGTATAAAGGAGTGAAGGCTTACATTTAAGGCTACTCTAAAAAAACATCATATTCATTCAAGAGTTTGTGTAGAAGAATGATTTTTGGTGAGTTAGTGACTTCACTAGCTATTGATTTTGCTGAGCATGATGAGGGAATTTTCAATAAAATCTAGAACATCTTTCTAGGGGAAGCTATCAGGGACTTAATGTTTTTTTATTTTAAACCCTCTCCATCATAATCATTCAATTCAGTGATTTTGGGCATTGTACTCTTAAAAGAAAATTCTGTATCAGTCCTAAAAATTTTCCAAAGATCAGACTTAAATCAGGAATAGCTAGTCATGAATTAGGTTTTTTTTTAATTTATCAGCCACGGTCAATAAGTGGTGTATAAACACTTAAAAAGTTTTACACGCTTTATCACTGCTCATGCATTAGCTTATCACATTTCCATGCAATTTTCAGAATGCGCAGTGTTTCTCACTCTACTGTCTATGGCTACTTGTGCTACGCTTTGTAGACTGGTACAGACTTTACAAGTACAGGTTTCATTATATCCATAGTTGAAAATCTGCAATGGTCACGAATTCTTAAACTGATATGTTCTTTCTACAGGAAATTTAAGGAGAAAAATTATCTCCACTTCAAAAAAATCTTCAAGCACTTTCTAAGCTTTGCAAAGCTTTGGAAATGTTTAAAATATGGATTTGTTGTGATGAGAAAACGTCAAATTTCAGTTTGATAGATTTGCTGTGATATTAAGCTGTCCAGTAACTTCTGCTTTCTTCGCAAATGAATGTAAAAAACTCTTTGAAGGGAAACATAGGTATTCGATGCCGGATAAATTTCATCATTATTTGATATGATGCTCTTCATTCCCCCCTAGCACAATGGTTTGAAATATCGACTTCCTGTGTGCCAATTTTGAGGAAATAGGGGCTGAAAAAGGAATTTTTTGGCATCTTTATGTACATTTGCCCACAAAGATGTGGCACCGCCATTGTTTTGGATAGGTGCAATCTTTTGTTTTGAGGTAATGGATGCGGCGTTTGCCTTATCTTTTCAGCTGGTGCGCTGCCAGGAATTTGAAACTTCCCTCAGTCCCAAACATTTCCTGCATATAATGCATATAAAAATACCAAGAAGTTAACTTTTTAGCCCTGCTATCCTCAAAATTACCTACCGCATGGTAAGATTAACTTTAAACAGTCATAAGGAGGTCGTAATGCACATAATATGCAATAATGACAAAATTTACTCGTCACCGCATCTTATGGCTTTCTTTGCAGGGTCCTTTAATGAGTTGGCCAAAAATATCATATTTTTCTGGCCATTAATCATGCACCAAGTGTTTTGCATTAGTCTTCATGGCAATGTTTGAGAAAATCTTCTCTCTCGCTGAAGTTGTATTTTTACACTTGAAACAAGCTCTGCAAGCTGTTTTGACACCAAAAGAAATGTAAACATGGCACTTAGAGGACAGACCAATGGTGTAAACATGCTGAAAGTAAACAAAAAACACGCAATTTGGAACTCAGGACACGGTCAAAATGTTTGTGCCATTCACCAAACCTAGATTGTGGTGAGCAAACTTTTTTTATCATAAAATTAGTTTATAAACGACTCCTTTTGTGCCGAAATGAATGTACGTAAAAAAGGTGTGAGTTAAGCTCCGGGTACCAATCTATTATATCTCATTATTTTAGGTGGAGGTAAGCAAAATCTAAAACTTGTTCTCCTCCAAAAGTGTTCCTAATTTTATAAAAATTAGAAGAATGCCAGGGATTTCAATTCTTCACCTTCTTCTTGAATTGAATGAATGGAAAAAAAAAAAAAAAAAAAAAAAAAAAACCATGCAGGTATTCCATTGATCGATGCAACAGAAAACAGTAAAAACAGGCCAAAAACTAAAATACAAGTGCAGTAACAATAATTGAAAAATGTTGTCTTTATTTGTAAAATTTAGTAACAATAAAAAAATAGACAGGTAACTTTAGCTTATAAAATATCACTAGCCTTCTTGGTTTCGCTCAGTGCTTCTGTTGACAAGTTAAGAGCCGTTCTACCTTTTTATAAAAGTCAGAGAACGAGAACAAGAAAACTTTGCCCTAACCTGAGTCATTTTCGGTATGCATTCAATAAATATTCTTAAGATTTCTGTACAATCTACTAAATTTATTATCTATTTTTTATAACACAAGGTTCTGTATACAAAAATAGCCTGCAATTTTGAGGACATACTCTCGAATGAATGCATTCCTTCACTGCATTTACTCTCTCCGCAACCATACCTAATGTATGATAGGAACAGTATTTAAACATAGTGCACGCCTGAGAGCCCAGCAGCCCAAAAACCATTCATTTTTATTATTGCCCAATTTTCTCAAGTGAATACTTCTCCACTTCAAGCATAGAAGGGTTAAGGATCAGTTGACAAATACATTGCTGAAGTAATTGGCATTCAAATAAAATGCATCATTGGTCTCGTATGTATTTTTTTTTATAGAATTAAAAACCTACATTTTTTAAACTATTATTACATCTTACAAGGACAAGTATCACCCTTTTTACAACATGCATAACGTACTGTATCACAAATTCCATGAGATACAGAAAAATAACGCGATATGCTTTTTTGATCTCTAACATGTAACAAAGTACTAGTTTTGGGTCCCAAGTTCTGATAAATGTTATTAACTCAAAAGAAATGTCATTATGGCAACTTATAATTAAGCTGCTTTTCTTTCCTTACCAGCGGTCTGAGTTTTTAGTTTCACAGAAATGTAGTGAATAGATATGCTAATAAATTCTGTTTGGTTTTGGAGGCTGTAAAAATGTTAATTCAGTCTAAAAAATACCTAAATAATAGTCGGCCTCATATCCAGCAACTATCTCTGAATAAGTGGATATGAATTTCTGCGGAAGTTGGGATTTGTTTCCTGGAGGTAATCCGCGGAAACATAAAATCTCTTTTGAACCATTTTTCGAGGCCTGAAGTCAGTCATGCAGTAATGGAGCTCTGTTCACTAAATACAGTAAAAAAAACCAGAGAGGATAAAGAGAATTTACGATGCAATTGATAGAGAGCGAGCTCCAGCTGACGGTGTTGCAACGTAGAAAATAGGTGTTCGTGAGTATTTATCGCTAATGTGATTGACAACGTTGTGAACCTTGTCCTTAGCCACAAGTGTAACTGTGCAACCTCCAAAGCCTCCGCCTGTCATCCGAGATCCAAGCACTCCCTCAACCTCACTAGCCAGTTGGACTAGTTCATTTAATTCAGAACATGTTACTTCGTAATCCTCCCTGAAAAATCAATATAAATTTATTTTAACTTGTAAGCTTTATTACTTATTCTTACTGCGTTCGAAAACTTTCAATTGTTTTTTAAACAAAAAAAAATTGCATTTACACCCTCTCTATTTAAAGCCATAGCTAAGGGTTGCACACTGCAAGGGATGGAAGTTTTATCCCCAGTTTTCACATTTAACGCCAAAAAGAAATGCTAATTTTGAGCCCGGTATATTTAAAAGCATTTTCATTTATGAACAGGCATATCTCAGAAAATATAGAGGTAGCATACGAAGAAGAAAGAAGGTGTTGTCTTTTTCTGCAAGGGTGGTGAATCTGGTGCAGTGCCGAAGCAGCAGCTTGCATAAAATTTGCAAAATATCATTTTAAGCAGGAAAGCATAATCTGTAACGTAGGTACCTACAAAAAGGAGAAGAAAAAAAAACAGATTTTCACCTCCTGTGTACTTCAAAATTTTCCAGGAATCCCGCATGAGGTAAATTTTGTAAACGAGTCGATATAAAAAGTAAATAGACAAATAGCATGAAATTGCCAGTAGAGCGACGGTTTGAACAAAATTTTAAAAGAATCAAGCTTAAGCATTCTCAAAGTATTTTTACTGGACCTATAAAATGAACCAACTCCTTACCTGAGGGATTTGTGGCTCTCATACATTAACCTTCCGAAGTCCTCTAAATGCCCTGCCTCTAATGCTTTTGCTGCCTTTTTGGTTCTTTCTATTTCTGTAACAACGTGACGAGCTCTTCGGTAGATCTCATCTTGTAGCAGTCCCTTTTTGTTGGCCTCTGTCAAAAAATGTCATGGTTATTAAAATTGTTTTTTGTTTGTTACCTATGGTAATTCCAGTCTGGAAATATAGTTTTACAATTATTACACCATTATTGAATAATATTGTATTGAACAAAATCTAATTTTTGGAACTGGGCATAAAATATTTTAATTCAAAGCCATTTTGAAAACTAACTAATACGCCTTTAAAACGCATAAATCTAATATGTTTGTGGAAAGAAACTTTTAATCACTTCTGAAGATTGTAATGAGTTCAAGTTAAAAATTGGAACCAAACCAAAATGTTGAAAATTAAAGAAGAGACTACGAACAGCTACACTTATACCCACAATATACCAAGCTATGAGTTTCTTTGGTGTGATGAATTTCAACTTTCAAGAAGAAAAAAGTCCCTTCCCCTCCCTCAGGTAGTAATTTTTCAGTAAGAATATGGTTTGCCATGTCACCTTCTATATCATTAAGCGTTGCGTCCCTGAGTTTCTTCTTGTTCAAAACTTGAGCTGCTTCGGCACATTGCTTCACTCTGGCTGCAAATTCACTACTTCCTAGTTCATGGCGAACATTGGAATTTGTAATGAGGAAAACATGTTCTTTGCTTCTGATTGGTACTGATTGAGCTGTATTTGTCCTGAAAATATTTGAGAAAGATTGAAGTTTTCAGCAAAATCCCCTACATAAAATCACAGTAAAACATTATTGAAGGCAAAATGCTCTCGACCTGCTGCCCGTTTTACCTAATCGTATTTTAAGGAATAGTATGTGTCTTAAACGGAACGTTTCGGAATTTCAGAGCATCTTTAATTTGTTGTTTAAAAAAATAAATGAATACGAAACTCCCTGTGAATATATTCGGAGAGATTAAGAGAAATCTGCAGACAACTTTAAGAATATCTGTGGTTTATTTTTCTAGCTTCTGCTTCTTGTTTTCATTTAGTTTTCAATGGACTCTTTATTCGAATATTTTTGTCTGTACTCTGCATGATTCGTTCCTTCAATTTTACCCGTCCACTCTTCAAACTTATTATCTCTCCTCTGTCTCTACAGTTTCTTTCAAATCTAATGCTGTATCATCGTTTCTAATCTCGCCAAACGTAGGTAGTGCGGCTGTCGGTCGGCGCGACACGCATACTAGCGCCTACAAGAGTGGAGGAATACTTCCTGCATTGCGCCTAACGTAGCGCGGTCGCCAGTCGGCGCGGGAAGTATGCTAGCGCCTACAAGACTGTAGGAATACTTCACGCATTGCGCCAAACACAGTGCGATCGTTGCACACTGGAGAAAGCAGCCGATCTAGCGCAGCAAAAATCGTGACGCTCGTGGAGTTCACTGCATCTCATTAGTTTTTCACACTTAATCGATCTCATATATTTCACTGAACACTAAAGAAGCATAACGCGCCGATTTTTTGTATATCAAGACTATCATGGATAAATTTTTACCTGCAGTCTATTAAAAGGGCAGCACCCTCATTACCCATGACAGATATGAATTGATCCATAATGCCACAAGGCATTCCTACAAAGTTTCGCTCTGCTGCTTGACAGGATAGTGCCTTTTGTACTAAACTGAAAGAAATGAAAACATAGGTATTACTAATTTATTTTTATCTCTTGGAAGACATCAGGCACCTATATAATAGACGTATGTACTTACACTTTAACAGTCCGGACTAAGGAATGGAAAATATTTAGACCAGCACCAAAGAATGGAAGTAAAACAAAATTTGAAAACATTTATTTCCTCCTAGTGTTCAAAAATTAAAAAAAAAAAAAAAAAAAAAAAAAAAAAAAAAAAAAAAAAACAGTAAAATATGAAGTACAATAGCATCGTACTCTTTATGAATGGCTGACTTTTCATGTTTGTAATATAGTTAGGTATCATGAAAAATTTCCTAAGGTAAAAAAAATTGGACCTCGAGAGCCTCCTCGGTAGAACCGTCTATAGATTGAGGGGCTTGGAGGACAAGGCGCATAAATGCAGTTTTTGCTATTTCGAGAAGTACGAGTTTGAACTAGTTGTACTAGTTTCACTTGAAATCATTCGACACTCTATGAAGTTGATAAGAGTGAAAAAAACAAGGTGGAAAAACGGGAAGCAAGGCTAAAAATACTTAATTAATAAAACCAGAGACGTTATTCGACTCAAAACTGAGTCATTTTCAGTCGGAAACAACACAATTTTTTTTAAAAAAAAAAAAAAAAAAAAACAACAACAATTTTCTCTTTTTCTCGGATCCCGGCCACCACCATGCAGGGCTCAGGTTTTTTATTCGTTTTTTTTTTAAATTTTTATTGTTTCCGACCGAAAATGACTCAGTTTTGAGTCGAAACGTCTATCGGGTTTTATTAATGGTGTATTTTTATCCTTGTTTCCCGTTTTTCCACCTTGTTTTTTCCACTGTTATCATCGTCTCGGGCTGCTCTTAAAAAGAAGTTGATAAGCAGAGGAGCCTACCTTTTGGTGCGTTGCTTTGTTAATTCTTCCAGGAATGTGTATGTTGCTACTTCCAATGCTGCACTGCTTGAAAGTCCACCACCCATCGGTACGTCAGAGATAATCAGGGCATCAAATCCTGGAATATCCCCTGAAAGTACGAAGTTTGAAACTCAGTAATGCTGAAACCTTTGCCCGTTGTTTGTCTCCGGTATTTTTAGATTTTTGTTGGATAGGTATCCATGTATGGTCAATAATGGTCTCGAAATGTCTGTTTATGCAAGGACATTTTTCTTTCGTAGGTACCGGATATTGCACTCAGCACCCATCGAAATGTCCGCATCACCGACATTTCTAATCTTCTTGGGGGGGGGGGGGCCGGGGGNGGGGGGATCCGGGGGTGTACGAGCATATCACTGAAGAAAGAAGTTCGGTCATATGAGCCGAACGTTTAGTGTTCCATATTACACTACGGACTATTCGGCTTGTCTAATCGAATTCTCGGTTTGTCCAACCGGATTCTCGGGTTGTCTAACCAGATTCTCGATTTCCCTGGTAAAAATTGGCGATAGGAGCTGCGTTTCAAAATACCCTAGGAGTTCTTATAGCCGACTGAAGAAGGCGATAGAAAATCATAAAGCTGGCTGTAGAAAGTGGAAAAAATCATACGGCCGGGCTACACGAAGCGATAAAAAATTATGCAGCCGGGCTATCGTTCCTATCACCGGGCTTTACACTTTATCGCCTGGCTGTTGCTTTTTCGCCATCGATTATAAAAGGCTGCAAGAAATTGTGTCGCAATTCGTGTGCTTTGGAAATCATTAAGTTTGAAACGGAACCACCTTAATATTAACAAAACGCACATTATATTTTCCTTTAATACGTATTTTTTTTTTTTCATCAATTAAAATGAGAATAATCCATACAGAGTGTGCAAACATTTCAAAGTCATGAGTCGAATAACGCTGACTCCGCCAGATTAAATATTAGAGCCTAACACAAAGCGGAGCGGCGGCGCACTGGCGCCTACAAACCTAACAGGGATACTTCACGCATTGCGCAATGCGTGAAGTATCCCAGTTAGGTTTGTAGGCGCTGGCTGCCCGCCCGCCTCGCCGCGTCGCGTCGCAGCGTACCACGGCGCTTGAAGCAACTATTTCACATCAAAGGTATTGCACAGTATCATACGAAATTGAAGGCGCTCCAACATATTAGGAATGGCAGGCATCTTTCAAAAGTACGGAGCTTTCCCAGCAAAATAAATCAATATACTATACTGCCCAAAAAGAGAGCGGTAGTCCAAAAACTCACTAGGTCCTAGCATCCGTAATTAGTAACGTTTAGCATACACTTTATTGCTAGGCTGTTGCTTAATCGCCATCGGCTATAAAAGGCTATAAAAAGTTGTGTTGTCGGCTATAGAAGCTATTGGAAATCTTACAGCCGGCTGTAGGTCTATGGTATTTTGGAACACAGATTCTACTGCCAATTTTTACCAGGGTTGTCCAAACAAACGCTCGGGCTACAGGATCGAACTTTGTTCGCCGGTTTGCTTTACCGCTGAAGTTTGGTTACACGATCCGAAAGTTCGATTTGACAAACCGAATAATTAAGGTGATACGATGTACCGAACGTTCGGTTCACATACGCCCGAACTTTCATTTTTCAGTGACTCACTTACTAGGTAGGTTTCGAACGAGCTTCGTTAAAATACTCTTTTCTCCTCCAACATCGCTAAAAACAAGTTTAATAATATCACTAGTTTAACTATATGTAGTATAAAATGCCATACAGGATCTTAATACATGATGCTTTAGCTATACGTGACTTCTATCAGAACATTTCAATCAATCTGTCTAGAAATCTAGTAGAAGCTGTCAAATCGACCAATTGATCGACTGTTAACCCAATCGTCCTCGAGAATACTTCACTTGGCTTCAGCTGGTGAATTTGAGTTTGTGATCACAAACCAGTACTCAGACTATTCTTCTATAATTAACTTCCTGTTTTTTTTTTTTACCTCTTATAATCAAATCATTCATTTTAATTTTCGCGTGCATGAGCTTAGAGAATTTTGTTGGTACCTACCGGATTTTTTTGCTCGCTAGCGCTTCATGCGAAATACTTGTAACAAAATACTTGTAAACGAACCTATTTTTCATATTTCTTCGATTGCTTCATTGACGTGCTATCGGTTTGAATGTACCGAGTTTGAAATTTTTTGGACTGGATGAGACGGAATATGCCTAACTCAACATTAGAAGGGGCGATTCGTCTCTTTAATCAAATTCGTGCATGGGATATCCGAGGCCTGTGTCTATAAACTCTATGATTTCGTGCCCAATCATAAAATCCAAAACTAATAATGGTTTTTGTATCTTAGTAAATTAGATCAGGAGTAGAATTAGACTGTTTTAATACCTTCAAAGTTTTTTAGTGTGCCTTTCACGTAATTGGCCCATTTTGGTGGATCATCTGTAGGTTCCAACGCCTTTACTGAGGGTATCGGAAATTCCACTCTGCTAGGTTTATCAGAATCACTCTCTAAAGTAATTATTCTAATCGTTTTACTGTTGTTCTTCCTTCCGACGACAATCGTTACCATAGGCAGTGCCTGAAAAAAAAAATGCTCAAATTAGGAGGTGTTATTATGTGTTTTTATTTTCCATCAAACTTCTTGATCGACTTAATCTTGGAGAGTGAAATCCCAGCCCTCTGTGCGCTTTTCCCTCTTGGAGAAGGAGGAATTTCTCAATTTCTTCGTTCCTAAACATTTTAAAAATGTGTTCATCCAGTTCTCTCCTACCTCGGTGAAAACAATGGCAAAAAATTACCTTTTTGCAACAGTTTTAAGATTTTTGATAAAATGTAAAGGAAAATGATATCAACCTACACATTTATAGCCGAAATGCAAATTCACGTGTCGCCATTGTGGTGTTTCAAAGTTATCTTTTGTATTTTAATTTTACGAACAAAAACTAGCCAACGTTATAGCTTGAAATTTTAATAGAATAAGCACTCTGCTAAAAGGAAGGAGAAATCAAGGGAGGTCTCGAGAAATTACGATGTAGAGTTTTCCATGAAAGAAATGAAGTGTGACAGCAAGTTTTCAACGCTGCAAACGGAGATACACGATTTCGCACTTTTGCCATCGACATGTCAATTCATCGTAAAGACAAAGGGAGTTTCAGTGATGCGACTTTAAAATAGAGGAGGGGGCGCTGTCTTTAAGTAACGTCAAGTCAGTGGCGAGGCGTGAATGATCGATAATCGATATTTTCCCATTTGCAGCTGTGGTAAAGAATCGATTATCAAGGTGTTCGTTGCGAACATCCTGTTTATCGATCCTTTTCCATACTTTTAAACGGCAGATCAATCGATGCATCGCAAAGCACGCCACGCCACACAGTGGATCGAGTCAATAAGAGAGGTCGGACTATACTTGGAAACTTTAAACGCTTATAACTCTATGTATACAAAACTTGGAGGTTCTAAATGTGGTTCCATTGGTTTCCTCGTGAAATTCTCTCCAAGAGGCACCACTTAAAGTTCAGATTGTGGCGAAATGAACATAAAAATTTGCAGTTTTAGTCAAAAATTTCATGTCCTATCTCTCTAATTGACTCGTTCCACCGAGCGCCACTGCGCCAAGTACTTAGAGACGGAAAAAGAGGGTCTTGGACTGCTTTATGGACCCGTTTTGGGGAGGATGAGAGGGAAGAGTGGACGCGGTATGCGGACAGAGTGGGGTCAGAAGGTGGAAACAGTGCCCGGCGGCGTCATTTAACAACGATCCTTTAGCTTTAAAAGAAAATTTTTGCACACAGTATCCTCAACATTGCCATTAAGGATCGGAAAAATTGTATTTTTTTTTTCCGGAGGGAGCAGAAGAGTATGAAATTTGCTAGAGAATGGTGTATCAAGGCCAGGGCACAGCGTCGTTAACTTTGCCCGCGCTCACATGACTGCAAATGTGCCGCTTGTTGCATGCATGCAAGTTTGAAGGCGCTTTCTTTTCAATATTGCACGACCTGCGATGGCGCGGCGCTGAAGCGGCGCACAGTGGAAGGAGCCAATGAGAGAAGTCGAGCAAAACTTGAAGACATTGTAAAGCTTGTATATCCGTAAATATAAAACGGCGAGGTTTTGAAGTAGTTCTACTGGTTTTCTCGACAAATTTCCTGTTAGAGACACCCCTAAAAATTAGATTTGTGACGAAATAATCATCAAAATTTGCAATTTTAGTCAAAAATTTCATGTCCGACCTTTCTCAGTAGCTCATTCTACTGTCGGGCGCGGCGCTGTATGTGGTAAGCACGGCATAATGTCAACGCTGTAAATTCCTTGTTTTCCTAATGAGGTTCCTCTACGTCCATACCCAAGTAGCATTTCTCAGCGGAAAAATCGCTATATATTGCGATTTTATTGGCGATAAAATCGCCAGGATCATCGCGATTTTATTGCTCGGCAATTTATCACGATATTATCGAAACAAAAATCGCGATGTATGGCGATTTAATCTCGATTTTATCGACGAAAATTGATCGCGATTTTATCGAACAAAAAATTGCGATGCATAGCGATTAAATCGCCATAAATCGCAATTTTTCATTCGATTATATCGCGATAAATTGCCACCGATATAATCGCGATAATCAACCGATAAAATCGCTATTTATCGCGATCACTGCTACTTGGAATGGAGAACAGGTGTCACCTGAAAATCGAGATTCCCCCTTACGTCAGGAGCGACGCATTGTGCTGGAAAATATTCACTGAAAGCAGGGAATAATTGCTTACCATTGGCAGGACGAATCCATCATTATAGTCCAAGTGTTCTCCTATGAGATTCACCCTGCCGGGAGCACAAGCTGCAACTTCCGGTTTCGTTTTGAATTCATTTTCAAAAGCATCGCAGCCTTGCTCCAACAATTTCTCGACAGGGATGGTTCTCTTTGGATCCGGCATCCTGAAATCAACGTAAATATACCATTATAAGAGCTGGAATTAAGTGTTTATTTTATCCATACAAGAAATGAGATGAAAACTCGACATTGTATGCGTCAGGATTCAGGCATGTGCTATTTTTCCGATTGCGAGGAAAAACGTTTTTTAAGTTCGAAATTAAATGAAGTCCTATTTACAGCACAAACAAAACCAAAACTAGCCCGAAAGCCGAAAACCGAGTCTTGATACTCGAATTTTTAGGATCATAATACTTATTCTGTCATGAATCCTATTTCGAAATCGCGAAAACCCCATTTTTCTTTAAAAGAGTTCCTAATCTAATCAATGCACTCATCTGGGCCCTTCGAATGAAAGGACGAGACCCAGAGGAGCTTAATTGAATTTCAATTTGCAAAGTTTTGTTTGAACAATCATTTCTTTTCTCAAGAATGGTTAAAATTTTTATTTTTAAACGTTAAAATAATTTCCTTCGTAATTCGATGAATATTTTAGGTTGTCGAAGTATAACATAGCCCAATAATGATGAAGTAAAAAAAGTAGGTATGGATTAAGGATGGTGCATCAAAAGCGGCTGCCACATGCGGCATCACAACACAGACGCTAAATTTAGAGGGAAGAATAATAATGAGGAAAAGGAGGAATGAAAACATGAAGAGCAATGGTAATTATTTATATTTGTAGAATTTATCGGGGGGACACGAATATGGGTAGCAAGTTATTCGAAAACATAGAAATCTCGCTGCGGGCTTTCACTGATTGTGAACCGATGAACGATGTCATTAACCTTTGGTAGTACTATCTGGAGTCGCCTTCAATGTCACGCATAGGCAACAAACATACCGGAGAGCTCGAATAGTTATCTACTCGAAAAATAAACATTCACATCGCTCGATAAGCTTCGATCGAACCGATATACGATGTTGGTGACTTTTTCGTAGTTATTGTGCATCGAAAGTTCACCTCCAATTTTTCTGCACAGGCAACTAATCACAGTACCAGATTAGCGCGCTGGAGCCCAGGGTGCCGGTGCCGGTCATTAGGGGCTTAAAATCCTAAAATTCCCCTGGTAAAAATTGGCGATAGGAGCTACGTTTCAAGATATCATAGAAGTTCTTGTAGTCGACTGAAGAAGGCGATAGAAAATCATATAGCTGGCTGTAGAAAGTAGAAAAAATCTTATAGCCGGGCTACACGAAGCGATAAAAAATTATACAGCCAGGCTATAGTTCCTATCGTCGGGCTTTACACTTTATCGCCTGGCTGTTGCTTTTTCGTCATCGGCTATAAAAGGCTACAAGAAATTGTGTAGAAATTCGTGTGCTTTGTAAATCCTTAAGTGTGTACGGAATCACCTTAATATTTACAAAACGCATATTATATTTTCCTTTACTACATATTTTTTTTCATCAATTAAAATGAGAATAATCCATACAGAGTGTGCAAACATTTCAAAGTCATGAGTTGAAAAACGCTGACTCCACGAGATTAAATATTAGCGCCTGCCTAACACAAAGCGGAGCGGCGCACTGGCGCCTACAAACCTAACAGGGATACTTTACGCATTGCGCAATGCGTGAAGTATCCCTGTTAGGTTTGTAGGCGCCAATCCGCGTTTCGCGCTGGCTGCCCGCCCGCCGCGCCGCGCCGCAGCGTACCACGGCGCTTGAAGCAACTATTTCACACCGGAGGTATTGCACCGTCTCATACGAAATTGAAGGCGCTCCAACATATTAGGAATAGCGCAGGCATCCTTCAAAAGCACGGAGCTCGCCTCGCAAAATAAATCAAGATACTACGGCCCACAAAGAGAGCGGTAGTCCAAAAACTCACCAAGTCCTAGCATCCGTAATTAGTATCGTTTAGCATACACTTCATCGCCAGGCTGTTGCTTAATCGCCATCGGCTATAAAAGACTATAAGAAATTGCGTTGCCGGCTCTAGAAGCTATTGGAAATCTTACAGCCGGCTGTGAGTCTATGGTATTTTGGAACACAGATTCTACTGCCAATTTTTACCAGGGTCAAGGGCCGCACGAGCCCATGATACCCGAAATTTCAGTTATTTCTAAATCGGTCTTTAAGACTCCAAAGGTTCTTAGAGTATTTAGAATAATAATAATAATAAAAAAGGAAATTAATTATTCGGTCTTGGCGATTAACAACGTTGAGCACGTATAGTTCTGTTATAGTATATTTGAAAAGGATTTTATCGGCTAATGACCTTTGATCGATTCAGGACGAAATTTTGCCTTTGACATCCTGCTTAATGACACTCGCAAGTCGCGTCACACATCGGAACGGCAACATTCAACATCTGTCCAAATCCCGCCCCGAAAATTTATCAATGACTGCTAATTATAATTGGATGGAATGGAGAGCATCAAGGAACAAAATTTGCCAACGAAAATACGCGGGGTTCGATGAACTTTCTTTCTCGTACAGGAAGAACGTATCTAGGTTGCGAATGTGGAACTGACGCCCAAATACTATCATTTTAACACGTGGGAGCCCGTATTGCCTACATTTCGAAATAGAGGCAATTTAAATGTCGTCTGGTAAAATCGCTGAACCTATATAGAGGAAATTATCCTGCCGCGAGGAAAACATTTTCATCCGTTTCTGAGCCTAAATTATTTGAAAAACTTTGGCTTTGGCCTCAAAAGAGATTGCATCGATTTCACACTAGACATTTAAGAAAGCCGAAACCTTCACAAATAGCGTGGTTATTTGTTTTTAGCGAGCCTCATCAACTTTTTTACGGCACTAGTCAAAAAAGGTACGTACTAGCATCACTTCGCAATTATACACGATAGGAATATTTAGAAAATGAGTTTCTCCTTTTTCCTCGAAAGCTATCGCAACTAAAAAAAAGAAGAAGAAAAAAACTTTCCGAAAGTGTTTTTTTTTTTGACCAATCAAACGCTCAGAATCAGGTTAGAAAATAGGGAAACTTCTGTTGAGTAAACAACAATGACTAAAAGATAGTTTTTTTTGAAGCGGTCGAGAACAAATCCAACTCGGAGCAGCGGAGCAACAACAACAACTAAAAGGCACACCATTAGGAAGAGATAAGTGGAGGCTATATTTGACGGCCTTAAGCAACTGCCCTCTCTAAGCTATTCGCGCGATGCATGCCATTAAAAATCTGGAAAAAAAAATATTTCAGGGTATGCAATAGGAAGGTGGCCTCTAAAGCAAAATATTCTCTGGAGACAGAGGGAAACAAATACTTTTTTTCGGTTTTCCTCACTCAGAGAGAATAAAATTAAGTAGGCAGTGCAGCATTGCTGCCAGGTGGTGCTGAAATTCAGCTCTCTCTCCATGTAAACAAATGTAAATTACTCACATTTTTTCGCAAAATCCGGCAATCCTGCGATGCAGAGGGGTTATTTTTTTAACAGCACGTGTTACGCCGCACTGTGGATCGAGTCGTTGGGAGAGGTCGGACAAAATTTGGAAACTTTAAAAGCTCATAACTCCGTTAAATCAAATTTTTAGATTTTAAAAATGGTTCCATTGGTTTTCCTGTGAAATTTTCTTGCAGAAGCACCCCTCAAAATTAAAAATGTGACTAATTAAACATCAAAATTTGCAGTTTTAGTCAAAAATTTCATGTCCGACCTTTCTGATTGACTTGGTCCACTGTGCGGTGGTTCAGCGTCCCGTGTCTTTGTACGTGGGTGATATCGTTTGTGAATGAGAAATAAAATTTGAAGTGTTTTCAATATGATCAATATCGAAAATACTTTCTCTCCTCAAAGGGCTGGAGCTTTGAAGTGCTCTGAATCATTCGCACTTCATCCACGCCCATGTGCTTGTACGCAGTTTCAAGCTCTTTCGTGTGAGCATTAGCATTTCCTCTCTTAGTTCATTCGATTTTATTCTAGGAGGACCAATTGGACGTATTTCTGTCAAATGGAACTAAGCGCCATAGGGGAAGGAAGGTAGAGGGGGGCTTGAATTGGCGGCGGAATCGGACGTCGGGTTCATTCCGTCCTTTACTCGCAATGTTTTTCCATGGCGCTTAGTTCCGTTTGACAGAAATACGTCCAATTATGAATCTTTTGAACAAGATTGAGTATTCCACAAATTGTTTACATAGATTCTTGTAAAATGAATGGATAAAGTAAAAACATAAAAAAAAGAAGATCACCGCAGTCAAAATGTAAAGGTAGAAACACTATCGGACGGTAGATGGATCGAACGCATGTAACAGAATGGTATTTTGATGTTTATTTTTGTAAATTCGTAGGTACATAGAGCGAACTTAATTTAGAGATTCGGCACTACTTTTGTGCCCGAACCTCCGAGCTGCCATTTTATTTGAGTTCGGAACTTCCGATTCGATAACTAACGATTCGCACCGTTGGTGCGTGATTTTGGTACCACCTCGCGAGGTGGTTGTGAAAAAGGTTCGACCTATCGAAAAGAACGGACCTGATTGGTCGAATCTGGTAACAACGGTCGGTGTCCACTGGTGTTGGTGACTGATGAGACCAACCGGGCTAGAACTTCCCAAAGGGATTCGGAACTTTAAATAAAATTCGCTTATAGCTGTACTCAATTTAGGGGCAGAAGGAAAGGAAAAGAAAAAAAAGTAAAAGAAAAGAAAGGAAAAGAAAGGAAATTCGGCAGCACGTGAATGCTCAATGCTCAAACGGCTTTTTTTCTCAAGCTGCACTAACCGATATTTTATGCAGTTTTACCCTTTCCGTCTGAATTTCTTTGATCACGAGGATTTCTGGCAGAATAGATTTATTTTCTGACGTTGTATTTTTGACAGATCGTAAAAGCAGGGACTAAGAATACCCCCGGCACGCTCCCTCGCCGCCCACCGGCGCTTCAATTGATCCAATTGATTTTGCTCTTATTTACACAGTTGTCGCTTCTGATAACACACGCGCGTCGATAACGAGCCGGAGCGAAATTTCAAACGAAAACTTCGGGCTCCTTCTACCCACCCTGCAACGAGACGGGGGCAATATTGGAGAAAACAATGGCC